ACCAGGATTTAAATCCCCCCCCCCATTCCCTTAACCAGTGCTATTTTTTCTAGAAAAAGAGGTGCCAGAATGCCTCCCTTGTTCTCTTATAATGGCAATGGCGTCTACTTGAGAGGTGCCGGAACTGAGTGAGTTCCAGCCAGAAAAATAGTCCTGCCCGTAACCTTTTCTCAATGGGAAGATGCATCAAGTCTACAATTATCACTGTAATCCTCCTTTTCCAGATCGTATTTCAGATCTATATTATTTAACCTTAGGGCTTCCACAACATTCACCTAGCCTCTCACGGCACACCCTTATGAATGACCCATATGGTAGCTGTATCAAATGAAAGGTGCAGCGAAATGCATGTGCGAACCCCACTCCCTGGATGTTGCAAGTTCGGCATCAGTCTGAAAGGGGTCCTACGCAAGTACAAATACATGTGCGCATGTGCATAAGGCTCCTTCCTGTGGGACAAGGACACTCACCAGTCTTTCCATTTCCACAGAAGGGGTTCTCTGTGTGCACATTTGTACTCATTTAGGCCTCCCTCCGACTAATCCTGAACAGGGAATGGCGAGGTGTGTGGTCAACACATTCCTCAGCGTCTAGGGCCAGGGTTGTGCTGTGGGTTCTCTCTATTGCCTTCATGCCTTCAATACTCACAGGTACCTAAGCCTGAATAGGGCTTAAAACTCATCACAGCTGCCTGGGTCACACCTAGCACTAAGCCACGGTTTATAAACTATGGTTTACTAAACCATGATTTATGTTGATTGTCTGGACTGGGCCCACATTGTGTTTCTCTCTGCATCATAAGCAAAAATGTAGAAACATTTTTCCTGTTTCAAAATAAGGTATTATTATTCCAAAGCATTTTTTTCCTTAAAGAGTGGGCTTCTTTTTTGCTTGGCTTACTGGATAAGTTTGAGACTTTCTCAATGGTATGTGAGATGCATTTAATGGCATGGATGGGAAAAGAGTGAAGAAAAATACTTTCTAAGAAAGTAAAGCTATGCATATTTTTAAATATATATATATACAAAGGAAAAAGAAAAAGAAAGAAAGAAAACCTGAGAATACCCTGTAGGAAATATTATTGAGCCATCCGCTATAAATTTGGAAGATGGATGGATGCATTTCTCATATGTGAACAGGTTGTTAACTGCTTGCCTATCTGGTTACAGGATTTTAGAAACTGAGAATGTAATGAGGGTTGGCGAAAAACATGGTGGGGCTTGTAATATTAGTATGCTGCCCATTGCCATACCGCAAAGCTTGCAATACTTTCGAGATCCCACAAATATGCTTATTGTGAAGTGAAAAAGGTTGTGCTGGTAAGGATTTGAAAAAAGCAGCTTCTGCTCTCACAGTAATAAAAAGGTAAAGGGACGCCTGACCGTTAGGTCCAGTCGCAGACGACTCAGGGATTGCAGTGCTCATCTCACTTTATTGGCCAAAGGAGCCGGTGTACAGCTTCCAGGTCATGTGGCCAGCATGACTAAGCTGCTTCTGGCGAACCAGAGCAGTGCATGGAAATGCAGTTTACTTTCCCGCTGGAGTGGTACCTATTTATCTACTTGCACTTGACATGCTTTCGAATTGCTAGGTTGGCAGGAGCTGGGACCGGGCAATAGCAGCTCACCCCGTTGCAGGGATTCAAACCACTGACATTCTGATCGGCAAGCCCTAGGCTCTGTGGTTTAACCCACAGCGCCACCCGGAGCCCTCTAACAATAATACCTTTTCATAATAGTCAGAAACTGTTAGAATTTCATAAGCTGGGGGGGGGGGGACATGAAGGAAGCAGCATTGTTGATCTGCTTCATTATCCTCTCTGTTCATTTAAATTTACTTTCATATATAAACTAGTTCATGTTTCGGAAGTATGAGGGTAGGTGACAGCAGTATAAATGTACCGCATATAGGGTGTGGCTACATTTAGAAATCTGCTGTTGTGTACAATTCTGGCCACACTATAAGAATAGTGTGAAACCGTGAAGGCGCAAAAGAAAAAATATTTTAAAATGATCTCTGGGTTGCAGAGCTTCCCATATGTGAAAAGGCTAAAGAATTGTTAGAAAAGTGGAGGAGAGTGAAAAAAATATTACAGGCTTGTTTAAAAGGACTTCTAACTTTTTCATTTCGAACATTTTACAACCCACCTTTTTCCATCTTAAAACTCAAGGTGACATCCATGGAATTGCCTTGTGGTCTCCCATCAAGACACTAACCAGGCCCAAACCTGCTTAGTTTCAACAAGGTCGTTGCATTATGGTCTGCATCCAGACCATACCCTGAAACTTTATTGTATGCCCCAGCCCTACCCATTTTTGAAAACACTTAAGTTTGTAACACTGACGACACTAACATATATACACATATATAGCTCCTAGTACTATCCAAGTCACCAGTCCCATGCTGTGGAACACTTTTCCAGCATAGGATCAGTAAGGCATCCTCCCTTTTGACTATTAGGTATCTCTTGAATATTTGTGCCTGTTTCTTTGTGTGTGCTGACAGGCTTTTGCAGCTGTTCAGATTTTAATCCGTCAGTCCCCTTGAATTATTATCTGTATTTTTTATTATTTTAAAAACAAACAAACAAATAGGGACACTTTATGTTTTATAGTGTACACACCGCCTTGCTAAATTTTACGACATGGTGCTATAGAAATACTTTTATAAATAAAAATAGTAGCGTCTGTGCAGAAGGTGGTTCTATTGAGTTAAAGGGACTTTCTACAGGGTAGGTATGTACAGGATTGTACCACTTTAAAATGCTTGGGCTAACCTACATAAAACACGCACATGTGCACAGTATAACAAAGTCTGGACAAGCGTTTGTTATGGTGTTTAAAATGAAAAGCAGTTGATTTCTCAGGCTGCTTTTCTGAGCAAAGGAGTCGTGGGAGGATGGTGTGCTTAAACCCTTCCCCACTGTCTATTTTTCTGCTCGAAAACTCTTAAAACCTGCTTTTCCCTTTAATGCTCCCTATGTGCCAATAAGTGCCCTTTCACTACAATTGCGTTTGTCCAATTCCCCACTATGTCCTGAACATTCTCTAGAAATCAGGCCAAACATATAGCCCTGTGCCAAGTATCCTATTATCTGAATTATATGTTTCCTGTCTGGAGTTTATCTATTAATTGATATTGGCTGCAGTTAGTTGGTATGCTCTGCCCTGCTCCGTTGTAGAGATGGACGGAGAAAATTGGAGGGAGTGGCTTTTCGCTCTCCATGAGTTCAGCATGTCTTTCTCTTTTTTTGCCAGCATAATATAATATTTCCAGTGGGTCAAGAGAACACAAGATACGAATGGAAATCATAGAATCTTAGAACGGAAACATTGGAAGGAACCCCCAGGCTCATCTGGTCCAAACCTCTGCGATGCAGGAATCTCAACTAAAGCATACATGGCAGATAACCATCCAACCTCTGCTTTAAAACCTCTGTTCCTGCCCTGCCGCACCCCTGGTGTTTCCCATTTCTGGTTCCTTTCACAGGGATAGTTGTAACAGTAGTGTTATTACACTATTGTAAAGTTACACAGGGACAACTATGGCATTACGCAGATGTCGATCCCCAATGCAGGCGTATCTTCAGGATCCTTTAATACAAGGGTACTTGGTTGATATCCTTTATGCTTCCTGTATATGTAAGTGAAGCGTAGGACTGCATGGTCAGAAACATAATCAGATTTGAGGGGAAGGGGAGATGCTATAAGCAAACATGAAATGTCGTTTCCAGAATACATAACTAGCTGTTATCATTGCAAAATGCCACAACTATAACATAGGCTGGTAGCAAGATCTTGGTGCTGCCTCTCCATTTTGAGACATATGAAAACAAGGCAACCATTTCCTTTGTGCACTGACATAAGAAAATTGTTTGAATATACTTGCATAAACCAACAAGTGCATAAAAGAGATGGCAGTTGTTTCCTTATGCTCTCTACTTGCCCACTAGCAAAGAAATTAAGAAGGCAATTATGGGGATAGCCACAGACTCTCCAAGTATCCCTATTTTCTAGGGACAGCCCCGGATTTACTAATGCAAAGACCATGCAAATTATTATTTATATAACAGCTGCCAGAATAAGTTATGCAAGGTCAGTGGCAAAACACATGTTTTCCATGTGGACGTTCCTAGGTTTAATCTCAGGATTTTCAGGCAGGGTTGGAAACAGCCCTTGCCTACCCATGAAGCAAGGTGAGGCAGTCTCCTCAGGCATAAGTTCTGGGCCAACCACTCACTGCCTCCTCTGCACTGCACCCCTACCATGATTCCTCTGCACCGCAGGCACATCCCCTTGCTTTTGCAGACATTCTCCTGCCATGGGCGCATCCCTCATCCACCCTGACTGCTCTCTGCTGTCACCACACTCCCGCCTCCTCTGCCATGGGTGCACATCTGCTACTCACAGCAGTGGCAGGGTGCACCTGTGGTGGTGGTGGTGGTGGCGGCAGGGCATTCTGCCTCAAGCAGCAAAGCATCCCGGGCCAGCCCTGGTTGGCAAGACCTCTGTCTGAAATCCTAGAGAGCTGCTGCCAATATGGAGGACATGGTTGAACTCCAACTCCCATCAACCCCTGTCAGCAGGGCCAATGAACAGGGAGCATGGGAGTTGGAGTTGAACAGCATCAAAAGGGCACCATGTTTTGCTACCCCAGGTGAGCCAAATGGAGCAAACAACTGACTAGCTGTATGGCAGTTTCCTATGTTCATTCGTAACACTGGTTCTGTCAACGGTCGAATGAGAGACTAAATTTAATCAATATACCATGATGTCAAAATTTACAAAGGAGGGAAAGAAAGCACAAATATCACAATTTTGTTCTGAAATGGACACCTCTGTTTATTATTGGCAAAATACAACATAAGCCTCACTACAAGAAGGACTTGGGTATTTGATTTACTGCAGTGCCTTTGAATTACATTGTAAAAATATATATAGGAGTGCACTTTGCATATAAAGCTTATATATTTTATTTTAAAAATCAACAGCCTGTGAAGGATGGTGTTTATAAACTACTACTTTGAATGCATTCCAATACAGCAACCTGATTGTGATTCCACAGTTCCAGCAAAATTGCTGAGCATCAAGCTGTGAGGAAGGGTTGTACCCAATCACTCGGGAAACTCTGCACAAATCCTGCTACCTCTTGCATTCCGGACAGTCTCACAAAATTGCTTCGACATCTGACATCAAACTGTACAGAAACTATAGAGTATCAAGTTCAAGGGCTGCTCCACATGCTTGTCATAAATATGCCTGTGTATTCACTTTACAACTGCCACGAGAGGCTAAAACAAGGAATATAAATAGCTCTTTACAAGCCCCCCTCCTGGTTCTGGGCTCATGCAGACTTTGCAGACCTTGTGGCAGCTCTTGGGCCTCCTTCAGCTGACCCTCCAGCTGCAGCGATTTGCCTTGCTTGGTAGGCAATCTCCTGCTTATAACTCTCTGGGCATTAAATATTACAAGCTGCAAAGTGCCACTGGATCATACCAAGGGTTTATCTCAGGGATGGGGAGCCACAGGTCCAGTCCAAGAATGGCTCTCTGGGCCTGTCTCTCTGCGGCCCTCAGGATTTTCCAGGCTTTTTTTTCAGACTGGCAAGCTTCCTTCAACTGTAATAATGTGTCTTGCTTACCTGGGGTGGATCTACACACAGGGGGGGAAACGCTGTAAATAAGTCAGAAATTAAATTGTTATAACAAAATTTTAAAAAATCACGTAAAAATCGCATAGATTTTTTTTTTGCTCTCCGGCCCCATCTGGTGTTGCATATTTATAATACAGTCAAAACATTGTTTTGGACTAATATAGCTGAGTCCCTGGATAAAGAGATGTACATGTAGAAACATTTGGCTGTTATGTAGCTGAGCCTTCTGTGCAAAGGTAACAGCCACACCCAGTCCATACCCTCCAACATTTCTCCAGTGAAAACAGGGGCATCCTCTTTAATAACAACAACAACAACAACAACAACAACAACAACAACACTCTGGCCATCTCTTGCCCCAGCCACTCTGGGCAGCTTCCAGCATATATAAAAACATAATAAAACAGTAAATATTTTTTAAAAAAACTTCTCTATATAGGGATGCCTTTATACGTCTTCTAAAGGTTGTATAGTTATATATTTCCTTGGCTCATGGGTTGCATAACTCCATACCCTCCAACATTTCTCCGATGAAAATAGGGACATCCTAAGGAAAAGCGGTACATTCCAGGATCAAATCAGAAACAGAGATGGCTTCTGTAAATTCGGGAGTGTCCCTGGAAAACAGGGATACTTGGAGAGCCTGCCAGTCTGATGACCTATGCACATGTTTTAGGACTCACAAACCTGCCATTTTGACCCAAAACGTGAAGCGACTGGTTGCTTAACATTTCACATTTCAGTATACACTCACACTGCATTGGTGTTCTGCAAATTACAGTCAGCCCCAGAACAATGTATTGGGCCTCACCATAAGAGTTTTTGGCATCAGCCTGAATAAAGAGACAATGGAAGAGTCCACCATCGGAAGTAAAGTCAAACCAATGGAGAGTTACAGCGCCTGCTGTGGCTGTAGTGACCAATATGGGAGAGAGGTGTTTTATTGCAGCTGGGGCAGATGAAAGAGCAACCCTGGTGGAGGCTTGTGTTTGGAGCCTATCCTGTTGTCCCAAGCATATTTTATTCAGCGTACCTGATGTTCAGTATCAGAGCTATATATAACCCTGTTAATAATCCTATTACTGAGAGGTAGGTACTGATAAAAACGTAATAAATTGATTCTGAAAATGAGTGGGAAGATGGACAGTCATCTTTCAGTGGTGCTCATGGAAGAGACTTGCGTTTTAAAGATTCCCATGCTGCTATGTTGCACCTATTGCACTTATGTCCCTGAATAAGTTTGGCCCAACTCATAGTCATGGACATGCCTTAGACCTGGTGTTCACCTCTAGTGACGTGGGTGATCTGACACTAAGTAAAAGTGAAACCAAAGAAGTGCCATGGTCAGATCACTTCCTGGTGCAACTGGACTTCTCCGCGACCCTTCCCCTCTGCAGGGAGGTGGGACCAATTCGAATGGTCCGCCCCCGCCACTTAATGGATCCAAATGGTTTCCAGAGAGTGGTAGGGGATGCTTTATCCCATGTTGATGGCCTTTCAGCTGATTCCCTGGTGGCCCGCTGGAATGCAGAGTTAACCAGGGCTATTGACTGTTTGGCTCCAAAGCACCCTCTCCGATTGCATGGACCCCGGACAGCCCCGTGGTTTTGTTCGGAGCTGAGGGCGATGAAACAATCGCTGAGACGGCTAGAGCGTCGGTGGCAGAAAACTCACTCCGAATCTGACCGGACACAGGTTAGAGCTCAACGTCGAGCCTACCAAGTGGCGATAGCAACGGTGAAGAAGACTTTCTTCACCGCCTCTATTGCATCTGCAGAAAATAGTAGCAGGAGACTCTTTCAGGTGGTCCGCAATTTAACGGAACCACCTTTACCACCGGGGCTTTGTAAAGACCCCAAGATATCCTGCAACGATTTTGCAAAGTTTTTTGCAGATAAAATCACTCATATTCGGAAGGAGCTAGACACTACCGTGGGAGCAGGGCTGGGGCGGGAGAATGCTAGAGCCCTGTCTGGTCAAGTTGCATGGAATCAATTTCAATCCGTTACCTCCGAGGATGTGCACAGGCTGCTTGGACGCGTGAAACCAACCACCTGTCTCCTTGATCCTTGCCCATTCTGGCTAATAAAAGCAAGCCGGGAAGGGCTGGGCGATGGGCTGTGCGGGGTGGTGAATGCTTCCCTCTGTGAGGGAACATTCCCAGATCCGCTGAAAGAGGCGGTCGTTAAACCGCTTCTTAAAAAACCATCTTTAGACCCGGCCAGTATGGCCAACTATCGCCCAGTCTCAAATCTTCCATTCTTGGGCAAGGTGATTGAGCGAGTGGTTGCTGAACAACTCCAGGCACGCCTGGAGGATGCGGACCATTTGGATCCCTTCCAATCGGGATTCAGGCCTCATCATGGGACTGAAACTGCCTTGGTCGCGCTGGTTGATGATCTTCGGCGAGCTAGGGACAAAGGTGAGAGTTGTTTCCTAGTTCTGCTGGATCTCTCAGCGGCCTTTGATACAATCAACCATAACATCCTTCCAGACCGTCTAGAGGGGCTGGGAGCTGGGGGCACTGTTATACAGTGGTTTCGCTCCTTCCTCCTGGGCCGTGTTCAGAAAGTGGTGTGGGGGATGAGTGTTCAGACCCCTGGGCCCTCACTTGTGGGGTGCCTCAGGGTTCCGTCTCCCCCATGCTTTTTAACATCTATATGAAGCCGCTGGGAGAGATCATCAGGGGGTTTGGACTGGGTGTCCATCAATATGCAGATGATACCCAGCTCTACCTCTCTTTCAAATCAGAACCAGTGAAGGCGGTGAAGGTCCTGTGTGAGTGCCTGGAGGCAGTTGGAGGATGGATGGTGGCTAATGGATTGAAGTTGAATCCTGACAAGACAGAAGTACTGTTTTTGGGGGACAGGGGGCGGGCTGGTGTGGAGGACTCCCTGGTCCTGAATAGGGTAACTGTGCCCCTGAAGGACCAGGTGAGTAGCCTGGGAGTCATTTTGGTTTTGTTGTTGTTGTTGTTTTTGTTTTCCTAGTATATCTTTAATGAAGAACAACTTTTTTAAAAAAAATAATATTTATTGCTTTTCCAACAATTTAAACACTACCAAAACAATACAATACAATACATTGCAATACAAAAACACTACAATACAAAAACACTACATAACATTGACACATTAAACACATTAAACTAACAAAACAAAACAAAAACAGTTTAAAATAAATCAAACAATTTCAATATCTTATCTTTCATTCACTTATTTCCATGACCTCCTCACACCTCCCTTTTTGTATTCCACTTCTGTTAATTGTTTCAGTCATTTTGGACTCACAGCTGTCCATGGAGGCGCAGGTCAATTCTGTATCCAGAGCAGCTGTCTACCAACTCCACCTGGTACGCAGGCTGAGACCCTACCTGCCCGCGGACTGTCTCGCTAGAGTGGTGCATGCTCTAGTTATCTCCCGCTTGGACTACTGCAATGCGCTCTACGTGGGGCTACCTTTGAGGGTGACTCGGAAACTGCAACTAATCCAGAATGCAGCAGCTAGACTGCTGACTGGGGGCGGCCACCGAGACCACATAACACCGGTCTTGAAAGACCTACATTGGCTCCCAGTACGTTTCCGAGCACAATTCAAAGTGCTGGTGTTGACCTTTAAAGCCCTAAATGGCCTCGGCCCAGTATACCTGAAGGAGCATCTCCACCCCCATTGTTCTGCCCGGACGCTGAGGTCCAGCGCCGAGGGCCTTCTGGCGGTTCCCTCATTGCGAGAAGCAAAGCTACAGGGAACCAGGCAGAGGGCCTTCTCGGTAGTGGCGCCCGCCCTGTGGAACGCCCTCCCATCAGATGTCAAAGCGATAAACAACTACCTGACATTCAGAAGACATCTTAAGGCAGCCCTGTTCAGGGAAGTTTTTTATGTGTGATATTTTAGTGTATTTTTTGTTTCTATGGAAGCCTCCCAGAGTGGCTGGGGAAACCCAGCCAGATGGGCGGGGTACAAATAATAAATTATTATTATTATTATAACAGGTGGCACCCTCAAGCTCCCAAAAACTCAAGTTTGAGCTTTAGAAGATCTGGCAACCCTCATACCAGGATGATTGGTGCCACAGTTACCAATTTTACTTTCAAGTATATTGGTGGAGTAAAGACAGAATCTGGAGATCCTGGCATTTCAGATCTGGTTACCTGAACGTGGTTTTACTGGTTGGAACTGGCTGATTGGCAAAGATCACTGGGTTGTCATTCCTAACTGACACCTTGTTTCTTCCATTGAAATACATACATTTTTTCACCTCCCCCAGTATCCTGCTCTTTTTTGTGCTGGAATGATGTGTCTCCAATTTTATCCATTCTTGGAACTGGACCATTTGGAATGACTGGCTGTGTTGCCGGAATGGTGAAGGATTCTACACAAGCTTGTGATTTATTTCCTCACACTTGCTTTTAAAAATAAAACAAAATTCTTACAAGAATGAAACTTTAAACTTGGTTGCCTTTTGGACCTCACCCAGTTGCCTCTATTTGTAAGTTTATTCTTTCCATGTTTATACATTGGATGTTCGAAGAGAACAAAAATAATGTTTGCTCCCTTTCCAGCGGACGGAGTGAATTGTGGCGGTTAAAGTAAAAATCTCTCTATACTGTGCCAAGATGTTCGGAATGAACATCGTTAAGCTTAAGGTAATGAAAACCAAAACTTTCAACAGCGGCCAGAGAGCTTTAAGATCTTTTGGGTTTGCTTGGCCATGTAGTTGCTAGTGGTTTTTAAGTGTCTGTCCAAGCCTTGAAGTTCCAATTTACCACTAGCTTAAGCTTTGAAGCATATTTTCAATGAAAAACACTGCACAGAGTCCACTTTTTTTCTGGGGGGGTTTCTGGTGTTTTTTTTGCCATGTTGATTCAGGATGGATTTCAACTATTATGATTATTCTTAGCTCTGTGAAATGATGAGATTTAAAAACTTCTTCTGCAGTTTTACACTGCTCTAGAATTCAGCTCATTTGTATATTTATGGCTGATGGTACAAATGCACATAAATTAGAATAATAGAATCATAGAATTGTGGAGTTGAAAGGGACCCCAAGGGTAATCTAGTCCAACCCCCTGCAATGCAGGAAATTGATAGGTGTGTCTCTGTGCATGTTGATAATAGATCCTTTTTGTCTATTCTGGGGAACTTTCTAGTAGAATTATTAAAGATGACAAAAAAGAGGGGGATAGGAGTGCTCAGAAGTATTATTTATTAAATGTGTTAGTCACCATATTGTGAAGCCTCTGGGCAATTTAGAATCTCTAGCAACTTACAACTCTGTGGTCCTTAACCCCTTCATTTATTAACTAGCAAAGAAAGGCATTGTTCGGTTCGACTGCAAAATCTCCCACACCCATTGCACTTGGTTGGCTCTGTTTCTCCAAGGAGACATGTGTAGGGATTTGACAGCAGGTCTGATCATCATCCTAATCAGCCTGAAGACTCTCCTCATGTGCAGGCACCAATATCTCCACTTTCCCTTACTGGTTTCTAATTCTTGCTGTTTGATGCTCAAAAACAGAGAGGGGACCTGTCTGATTGATCATCATCACGCTGCAAAAGGTGTGATTGCCTCGACATGATGCTCTCATCAGTCAAAAGTGGGAAGCAAATGGCTTTGTTTGTTTACTCCCTGCCTAACCAAGATAACATGCTCATCCCTCTCTCATCAGTTTGTTCTCCAACAACCACTCTCTGCCCTGGTTCTTGTGTAGACAGTTGGAACTTGCTCCTGAAATTATTTCCATCACTCTTTGTGCAAGGAGGTAGATGCGCCTTTCTTCATTCAACAGCAGCTGGAGAATTTGCCCAGTTTTCAGATTCAGGGATAATCACTTATGATAATCAATGCATTAGTTTAAAACCAAACATTTATTTTCAATATTCTCCCCTCCCCCACCAAAAATAACCCCTTAGCATAGGGTGATATACACATTACCCCAACTGATACTGCTGAAAATGGCAGTCCTTCCACTGTACAGTGTTTTCTTCAGTTTCTCCATGTCCTGATGCAGTTGAGATGCGCCTATCACCCTAGCAAGAGCCAATGATGCAGAGTGAGGGGGAAAGAAACACACACTGTAATGTTCGTACCGAGGGGAAGAAGGAACTTGACACATTTTCAGCAGCCGATGTATGTTCTTTGTGATCTGTCGTTCCACATGAGGTTGGTTATCACACTTTATCCTCACACAACAATCTTGTAGGTTTCGCTGAGGGACAGTGACTTGCCCAAGGCCAAACAGTGGTTTTCATAGCTAAGCTCTGGACATTTCCCAACAGTGGTGAAGGAGGATGGATGAGTGCCTCACATACAGAAGGGGGAAGGCATGTCTGTCCCCTACAAGGAGATTGCAGCTTCCCAATGCACACACATCTCCCATGGGGTATATAGTCATCTTTCTTCTTCAGACATGACCCAGAAGTGTGCGAGAAAAATGGCTATTTTGAAACAAGGGAAAGTCTGCCAGTTGGTGCATGCATCGGGGCAAAATTAAGTACTGATGTGATCTTTTCTCATTAACAAAACCCATGGGTCCTGATGCCACATGTGTATGCTCAACAGTTCAACAGGGGAACCAGGATGTAAGCTCTACCACTGAGCTATGGTCCTCCCCTCTGCAAAAATTATGTTGCAAGGACTCCCACAAAACGCACACTGTATTTTATTTTCTTCCCAAGGCAGTCGGCACTGACCAGCTCCTTCCCAGTCTATTTTGGCTTCCACTCCTGTTCCTGCCACTCTTTCTCTCTCCCAGAGCATTTGGTGCATGTACACCAAGCAATTTGAAATATTTCGCTAGCTGGAGTGCCTTGATTGAAATGAAACCATGAAAAGCATGTTTCTGCTGGGATGAAGAAGGGCTGCCTTGTTTCCTGGAGAGATCCGATAAATCTTGTGTCACACCATCTCGGAGCACAATGAATTACAGGGAAGGCATGGAACAATGACCCATTGACAGCCACCACACTTCTGAACTTTCTATGCCTTTTCAGACCCCAGATACAGGACAAAGAATGATGACGCCAACAACTGTCATTTGCAAGCCATGGCTTAGCAGACTGGGTAACAGAAATGAGTTAAAGGAAAGTCTGTGCCTTCTCTTCTACTAACTTTCTGTGTGACCCTGGTCGTGTCACTTTGCTTCATGTTGCTTTATTTATGTACATGCAATCTTAATGCACTGGGAAAGATTAATTTAGAAACCAACAAAAACCAAATGTTTCACAAGGCCCTTTGTTGGGAGAATATGTGCCAAGCAAATAAGCAAAATAAGTGATCACATGGAATCAATTAAGAAGGTATGGATTACATGTGTTTATTGCAATTATCCTAAAAGGTGTATTTTATTCTCTTACTATAAAGAACAATATGAAATGGAGAACATAAAATGCTAACATTCTAAAACAGGCAATAGACATCTTTTAATGCTCTTTTAATTTTTTTGTTTTTAAATACAAGCTACCACCTTCCCCCAAATACTGCCAGGAATAACAATATTATTTTGCTATAACACTGCCTCAGTTGACAAAAATACAAACATACATCTTGAAAAATTAAAGGCATTACTTGAGGAAACCCTTAAAAATAAATAATGCCAATATAACAACAAAAATGGCACTTGTCAAATTGTGTCATTTCTGAATTTATTTCTAAAAAAGGAAAGTTACTTAATGCCAACCTATTCTGTCTTGCCTTTACATTTTCAAAACATCACTGATGTCTCAATTTCCCCAAATCTCTTTTCTACCCATTCTTTCACAATAATACAAGATTGCCTTTCTAATGTGCCACTTCAGAACAGAGGGTCTGTGCCACTTCAGAATAGAGGTGAAGTTCAAACATTCCCCACCTATATGTTTCTTAGAGGTAATAATGAGGGGCTCACTCCATCATTTGCCATCCCCATTGTTCCTTATAGCTCTGACAGATTCTCCCAGGCAGTTTCTCCTACATACATTCCTTGCCTTCAAGTCCAAAGCTTGATTCACGCATGCAGCCGGCACTCAACGTATGATGGTCTATCAAGTTAAGATTTACATGTGTGGATGAGACACCGCAAATTAAACACCAGAGACACAGCTTTTGTTTCACCCAATGTCGCTTTAAACACATTTTACTTCAGACATTCAGCCGAGATTCATCAAGTGTTAAGTAATCAAGTAATGAAAGATCAAGCAATCTACACGCGTATGTAAATGAGTTCTTCACCCAAGCCTTTTTTATACTTTGGCTTACATTTCCAAATGGTACATTTCACAAGAAATCCAATGAGATAGCATGCCTTTTTTTTAAGCCCTTGGGATTTAGGATTGCCTTCTGCATATATTGCAAAGTGGCAAGGAAGAGACTGTGGAGAATGTGTTAGTTGAAGAAATCTATAATAATAATTATAATAATAATTTATTATTTATACCCCGCCCATCTGGCTGGGCCTCCCCAGCCACTCTGGGCGGCTTCCATAGAAACCAAAAATACACTAAAATATCACACGTTAAAAACTTCCCTGAACAGGGCTGCCTTAAGATGTCTTCTGAATGTCAGGTAGTTGTTTATCGCTTTGACATCTGCTGGAAGGGCGTTCCACAGGGTGGGCGCCACTACCGAGAAGGCCCTCTGCCTGGTTCCCTATAGCTTTGCTTCTCGCAATGAGGGAACCGCCAGAAGGCCCTCGGCGCTGGACCTCAGCGTCCAGGCAGAACGATGGGGGTGGAGACGCTCCTTCAGGTATACTGGACCGAGGCCGTTTAGGGCTTTAAAGGTCAGCACCAACACTTTGAATTGTGCTCGGAAACGTACTGGGAGCCAATGTAGGTCTTTCAAGACCGGTGTTATATGGTCTCGGTGGCCGCCCCCAGTCAGCAGTCTAGCTGCCGCATTCTGGATTAATTGTAGTTTCCGAGTCACCTTCAAAGGTAGCCCCACGTAGAGTGCATTGCAGTAGTCCAAGCGGGAGATAACCAGAGCATGCACCACTCTGGCGAGACAGTCCGTAGGCAGATAGGGTCTCAGCCTACGTACCAGATGGAGCTGGTAAACAGCTGCCCTGGACACAGATTTGACCTGTGCCTCCATGGACAGCTGTGAGTCCAAAATGACTCCCAGGCTGCGCACCTGGTCCTTCAGGGGCACAGTTACCCCATTCAGGACCAGGGAATCCTCCACACCTGCCCGCCTCCTGTCCCCCAAAAACAGTACTTCTGTCTTGTCAGGATTCAACCTCAATCTGTTAGCCGCCATCCATCCTCCAACCGCCTCCAGACACTCACACAGGACCTTCACTGCCTTCACTGGTTCTGATTTAAAAGAGAGGCTTTCTTTGCTCTGTAACAGAGCAAAGAAAGCTTATTCTGGAGTAGATGAACTCTGCACCCTTTGACCTCTTCCATCTTGTTTTCATTTCCATATCTCTCTTTTACACCCCCCCCTCTCAGCATGGTTACCTCTCTCCCCCCCCCCCACCAAAAAGCTATTAATCATGCCAGCTCAGAGCCAAACATTAGCGAACAGTGATACGTTTGCCAGAGATCAGAAAGATGAGTGATGCTGATTTAAATAAAACGTGATTGTTGACTTTCGAAACAGCCATGTTTAGGATCAGGGGATTTCTTCCAGCTGAAATCAGTCAACATTTGTGAGGTCAGGACGGAGAGCTCTCCACTTCTGGTTCAAAGCCAGTTGTTGGAAAGCAATAAAATGGAGAGGAGTGAGATTAGGTGTGACATTTTGCACCTTAGATGAATATGCAGCCAGTGAGGATTTCCCCACCTGTCTATGTCCTACTCATACTTTCCACTGTGTCCTTTCTTTGCACTGCTCCTGGCACCCTCCGAGCTCCCCTTCCTGTCATCTCTATTTGGCTGCATTTTCTGATCCTCGGGGGACTGCTGCTGACACCCTGAGTAGAGGGAGATACCGCGAGGTGGCATGTGTGAGCAGTGTGGGGTGAAAATATATTATCAACTGCTTCACTTGATGGGGGGGGGCTGTTCCGTTTCTTTTGTTTGGGAGGAAGTCAACCTCATATTATTATGATAGCTCCATCAACGCAAGCAATTCTGCTGTCAAACAGAGCAATCTCCTCCCCGTGCTGTTCTGGGGGTTCTCCTGACTGTCCACCCCCCCCCCAGCTGACAGAGGGAGGGAAAGTGGGGGCAGGGAAAGCCCCATTGTGTTAGCAGGACTCATTGCACTGGCTTTCACTAGCACAATTGTCCAGCTGAATCTGGCAGGCACACACACCCAACACTTGCATTAACATTAACACTTCCTTCACCTACAAAATGAGAGAGCCCAGCTGGAGAAAACACATCACACAATGCTCCTGATCATATATTCCACCCGCCCTGTCTCAACTGAAAATGCATAAGCTGGGCCAGCCCTACCATTAGACAAAGTCACACAGCCAAAATCAGCAGCCTGGAGTGGCTGTCATGAAAGGAAAGCAAATTGTTAGCTATTTAATTTACCGTTGTTGCATTTTTACTCACACAGAGATGTGCTTGCATGATTTTCTGTCTCAGGAGAACCAAAATAACTTTTCTAACCTTGGTGCTATGTGCCTTGACTTGTGGTGGGGCGTGCCATTTTCTGTTCCATCCCAGGGAGTCAATTCTCTTGGACTGGCCCTATGCACAATCACACCCCCGCCCTCTTAGAAAAGAATCAAGATGCCTCATTCAGCATAATCTTGCTTGAAAACTGAGCCAAGCGGTTCCAAGAAGAATGCTTCCCTATGCTTGGTGTGGGACAAGTGGAAGGTAGACACGACTTCTGATTGTTTCCTTCTGCTGCAATAAAGCCCACAATTCCTGACTAGAATGGGAATAGGTGATGGAGATGACTGCATACTTTCCCTCCTCAGTCCAGGCAGATTCCAATGGGCATGTCAAAATCCTAGTTGCATTATGCTTATCCTCTGTGCCTCTGGCCAGTGACATTTTGCTATGTAGAAAGGAACACTTAAAAGACTGGGACTACTAGCTATGACAGCTGAAAACAGAACATCCTTATACAGAGGCAACATTTTTCTGATTTCCAAATGCTAAACGGGGGAGAAGAAGAGGAAATGGTCATGTTTGTTTGTTTGTTTGTTTGTTTGTTTGTTTATAAGTGTCTAGCCTTCCATTACAGTGTCCATGAATTTCTCTCCAGACAGCTTGCAACAATTAAAAATAATAAATCTAGTACTGCTAACTTTAAAGAGACATTTTGATGTCCTCTTCTGGAGAAAGAATGCTAGAGGAATTTGATGGGCCTTGGTCTAACTGGAGAAGACATTTCTTGAAATGTTAAGTCATTTTTGGATTCCTTGTGCTGACCTGTGGCTCTCTGATTACAGTTTACATATACTGCCACTTTGTGAAATATATTTTCTATTAAGTTACATTGATCTATCTGTTTAGGCGGCCCTTGTTTTTGCTGAATAACATCTCAGAGGATATGTGTAGACCTTCCAAGGCACCCTATTGGCTTGGGGCAGATGACTGTGTATTGTGTGGCCAAAATGACATTACAGCAGGGTAGGACTCTTTGACGCTGGGCTCCTCTCATATTTATTGTATGTTGGAAAACATTTAAAGAGCTATTTCTCTTTGAGGTAGTAAATATCTGACTGGGTGCTAGCATTATGGACTGGGAGCATAAATGCACAATAAAAAATTATTTCATGCAAAATAAATTGCACATTGAAAAGGGTCATATGAGGGAGAAAGGATTTCCCCCAGACATGCTAGATTTCTGTGTCCAGAATATTTTTTTAAATAAAACAATAATAAGTTAATAATACTTATGGATTTTATGAATTTTTACAAAGGCTGAACTGCATGCTTCACTTCAACTTGCCCTCTTCACCCCTATCCTTCCCCAGCCCGTTTTAGTTGAAACTTTCTTATGTAAGTCAACACAAGAGAAGAATGGGGCGGGGGACATAAAGGAGTGAGAAAGGGGAAAGAGGGAAAGAAGAAAAGAAGGGATTTTGTTGTATTATGCCATGCAGTAACATTCAGTTGTGTGAGTCCTCACTTGAAGTAGTACAGTTCAGGCACATTAAGGGTCAAGCCAGAAATGTGAAGGGACGCTGAGCAACAGGAGGAAGGAGAAGTATAAATTTAGTGACTCTGTTTTAAAAATGCCCATAGCAAACCTATAAGCTGTCGCTGTAATGGGTGAGCTGAAAAAAATGCTTAAAGCAAGTGCAGAGTAACATATAGATGTACGAAGTGTGTCCTAAACAGAAGATCCAATCTGCAGGTATTTTTGGTGCGGCTATTCGGTTTCCTAAGCAGTAACCTTACGCACACTTAACTAGGAAGAAAGCTCAACTGAAATCAGTGGAATGAATTTAGAAACAAGCGTGTTTAGGAACAGGGAGCTAACATGGCTATTGGCAGAACCAGTATCTGAATGATCTTAAATGAAACTAGATGTGATGACCCCCACAAAAGGGCACCAAGCCATTGGGATTTAATTGTGCTTTTTCTCATTGAAATAAATGAAACCCACAGAGCTTTAATGAGAAATCAATGGGGCATGGGTTAGTCTTGATTAATATGTGACCCATTGATTTTTATGGGATTTGAGCAGAACAAATCTCCTCTCAACTGAGGCCTATTTGTTCTCTGTGGGCCATGGCTGAATTGAAGTAGACTTAACCTGCAATGTGACGAGAGTTTGTAATTGAGGACCGGACTACCTCCCGAGATCTGAGAGAGGGAAATATTGATCAGGGTATGTTGCAGATCATTGGAGCAGTTTTGTTTAGGAGCTGCAGCAGAACGTAACTGGATTAGACCACAGGCCTATCTAGCCTAGCCTCCTACTTTGCAGCCTGTTTACTTTGCTAGTCCGTAGCAGGTACTTCTAGGTTCCAGTCTGGCCTGGGTGGGCATTGCAATGCTTGAGGCAAATTCTTCAGGTGTGATACCCTCTTCAAAGAACTGAAAGAAATGTGATGACACTGTAGGACTTTGCTAGGGAGAAAGTAGACACTAAGGTAGGTAACATTAGGTACAATGTGGGTACACTGGGAGCCAGTGTAGATCCTTTAGGACCGTTGTTACATGATCCTGGCAGCTACTTCCAGTCACCAGTCTAGCTGCCGCATTCTGCATTAGTTGTCGTTTCCGAGTCACCATCAAAGGTAGCCCCACATAGATCGCATTGCAGTAGACCAAGTGGGAGATAACCAGAGCATGTACCACTCTGGTGAGACAGTGCTTCGGCAGGTAGGGTCTCAGCCGGTGTACCAGGTGGAGCTGGTAGACAGCCATCCTGGGCACAGCTCAGGAGGGGTGAGGGACTTAGGTGGGCTCGGTCAGGAAAGCTTACGATCTGCCAAATCCAAACTGTCATCCTGATGGATCTTGGGTTTGGATTGCACTGTCAATTTATGCAGGACATAAAATAACTTTATATATATATAATATCCCAGTTCTTCAGATGAGGAATTTCATGCTGTTGCTAACCTGGGAAGTGGAATAAGGATCTCTCTTTAACCTTCTGTCTGTATCTCTCCCCCACCATTTTTTATTTGCTAAAACAGCTTGGAATTCAGTCACTGTTCTGATTTTAATTCACTTGCAAACTGAAATGAATAAACTGGGAATTTATCAAGCTTATACCACAATAAACTTTATGTCCCTAGCTGCATATCATGTTTCCAAACAAGACTTCTTGTGAGAGGGTAATCTCTGGAGGAGATCTTACTGTCTGAGCAGGCTAGATTGAAGCAATAAGGTTAAGCACATTTTAAAAGATATATCCTATTAAGGCTGAAACCATATGCCCACTTCCATGGGAGTAAGCATCGCTGCTCTCACTGAGACGTATTTCTGAATAAATATGCACAGGAATGGGCATAATTTCTCCCTTTATTTTGACAGTTCCTGAAACCTCAATTTCTCCCACTTCAGACAAAGCATGTTCTACCACATTGCTCTGAAGGATTATTACTATAAAATGTTATTATGGTAATAATGCCTCCCATTATGCTAGTGTGATCTGAAAATGCCCCACTCAATTGCCATTTTCTCTTTCGGAGAATTCTCGTTCTAAGAAGACTAAGATCAGAGCTCCTTGATTCTCTCGTTTCATTTAATTACGAGCGAGACTTTTAATTTGACGCAGATGGGAAGGGAATGCCTCTTCGAGCTGCCATTACTTGGATTGCATTGGTTCAGCGATAAACTTCAAAAAGCTGCAAAGGAAAACAAAATGCCGCAAGAGAAAGTCTAATCTCTGCCTTTACAATAATAGATTGAAACGGCAAGGAACACTGAGAGATAACAAATGGAAAACATTTCCCTTTAGCGCCAATACCACACAATGATAAGCTTTGGTTGAGAAGCAAAGGGAGGTAAAATACAGTTACTCTGTCTTGTAAAGGAAACAGGAGTAGGATTCTGGGGTCAGGAGGGTTTGCAGCTGTCACTGCAGAGTGTGATAAATGAGCCAAAGAGATAGAGTGAAATTAAGGGTGTGCCCATGCCAGGTATTTCCCCCAAGTTTCATTTCAGTATTTCCCCTCATTGTCCTGGAAAAGTGGAGTGGCGGAAGCCAGTCTCTTGACCTTCTTTGAGTGGTATGGACATTCACTTTTAGGAGCGCCAACCGACAGGCACCTATCAGTCTGTTTACCAGGGACTGAGCATTTAGCATAGCAGCCCCTGCCCTGTGGAACTCCATTTATTGACATGTTGGAGGTTTTTAAGCAGGGGTTGGATGGCCATCTGTCACAGATGCTTTAGCTGAGGTTCCTGCATTGCTGGGGGTTGGACTAGATGACACTCAGAACCCCTTCCAACTCTACAATTCTGTGACTCAAAGATTTTATGTTACAGGTGCTTTTACCAACATTGTCATTTTTCTCTGTTGCACTCCCCAATCCTATTATTTCCTATGAACATGCAGCTTTTGTAAACATATAAACACATGAAATGATTGGTGTGATCATGTTAATGCTTATTCTCAGCCCCCTCTGCCACTCCCCTTCAATCTCTAGTACAGTTAGGGTCAATAATTCTGGCCTACCTTACAATGTGTCCCAGTTGAAGCAATGGTACAGTTCTCTCCGCACAGAGTTCCTCCATGGAGCTGCACTGAAGAAATCATAAGGCGCTGCTTCCAGGTGGGGAGTTGTGAGAAAGATCTCTACCAGGAAGATCCATGTGGCAGTATTATCTTTCTGGATCAGGTACTACTGCCCCCCATGAGGCCATCTCCAAGAGACACTCCATGCAGAAAGGTTTTAGAGCACTGGTCTTCAACTGGTGGGTCGAGACCCCTAGTGGGTCATGGCCTGATCCTATGCAAATATATGGTTGGTGGCATCTGTTTATCTCAAGAGTCAATGGAGTGTGCTTCTGGGGGTGAAGTCGAACTGCTGGAGAATCACAGTGCCTGCTGTAGCTGCAGAAACTCGTAACTGCTGCCTCCTGCATTGTTTTTGCTGTGTTAGCAACATCTTTGTGACCTCCCCAGGGCACAAGCCTGGAGAGTGTGTATGGAGGTCCTGGGCTGCCTGGACAACAGGGCCTCCCTCTCAGCCTACTGGTATAATCCAAAGGAGAGCAGAGCAATCAGCTTAACTGAAGGAGCTGCTGGAAGGAGGTGCACAACACACCATCCAACCACCTTAGGGACTCCACTCTGGATTTTCCCCTTAGCTTTTTCTTCTAAAAAGGATGTCCTTCAAAGCAGTAGGTACAGATTTTTCCTCAGGATTTGCTCCCAAAGCCTTTCTCATGAATGAGTACAGCTCCAAGGCAGCGGAGGTTTAAATTCGGAATTGACAAGCCCCATCTGCCCCCCCCCATTTCCCTCGACAGTATGTGCAAACCACCTTCTTGACCACTAGACCCAATATCAGCCTTGTCCTCTCAATCCGCCAGAGCCTGTCTTCGCATGCAAGGGAAGGCCCTGACTCACTGAGGGTTCGAGGGTAGCCACCCTCCCCTGGTTTAAGTAGCCAGTCAAAGCCATGGGATGTGGCCGCTGTTGCTTCTAGGATTAAGAACTGGGTTTGCAAATGCATGTTTAAGTTAAGAGTGGGTCCTGGGTCTTGAAAAGGTTTGAGTGTACTAGTTTAGAGCATCTAAACCTGGTTGATGATAATATGGGTGATGTATTTTGAGAATTTAGGAAAAGGACTGTATACGGTGCTTTTTTTCCTAGACAAAAAGCTGCCAGAACACACCTCCCTCAGAAGACCCACCCCAGAGCCCAAAGAGAATCTCTTCAGGCTGAGGGTCAGGTCTCCTTGCCAGCCAGAAGCTTGTTGAGGCTGTTCCGCTGAGGTGAGGTGAGCCTTCTGCAGCTTAACAAGCCTCACGTGAGCCAGACCAGCTGGTGACTTACTCAGCTGAGGCGCCGCTTTCCCATGCATCTGTTATTTTCTGGGGGGCTGAAGAGCCTCAGCAAAGCTCCGATGCACCTCCGGCTTGTGAGGAGACCCTCTCCAGAGCCCATAGAGAACATCGCCTTTGGGTACTCCTTGTGACCCGGAGGCACAACAGGGCTTTGCTGAAGCTGGTCAGGTCTCTTCCTCCACTTCTGGGGCCCAGCTGAGAGGTGCTGTTCCGGCACGTTCCAGCTGGAAAAAAGCCCTGTCCATATACATAATAACTGTCATTGTCTTCCTCAGGAGACAGGCAGATGGAGTGGCATGGCATGCACATCTTTTCTTGAGATGGAAAAGGTGTGTTTCAAGAGAGATGGAAACACAGAGAAGAATTTGCTTGCCTTCCAGATCCCTCTCCATCATCGCTTTCCACTCTGTGAGAGCGACAAAGCATCAGACTGCCTCCATGTGCCAAGGAACTACAGTATCTAGCTCCCACAGTCTCACCAAACATTTGTTGATCCAGAGAGAAATAAAATGTGTGTAAAATGCAGGACCATGGGAAGAAATTGATGATACAAGGAAACCATACTATTAGTAACATGGGACAAAGGCTATATATATGGGGTCGCTCAAAGCAGGCCCCAGAGGAAATAGAGCTGCTCCCAATTTGCAATGCAGCAAAGATGTGCACACAGGAAACCTTTTGCCCAACTTGGCTGTGGAAGTCAGAGAATCCACAGCTGCCTGCCAAATACCCATTCCCCTCCAAGTTGTCTGTTTTCTCCCCCTGCTGGCCTTTCTTTGGTTGTGCTGCGTTTCCGTTAACGATGAAGGGCTTTTGTCAGATGGTTTCAATTAGATCCATAAGGATTTCACTAAGAGAAACGGTCCAGTTTTTTGTGTGTTTTTTGGTAGATTCACACTTCATGAATTCCTTGGCAGGCTTGCCTTATGTAACACTGATGTTGCTTTGGATTGCGACATTGCGTCACTGGGCCTGAAATGCGTTGGGGACACACTATCTTACTCTCCAACGCTTCACGGGTGAAACTGAGGACACATATCCTTGTCACAACTTAAGTGTGGGGTTTGCTGCAAGGTACCCTGCAAATATCGGCTTTAAGGGCAGGGCTGAAACATCAGTGACAATAACATCTGCAGTCACATTAAAAATAACTATCTTAACCCACATCTCTGCTACACATTGCCAAAAGTTCTTCTGAGCCTATTGTATTGAGAATTGTAGTCCAAACATCTGGAGGGTCACAGGTTCCTCGCCGCTGATGTGAAGGATTGCAGTATAAGGAAATTAAGGAACAATATCCTCTCTGTGGACCCATGGGTTTAAACTGTTCGGCTGCCTAATGTGGCCATGCTGGCTATGGATTTCAGACAAGCAGATTAACTATCTTTTGAAACAATGTACAAACAGGAAAGTAACCATCCAGATTTCTCTCTCTCTCAGCTCTGATAGGTTCCTCTTTATCTTCAACAAATGTGGTATGGACTGTATCCAATATTCCTTTTAGCTTAAAAGGCAGTTGCCAAAAGAACCCGCTAGGAATTCCACCACCAATACATTTCTGCCACACATACAAATTTTATTGACAATAAGGAATATAGATTGAAAAAAATCTATATGGGCTGATAGCACTAAACATACGCACAAAATGCTCAACAGGGAGAGGTCAAATCATGAATCGGAAGAAAGGGAGAACAGGAAAAGGAACCACAAGACATAGTTTGATGGAGCTTCCTTGAGTGTTGGAGACTTCCTCTTGGCTATCTGAAGTGTTTGGCACCAGCTGTCCAGTGGAAGGGAGTTCTATCTGATCTAGTCCAACCCCTGTGGTACCTCGACAGAACTATCAGGCCCTTCCAATCCTTGGGAAGCTGTCTCTCGATCCTCCATCCCCTCCACCAAGGTGATGTAGAACTTGCTCTCAGTCTTTTCAGACACGTCCTCCTGACGTTAGCCACAGGAATAAGGTGCACAATAAAGCCCTCTCCACGTTGCAAAGGTATCTTATTCAGGGGCCAGTTTCAGAAATGACTTTTTTCCAGCACCCTGCACTATGAAGGGAGAATCCTCCATTCAGGAGCGCATCAGAAATAGTTACTATCAAAGCTAGAAAATAAATTACTGCACTGAGGAGACAGTGGGCATGGAAAAAGGAGGAGCAGAATGTGGCAATTGATCCACCCATCCCAAAACACTGAAACAAATTGCGTGTGAACCTGAGTGAAACATTTGGAGCCTGATTTCCTCCCACTTATTGAATTATTCCCATACTAGATAAAGCCACATTTTTCAGGGGGAAGCATCAACTGATTGACTGGAGCTCCCTGTCTATAATATATTTACAGGCACACGCATTCCCTTTGCACGTAGGGTGCGCACAAAAAAGTATGCATAGTTCCTTTATCATTCACATAATGATGGTGGTTATTTCAGGGGTCATAATGTGCATTCAAGAAACTAATGATATTTCTTTTGCCTGCTTCAAAATGGCTGAGTAGCCACTCTGTGTTCTTTCATTCTACAAACTTTTTTTCCTTTTTTAGTCGTTGCTGAACTGCAGTCATTGGCACAGGTGAAACAAAAGGTTTGGGATTTCTCCTATCTGACCAACACTATTGTCTGCAAACTCTTGATGAAGGGCTCCCTCTGTTGGGAAACTGGAGCAAACTAAATATGAGCTCTTTTTGTTCATTGCGTTGTACTTCCAGGTTGATAACATTAGTAAAATCACTAGACTGGCCAGTCTGTAGTTACATAATTCATCATTCTCTTTGGTGGTTGGGACAACAATATGCCCAGCAAGTATATTACACATGAAGGATAGCAAAGCTATGGATATTTAGGTTTAGATTTCGATTTAGATTGGCTGTGTGTGTGTGTGTGTGTGTGTGTGTGTGTGTGTGTACACACTATACATTTAAAACACCCCCAAAGGAATCCTGGGAACTGTAGTTTGTTAAGAATGCTGGGAACTGTAACTCTGGGAGGACAAACTACAGTTCCCAGGATACTTTAGTGTGGAAATGTGCTTGTAATGCTCTCTACATGTATGGTGTATGTGGTGTATACACAGCCGAAATCCTTTGCCCTAGACTAACCAACAGGCAAGTCTCCACATGATGGCAGCAGAGTGTTGAATGAGTCATCCTATCCAGCCATATGTTACAGACACAGCTACATGCTGTTTCATTTGAATCCTCTTTGGGACCACAGAACCTATTGTCACACCTGGATGATGTTCCAAAAATGACCATAGGAATCAGGGCTCACGCCTCCTCCAACAAGTCCTGATCTTGCAACCTAAGGGATATTACGTGAGGATTCATTCTGTGGCACAACCCAGCTGTGACTTAAGAGAGGAAGACTGCACAGAGATCTGCCCGACACACAAGGAAGCTGGAGATTTCCCATGTAATCTCTGTGGCTGCCGACACTGGTATGAAGATGTTATGCTCGTTTGGTAAGTGGGTTACAATTATTCCATCTGCCTAAAACTGTTCTTACTGGGCTGAATGCTGTTTGTGACTAGTGTTCTTGCTTTGCATCCGTTGCATTTTTAGGATGTTTTGTGGTTTTAAATTGATATCTATTTGATTCTGTAAATCTGTATGTTAAATCACAAAATTTTAAAACAAATGGATCAAAAATTGAAAGTCATCAATAATAAAAAGAGATTAAAGCGGAAAAAGTTACTAGCTACAAAAACGTATACTGTCCAACTTGCCCAAACATACGTATATAATTTTTGGTTCTTTGCAGAAAGAGGGAAAGAAAGGAACCACTTTGTGTTCCAATATACAAAGGCTTTCCTGCCTTGGATAGTCATGGCAACCAGGAAATGAGTAAACCTCTTCCCTTTCATTTAGAACACAAATCTAGAAACAGAGTATCGCCCAGACAAATATTTATTTTGTATTTTCTTCCATATTGTACTTTTCTCCATTTAAGATGCATGCGTTTTCTTTTAACCCCACCCCACTGATTTTGGAACCATGATATAGCAGTGAGTGCTTGTACAGAGAATTATAGAATCGTGGAGTTAGAAGGGACCGTGAGGTTCATCTAGTTCAACCCCCTGCAATGCAGGAATCTTTAAGAGGGGGGAGGAACTATTATAAAAATTATAATAGTTATAAAATTATAAAAAAGAAACTGTTCCTAAATTATGTAGAATGTACAGACAAAAATATTTGCGATAGCCAGCTCTGCTTCAGAAGTTTCTAGGTGTTTTAGTATGCTGAAATAACTCCTACATGCCACAAGAGGGCTATGTATATATTGGTCTAGTTTTCAGACTGTTATTTCTGCAGTAAGTTCTACACGCAAAAAAACCCACATAAATATAAAAAATATAAAATAATACATTTCTTACCCACCTTTCACCACCAGTTCCCAGCACAGGATACAATAATTAAAAATTTAGAATTAAAAGCGGTTACAACAGATTTCAGTCACTGGAACAGGGTGGATCTTGAAAACACACAATAGACCAGGGTAAAAAGTGCATCTTTAGCAATCGCCAAAAACTGTATAGTGGACCCAGCACCCAGACCTCTGAAAGAGGTAGAACTTCCCTCTTTGTTGCCCTTAGCACCTCAGTGGATCTATAGGGAAGGAGACAGTCTTTCAGATATTTGGGGCTGAAGTAATTGAGGGGTTTAAACACCAGTGTGAGTACCTTATATTGGGCCCAGAAACAAACTGGCAGCCAATGCAGCTGTTTTAGAACAGAGGTTATAGGAGGCAACCCAAGCCAATAATTTGGCTGCTGCATTTGGACTGGTTGAAATTTCTGAGTCGTTTTCAGTGGCAGTCTCACACAGAGCTCATTGCAACAATCCAATCTGGAATCTGCCACAACATCATCTCCATCTAAAAGTTTGCTGCAGCTGGCAAACCAGTCAAAGATGGCATTAGCCAGCGAGGCCACTTGGGCCTCAGGCAACAACACTGGATCCATGAGTACCCCCAGGCTACAGAACTGCTCCTTCTAAAGGAGGGCAACCCCACCCAGAAGAGGCTGCCTTCCCACCTCCTGGATTTGAGAACTTGGAACACAGAAGACCTGTCTTTTCAGGATTCAGCTTGAATGTGTTTGCCCACATCCAGTCCATCAGGGCCTGCAAACACCTGCCCAGCACTCACACGTTTGTTGTAAACAGCTTTGTTTGCTTTTATAAAGAAAGGATATGTCATTAAAGTAAATAATTAAATAATCAGGACCAACCAGAAGCACCTGGTGATGACAGGAAATTACCATCAATATTGTTGGTGGGCTTAAAGTGTCATCTTTTGAGAAACAGCAACTGTTTGGGCTGAGCAAAAAAAACCCCAAACCCTTCAGTCTTGTTTCGATTGCCAGCTACTTGGAATGTAGCTGGAATGCAAAGGCTTTTCTGCAAGTCACACCCACCTTGCAAAAGCAGATTGGAGACCTTAAAAATATGTGCATCGTTCTGGCTCAGTTGGTAAATGTGAGGCTCAAGGCAGCAGTCAGGGTTGTCTTTACAGCTGCAATAGACATTCTCATACTCTCTTCTTCCAAAGAAACTGACCCTAAATACCATATGGCTATGGGAGGGGCTGCAATGAAGCAGGCGAACACATCTTTTGTATTGTCAACAGAAGGCATCATTTGAAATGATCAGGAAACAGGTGATGGGCAAAGCTTCTGTCTGGTCCCTTGGAGAGCTGCTAACAGCCAGAGAGGACAGTCCTGGGTTAGATGGCCTGAGCTGATATGAAGAAGCTTCTAAGCAGCACTGTTTTTCTAGAAAAAGAGATGCCGGAACTCACCATGAATGCCTCCCTTCTTCTCTTATAATGACAATAGTGACCACCTGAGAGGTGCCAGAACTAAGTTCTGGCGAGTTCCGGGTGGAAAAAGCCCTGCTTCTAAGTGATTCTGTGAAAGGGAATTGGAGGTACCTCTACAATTAGAGAAGGATCATATGCAGGTCCACACTATTCCCATTTTCTTCACTGGATCCGGGGCGTTAAAATAAAGCTGCCTGAAGTAAACCCTACACAAATCCAGAGTGGAGTACCTAAGATGCTTGGATGGAGTCTTGTATGCCTCCTTCCAGCAACTCCTGCAGCCAAGCTGGTGCCAAATGTATTGCTGTGCTTTCCTTTGGACCACATCAGTGGGGCCAAGAGGGGGCTTTTGTTGTCTGGGCAGCCCAGGACCTCCATAGAGACTGCCCAGGCCTGTGTCCAGGAGTTTCATTTTAAGCCTCTTCTCATGCCCTTCTGTCACTTACTGCTTTGCCCACAATTTCTGCACTTAATCATGCCTGTGCTCATTTTTTTTCTCAGCTTATAAAGTCCCTGGTTCCTGCTACTAGACACCCCCACCCTTCCCACCATATAGATTGTAAATAAATGTGGGCAAAGGGTCTCTGCCAGCCGGGCTCAGGAACTTTACTCCTTGCACTGCCATGGCAGAATTGGCAGAAGCCTTTCCCCCATAATATATGCTGTGTTGGAACTGCTTTTGAAGACAATTTGGACATCAGCTGACTCAAAATGCAGGAGCCAGAATTTTAACAGGTGCTGCCTGCTAAGACCACGTAAAAGAACCACATGGTCTGTCTGCTAGTTTCTGGGCTCAGAAGTGCTGTTTTTGACCTTTAAACCCCTACATGGTTTTGTTAATCCAAATAAATAACTCCGCCCACATACAGTGCAGTGGTACCTGGTTTTACAGACACTTCATGTTACAGACTCTGCTAACCCAGAAATATTACCTTGGGTTAAGAAATTTGCTTCAGGATGAAAACAGAAATCGTGTGGCGGCAGTGAGAGGCCCCATTAGCTAAAGTGGTACCTCAGGTTAAGAACGCACCTCAGGAATGAATTAAGTTCTTAACCTGAGGTGCCACTGTATTCCACATACAACCCTTGGCACCCTGTTAGTAGTATAGTGGGTGGCAGTTACAAGGTGTAGTGCCTTCTGGGTAGAGGCACTCCTGTTTGGAACCTGCTAATAAGGCAAATTCATCTATGGTCCTTTAGGAAGTAAGTAAAAAAAAGTTATCGTTTTAGCAAGACGTTGGATTTAAGATGGAGTACCAATATTTTTAATCCTTGTCGTATTGGTTTTTTGAGTCTTGTGGTGGATTTTATCTTTATTTATTTCAGTGTTTGTATGAACACTTTCTTTTTGTTTTTTAACTGAATGTGCGAACCACTCAGAACTATGGTTATAGCGTGGTATATAAATGTAATAACTGAAGTAATGACTGTAGAAACATATTTTTTTTTAAAACTATGTAAAAAAGTGAGACCAATGAAAGGGCGTGTGTGTCATACCAGTTTCCTTGGAGTGTGATTTGCCTGTTGCTTTGGAAATAAGCTCCAACTTCTGGATGACACAACTTCTGTTGTGACACAGAGGCACATGAACATTAACACAAGGTACTTGCTCTGTGCTAATAACAGATGTCACTACTTTTGGTAGGATTTGTCTTTTTATGAACAGGATTGGTTTAAAGAAGGTGCTGTTTATTTCAGCATTGTTACATCGTTAAGTAGAAAGAGATTTTGTTGTGCTGAAGGACTCTAATGGACATGCCTTAGTCGTATCCCCCCCCCCCCGGGGAATGTGCAGCACACTTTTAAAGTTCCCAGTTAGCTGCCTGGTGGGGTGTGAATGGGTGTCTTTTCTGGGACAGATCCATACAATTGGCTCAGGCAAAGGAATTCCCAAATTGTTGAGTGTTAGATTTAAACTTAACTGCGGGAGGCAGTGGAAGACAGGAGTGCCTGGTCCATAGGGTCACGAAGAGTCGGACACGACTAAACGACTAAACAACAAGATTTAAATTTAGTTTTGGTCATTCTAGAAATGTGCAAAATATTAAGAAAACTGGATGACACGAGGTTAAAAAAAATGGATCACTTGATATGGAATGACCCGTTGGTAACAGAAGCGGACTTAAGAATCGCCTGAGCTAAATATTCCGAAGCGAGCGCGGGCGTGGCGGGGCTTTAGCAAGAGGAGGTGCACGTGTGTATGAGAGATTTCTTTCATGGGCAGAGCGGTTACTCAGCAGACCTGTCATTTGTTCCACCCGAAAATGTTTGCATCGTGAAACCCGACGCTGTTGTTGCTGCAGCTGCCGCCAAGTGGGAGGGCCCAGGAGGAGGAGGAAGGAGGAGAAAGTTCAGCTCCTCCTCCTCTTCTGGGCTCTTCAGTTATTTTCTTGCTTCTCGGAAGAGTCAAGCGAGCAGAGCACGGCTGAGAAAGCAAGAGGAGGACACGCAGCGCTTGGGCGTTCCCTGGACCTTCCTTGACAGCCTTCCTGGGGGCTTACCTGCCAGGTGAGAGGGTTGCACCAGGGGAGGCCGCAGCTGCGCCTTCGTGCCCGGCTGCTGCGGGCGCTGGCGGGCATCGGGCGCGTCTCTGCTGGAAACGGAGCCCCGGGCGAGGCGGGCCTTGCTCCGCCTGAAGCCAGCAAGGCGGGGGACTCCCTGCCACACACCTATAGCAGGTTGGGAAGCGGCCCCTCTTAATTCAAGGGGGCCTGAATCTCAGGGAAGCTGGTGCCCTTCCTCTCTTAGGTCGCCCCGACCTAAACTGGGTTTGGGGGAAGGGTTGCCCTCCCTTCTCAAGCGCAAACATGGCTTGCAAGTCTTCCTTCTCTGCCCGCCAAGGGCGGAGGTGCTGGGTTGGGTCGAGGAAGAGCGGGAGCCTCGAGCTGCTGCTCCTTGTTGGGTCGAACAGCCTGGCTCGGTGCGGGCCTTACTCTGCAACAGGGCGGGGTGACTTTTCCAACTTACAGCTTTCAAAACTTGAGGGGTGCTCAAAAGTTGTAACGTGACTTGGGAATTCAAAGGATTTAATAGGATGTTTGGTGGGTAACACCAGTGTAAAATCGCATCGAAATCGTTAAAAAGGATGGCCAAGTGCTAGTAGTTGTGTAATATATCAATATTTATTATTTAGTGTTACCTGATGTTTTCAGAAGGTAGAATTAAAATGGTTTTCCGAAAGCAAGTTCATGTGCTTCTTCATCAGACGTAGACTAACCAAGCTAAATGTTGTCCAAACACAAAAATAACAGCAGATTTGAATTCCTCAGACATATTTTCAAGACCCCTCGCAGAAGAAAATGGCAAAAAATAAGCTTCACTCCCTAAAATGGCATGCTCTACTCATGTAAGCTTTTCTGCTTCACAGCATAGAATAATAGAATCATGGAGTTGGGACTATGAGGGTCATCTAGTCCTACCCCCTGCAATGCAGGAATCTCAACTGACATGACATATTGTCATCCAACTTCTGCTTAAAAACCTCCAAGGAAGGAGAGCCCACCATTATTATTATTATTATTATTATTATTATTATTATTCCTATTCCTTAAATGTATACTCGATGTCTTCTCTTAATGAATTCTTAACAACAGCTGCCTTTACTTGTTTTATTTTTTTAAAAAACCAACCAGGCCAATTTTAGATTAGAAGCTCCCTGGGGCAGGGACTTTTCTTTCTGATCTTGTGTGTTGTTGCCTTGTAAAGTGCAATAATTTCTACTGGGCCCTTATAATAGCTGCATTTATGTTGTTTATTTCTGGCCTTTAAAGTGCTTCAAGTACATGATTTCAGTAATCCTGTAATTAACACCTGCATTTTTTTGCCCCCTGTATCCTGGCCCATCACAGCAGCCCTCAAGTGCAGGACAGAAGTTATTTACTTATTTATTCTGTTATTTATTTATACTTCTTCCATCCTCCAAAGCAACATACATGGTTCATCTCTTTCCTCCATCGTATCTTAACAACAAACCTGTGAGGCAAATGAATGACATGCTCAAAACTTCCTTGCAAGTTCCATGCCTGAATGGAGATTTGAATCTGAGTCTCTCCAGTCCTAGAATGAAACTTTAATTGCTTCTCTGCACCACTTGTACATAGGGATAGGCCTGCTCTTGTCAGACTAGGTACATCCCGTGGGCTTAAGGTTAAGGTCGAAGACCTCGAGAACAAATACCTGCAAGCAGATGGGCAGTGCTTGGTGAAATCTCAAACCTGAGATGTGAGGAGGAATTCGGTGCCCTACATAACATCTTCCCTATGACTAACGGAGGCAGACCAAATTATGTTAGATAAGCAGCTCTATGAAAATTTGCTTATTTGTACATAATATATACAGGGTGTGGAACCATGAGTTGTCTCAGTAGAGATCTTTTTTAATTTTACATGAAGTTGTACACCTTGCCTTCTGTGGATTGTAAAATGCTTTGCACAGTTGGAACGCTATAATATTTTTTATGAAGTGCGCTAGGTACCACACAATAATTTCTAGACATGCGTGATGCAGATTTTTAAGGCCTAGCTTATTTCTGTAATTTTAAGTTGCTTAAGACTGAATTCCATATTATGTTGTCATTGTTACCTGCCCCGAAACCTTAGGGTGAAGGATGAGTAATAAATTGTTTTAGTAGTAGTAATTAATAATAATAAATACTAGAAATGCGTAGTGATATGTGTGGATTTGTGGTCTGCGATACTTTCCCTTGTTTCCCAAATGTGGCAGTGTTGTTTTCTTTCCCTTCCTGTGTCTGAACTGACAACAAAGAATGTTCTGTCTCTTTATCTTCTATAGTTGTTCCTAATAACATTGCTGTTTCTGGGATCCTGTTTCTGGTTGTTTGTTGCAGAGGATTCTGGTTTAGGGGCTCCTGCACAGGATTATTTTGCTCCCAGGATTATTTTGGGATGTGTGTCTTGTTGGTAGACCTGCCTGAAAGCTACTGTAGTGACTGAAATGCTATGTTGCTGGTCTAGCATATCCCATAATGCTATTGTAATATGCTAGTGCATAGGGGTGGGGTGCTTAACCCTCCTCCCTGCCAATGACTCCAAGCAGCTTTCAGTTCATTTCCCCCCAGGTGGGCTCTTAAACTGGAGCAAGGCCAGTTGAGATCAGCCTTCAAAGAACATTTGTAGGGGAGAACTGGCAGCAGGTACAAGAGAGATTAGTCTCTCATTTCAGCCTGCTGACCCCTCTGCTCCGCAAGTCCCATCCCCAGCCCCCAATTCCTGGTCGGGAATGGGGTTAGGAATGTTCTTATGCCAAAATCATATGTAGCTCTGCCCAGAGCGTAAGATGTGGGAATCCCCTGGTTCAAATTACCAGTACACATCGCGGAGAAACACATTTGTAAGCCACGGTCTTTTGAGTTTTTCACTTCCCCATCTGCAATGTAGGGGATAATTATGCCGGCTCACTTTGTAGATCTCTCAAGTCTAGAGCGATGGGATGGATATCTGCAATGACTGTTCATTCTCATTTAGATTTCAGCCTGCGCAAATCAACAGGATTGGCAGAACCAGCCAGTATAACATCAGATCCTCTTTTCCCCGCACACTGTTTTAATTTTTTATGTACTGCCACCCAACCCTTTTGAGCTGTGGTGTGAACTTGCCGTGGCAATGGGTGGCCATTTGTGTCTCCCCTGATCAAGTGGGCATAAAGTGAGGCAATTGTTACCACAGAATTTGCGTGCTGGCAACTGAACCCTGTTCCCCCCACCCTGCCTTACCTTGCCATACTCCGTTGCTACGGGTGCTTCTATCTAGCGATTAAAAATGGGATTAAAAATGAAGAATGTACGGGGGGAGAGACAGGGTTCAGCTGCCTTCGCCCATGCGCAACATTTGTGGTAAGAGTTGTCACCTTCTCCACTCAGGTGTTATGCGTGAACTGGGCATAGAGGCCATGAAGTGCGTCTGGCCCCTTCATGTCCGGTTTAGATCTTGGTTTCAGCATGTGGATGTCTGGAAAAAGGAATCGGTGTGGCCTCAGTTTGGGCCTTGGAGCTTTCAGTCAGTTCCTTGCTCAGTTTCGGACAAATTCCAATCTCTTGGCTTCCATCCCTCAGCTGCTGGGCAGGGGAATGCAAATGCAGAACAGGGTGGTAACGAGGCCAAACTAAAAATAGGAATGTACATTTTGTAGTATTGAATAGCCAATAGGTTGTATTAATTATGACCACTAACTTTGTATAAAAATATATGCAGAAACATAACACTGCTCTAGCAAAACAGGCCAGAGAATGAAATTTTTTGGAGGGGAGGGTTTCATGCAGTGGTGGTTGCTAGCTATCCCGTATTATCCTGAACCTATCTTGCCTCATAGGGTGATTGTGAGAGAGAAGAAGCAGCCCAAGGTTGTTTGGGGATTTTTATGGACCCAAAATCCACATACACACAAATTAATAAACACTGGCTCCAGTCTAGCAGGAGGTTGAACTGCAAACAACCCATTGAAATGACTGTGCTCATGCAAGTCGACCTGTACAAGAAAACCTCTCGAGTTGCACCTAGGGTAAATGCATTAAATTCTGTGCATCAAATCAATGATCAGGCAGGGAATTTTTTGATTGTGAATTCAAGCACACTGGACAGGTTTTATTGTTGTAGGCCTCCGAACTTCAGGAAGAGGGATGTGGGAAGAAAACTTCATTAACCAAGGGCTGCTTTGTTTCATTGCCCTTTCTTTCTCATTAACTCCCACATGTTTCTTTGTGCATTACAGCTTTAAGTGCTCAGTAGCAGTTTCTGCTTTCCTTCTAGAATAATTGACTTGTGACATCACTGCTGGCTGTCATGGAAACCATAACAGCCCAGCACAGTGTGTGGCAACCTTCCCCGACTGGGTGCCCTGCATTTTTATGGGATCACATCTCCCATCAAGCCCAGCCAGGAACTCCACTGCTGATGGGAGCTCTTCTCATGAACTTTCTTACCACCCCAGTTCAAGAAGGATGTAAATACAATGGCTGGGATTTGGAGGAGCACGAGGGAGGTATGGAAGAGGTTTGTTAAAGTAATGGGGAAAGTCTTCAGGTGTTGAAGATCAGTGTAGTTGGCCAACTGGCGATCCTTGGGCTGGAACAAGCTTTTGAAATAATTGTCCCTGGAAGCTCTGACAAAATCAAGATGTGGCAGAAAGTTTGCCTGTGCTTTTGGTTTGTAAGAAAATGGTTCCCAAAAGAGCGAATCCAACGCTTTAGGTTAAATCCGGATTGTAAATCTAATTCTGTAGAGTTTTGAAGCCCTTAAGATGGCACCAACTTCCTTGCCATCTGTGAAGAAAGGTCAGTTTGTATAGCAAAATATACTCTGGCTCCCAAGTTACTATAGTTCAGACCCTGAAAACATAGATTTGCCATTCCAGGGATACAGTTAAATTAATGGTTTTCAAATTTCATACCTTCTGGAAACCTTTTTGGATGGATCCATCTACTGAGGAACCTTCCTCTATAGAGAAAATTCTGGAAAGCATTAGAGGGGCACTCTGGATTGGTTAATACATAATGGCCAAACTATGATTTGGTGACTGAGACTTTGCTTGTGCTTATAGTTTGCTTGATTTGAACCCAGTGGCAATCTAAGGAAGTAAGAGAGAGAATTAATGTGATCTGGCAGCATGGTATGCATGATCATGTGCAATTCCAATCTTTCGAAACCAAGTTGAGAGAGAGCTGCTACTCTAAATATAGCATTTGCCTACAAAAAGATTAGCCTTAAGGTACCAGTGTGGTTTTAAAAGGAAAGTAGTAATAGAAGCTTGCATTTTTAGCTGTATCATAGTATATTCTATATCTTAAATAGTAAGCTTAGTTCCCTGAGTGTCAGTCCTTATGTAGATGGAAATGAAAAGGGGAAGGCAGCAGAATTAAGAAACCCCTCCTCCCTGGGCTTTTTTTAGCTGGAAATCACCGGAACTCAGTGCTGACACCTCTCAGGTGGGCGCCATTGCCATTCTTAGAGAACGAGGGAGGCGTTCATGGTGAGTTTCCAGCACCTCTTTTTCTATAAGAATAGCACTGGGAACACCAGTATTTACAGTAGTACTTTAAAAACCTTGAGCAAAAAAATGGAGGTGGGCGGGAACTCGAAACGGATTAATTCTCATTGACCGCATGATGCTGACTGATAGGGAAGAAAAGGAAAATGGGTGGGAAGCTGGGAGTGGTATGGAATATCCTTGAAACTAGCATGGCTGGGGCGAGCAGTCTGCACTGCATCATATATAGGGAGCCACCAGGACTAGTTGCCATTGACACCCTTATCCTCTGTGACTTTGTCACGTTAAAATGCAGGCTTTGCTCTCACAGAAGGCAGCGATGGCCATGAACAAGGAGCAGGGGTGGTTGCCCCAGGTGCAAAATTTCAGCACCTGGTGCTTCCTCTGTACTGCTGCATGCTTCTGTTGCTGGGCTCCGTTGAAAACGGCTTCTCCATACGAAGCAGGAAGTGAGCTCTCCAGACAACGGAATGACTCTTATCTTTGCGGCAGCAATCTTCTGGGTGACAGGGACGCTGTTAGGCAGTTGAATGCACATACGTACTCCGTCCATTTCCCTCCCTCCCACCCACCCCTGCCCCTCTGCACAGCCCCAGACACTGGCTACCCATGCTATGCCACTGCTAGATGGGCATTGAGCTGATCCAGCAGGTTAAGCCCCTTTAGCTGTGTAAGGTGGTAGCCATCACAACATCTTCTGGTAACTAATTTCTTAAGTTCTGCATCCTACATATTGAAAAAGTCTCATCCTGCCCCAGTGGAGGCTAGTCCATTGCACCACCCTCAGCCAGCCTTCACCTGCCTGCTGTTGTACTTTCATCAGATCCAGGGCTGACTCTGGCTCTATCCACTTCTTGTCTCCCTTGGCTTCTGCCCTACTGGTTCCATGGAGCACCACTCCACCCCCTGACCCAAATGTATATTTATATTGGTGGACATGGCATGAAATCCTACAATCATCTGTACGAAAACTAAACAGGGAAACTCTGCAGTATAGAAACAGTGGCTTTATTAATGCTGCTAGGTAAAAAAAACAAACCCAAAACCCCATGGTTGTAAAAACTGTAGGCCTCTATTTACACTGCAGGCTTTGAGGGAAAGACCTTATTTATCCTTCAGCAAGCGAGTTCTCACATATAAATTGAGAAACTTTGTGCTTTTTTGGGGTATATAAATATGCCTCAGCTGTCCAATTTAAAGAAGTCCATTCAGCCGTGTATTTGCCAGAGTCCAGTGATTCACCCTTTAATTGTTTTCTGATGTAAATTTATAAATCCCACTCATGACCTACTTTCCTTTTGGGGAGAAGTATTCTCTTTTATTATTTATTTTAAAAGATTAAATGAAACTGCTAAAGTAATGAAAAATTAATCTGGTGCCTTTAAAAAAAACACAACAACACCAGCATGTTAACTGTTACAATACTTTTTAAAAACGGGTCAAAGTAGTTATGTTGACTCACAGGAAAAAATTCATATTGGGCCAGTACCTTCATTAAAACAACCAGTTAAGTCACATCATTCATTATTATGCAAGCTTTTGAGCTAAGCACCACTAGATGACTAGATGGTACAAAATAATGCAAGGCGATGGGATGAGGAACAGGATTTTATTTTATTTTATTGGCTGGTGTTCAAGTCACCCACATCTGGATCTAACAATAGTCTTATGATGGAGTGTGGCAATAGGAGCCCAGAAAACTTTCAAAAAAACAGCAAGCATAATATAATCTGCCTTGCTATTGAATACTGTGGGAGGGTCTACTACCTTGTAAGCTTTAGATATTTCATTGGGAAGGGTATAATTTAAAAAGCATTTGGGGGATGATCATCTTGCCCTTGGTACACTGGTCACTATTAAATCCAATAGGAATATGCAGTGGCAAATGGTTCCGGGTAATTCTTTGTTACTGTTTATATAGTTGAATATATTTTGGTGCGCTAATACTTATTAGTGAGGCCCATAGCATTCTTCTGTAGTTATGAGGAAGTTTTACTTTGAGGAAGACTCCTTGGGTTTCCCCCAGAGTTTCAAAAGACTATTTTCCCTTTGGATATTTAAGATGCCTCAGAACATTTCAGTTCCTCACAGCATGCAAGTCTCCGTTCTCTCTTCAATTGATCAAAGTACTTCAGCCAAATTATGGCACACGTTGGGTTTGGTTATATATACAGTGTCTCAGCATGTGGAATGGCTGTAGGGATGTGGCTCCCTTGGTGATATTTTTGTCCACATCTCTAATCTTTCAGCGCAGGAAAATGAATTGATGAGATGGAAATGGATTAAAACTTCCAAATGCTACAGGACATTGAGAAGTCTGAGACATATCTGATCAGACAAGGTTTCGTCTGGGTTTCCTGTGAATTAAGAGTAGAATTGCAGAAGGTGGTGCTCTATTCCAGTGAAATGCTAAAATGTGCAACACTTTAATTAAAAAAACCGCCCTGCAACTTCTAGATTAGTAATTCACGGGCAACACTTCAGAATATCATTTGCAATCTAGCAACAACTTTCTGGTGATAGCTATGAGGTTTCAGTCTGACAAAGAGTTCTTAAACCATTGAAACAATACATGTAGAACTCCAAACCATTTCTTGATTCAGTCAGTTTGTAAAAGCCACATAAACCGGAGTGTTCATTTACAGATGTTTCACCCGTTTTCTTTTGTCCATGATTGACAGCAACTTGCAGGAAGAGCGCGAGTGTCTCTCATATGAAAACCTCTCTGTGTTAGCTGGACTGGGTCTGTTTAAATAGTTGCATCTTGGAAAGGTCAAATGCACCCAAAGGAAATGCTGATAAAAAGAATTGCTGCCTTATCACTCATAACAGTCATGTCATAAAGCAGAGTTCGAGGCTGCAGGAGACAATGCTTCCTTAGATTAGTCAGGAGTTGACAAACTAATATATAATATGTTACAAAGGCGTCTCATGTGACTTTTAAGGTTTCTGTGTGATACAGTTGGATCTTTCTCAAGCTTAAAGGCAGGGCTTTTTTTCAGCCAGGACTCTTCAGAACTCAGTTCTGGCACCTTTCAGGTGGGCACCATTGCCATGATAAGAGAACAAGAGGTGTTCATGTTGAGTTCCAGCACCTCTTTTTCCCTAGAAAAATAGCTCTACTTTTAATGTGTGGCCATCTTCATGTGCATCATTGTTAGGCGCTAACATTTGTAGCTCAAGAACAGGATATGATGGATTAGAAAATTTGTGGTGTGATGGATTAGAAAATTTGCTGGCTGCCTGGAAAAACCCACTGTTTTCAAATGGAGAACATGAAAGAGGCAGGTTCAACTTCATTCAGAAACTAAGCGAAGGCACTTCAGTTTTATGTCGCATGCCACTGAACTTGGTGGAGTTCTTTCAATTTAAACTTCACTTTTGTGACCTAGGCCCACATTTACAGCTGCAATGTCAAAATATTACATTAGGCTGTGCTATGGATGGCTTTTGATAGGGTGACCCCACATGTTGGGTTTCTTCCTTGTTCAGCTGGCAATGTGGGTGGCTCCTATCCAAAGTTGCTTGCCTGGCTCTGCAACTCCTAAATATAATTTTCCCCTTTGGGTGGGCCTAAATATTTCTCAGTTGACAGCTGAATGCAGAGTCGGCTGGCTGGTTGCAGGGGCTTGTCTTGTTTGAAACTACGTGGAAAAGGAGGAAAGCTGTAGAGTGTGTATGAACAGACCACGCCAAATGCAACATGTTCTAATAGTTCTTCCTATATTTGGGTAGCTTGTCCTCCTGCTCTGTGTATTTGTACTTGCCCTTTGTCAATATTGTGTCATCAGCACTTATATTTTTAAGGGAGCAAGCAGAACACATGCTGTAGGGATTGCTTTAAAATAATGGCAGTAGGAGCTGAGAGGAAATTTCTGTAGGAAAACCACTATCTATTTTTCAGGTTTGTTTCATGTATTGCAAAATCTAATCAGTTTCCAGGTTAGCTTAAAAGCACACCAGTGATTGACTAAAAGTAGGTCCAATTAAGTGGACAGCATTTTTTTTTTTTTTTTACAGAATTGTAAGGCAGGAAAAGCACATTCCATCTGCAAGTTATCGTAACAAACATTTCCCTCTTCTCTCTTTGCTTTCAGAGGATGTTTGAGTTACTGCCATGCTGAGAAGTTGATGGGTTTTTTTTAAAAAAAAGTCCCCCCCCACCCAATATTCTTTGCAAATTGATATTGTCTGCCTTTGTAATACCTTTGTAATGTAAGTTGTTTACTCTTTCCAAATTCTGCTGCTGCTGGTGTAAGGCTGCTAGCTGGGATTGCAAAATACCACCAGAGTCCCATCTGATACTGTTTTCCGGAGTTGGTTCCGGGGGCCCTTTGGTGAGTTTGGGGTTGTTTGTTTAAGATACTTTGATAACATATTACCCAATGCAGGTACGGTACGAGAGAGAGAGAGAGAGAGAGAGGGCGCACTCCGCAGCCTGTGCATGCTTGCAAACCAGGAAACAACATGATGTAACCTCCTTCCTTGTCGTTCAGAATTTCACTTGAGCCTGTACATGGAAGGCTGTGGGATTTGCACGAGGAGGAAAGAGGATACTAGTCAGGTTCAGCATACTGGTGGATCTAACTCAAGATTGTTGTAGTACTTAAGTGTTTCTGTTTTGGTGCACTGGCTGGATTGATAACAGCCATCTGTCTCCTAAACTTGTGTCTCCCCACACCCATCATGCTGCTTTTAGTCTGTTCAGATGTCATTTTCAGCCTAGGGTATGTGTTGATTTGATTATGATGAAGCTCTCCCTTTTCAGTCTGTTTTTCTTTTGAAGAGGCACGCCATCACTTATTACCAGTGTTAGAAATTAGCGAGGCACGTTTTGCTACTGGCACAGGTCCAATTGCGACCACATGGAGATCTCTGGATGCCAGGTTGGCGACTGACATCTCCATCTCGCTGGGCCCTCCAGCTTCCTTAAGCAGGTAAGCAGAAGAGCTCATTTATTGTATTTGTATCCCACCTTTTTCTCCAAGGGGTAAATGGTCCCCCCCCCTCAGTTAATCCCTACAGTTACCCTGTGAGCTAGGTTAAGAAGCTATGACTGGTCAAAGGTCATCCAGTGAGCTTCATAACTGAATGGGGGTTTGAACCCTGAACTCCCTAATCCTAGTCCAACACCCTAACAGCTACACCCCACTGGCTTCCAATAGTTCTTCTGCTATGGTGCAGCTCTGTAGATTGAGTAGCTAAATAAATACAGGGAAAGCAAAATGTCACTTAGAGAAGGATCTGAAATATTTTCCTTGAGGCTTAGATTTGTTTTATTTGGTGTTTTAATGTGTTGTGAATCGCTCTGAGATTTTTTCCCTTTAAAATATAAAGCGGTATAAAAGTGAATTATTATAATAATAATAATAACAACAAATTCAAAGGAGGGGGGGAGGGAGAAGGCACCTACACATTCCGTTGTGGCGACCGTAACCTGGGTTTAAGGTGCCATTTGGCGATTAGCTCATATCTGAGTTTCTAACACTGCTTATTGCATCCTGCACCTGGTGGGAGCGTACTTGCAGTTGAGGCAGGTGACAGGGTGCAGGTGCGCAACATGTTTGCCTCTTTTACGACAGCCGGAATGGACTATGGAGTGGACTTTGTTCGCGACCTCAGTTTGAATGGGGAATCCAGGCAACACAGGATTCCATCGCATCCCAGGGATCTCCACGGTGTTCCCCGTATTGTTCTTGTTGCGCAGTTGCGGTAATAACAGTGACGGCGAACACGTAGCAAGCCATTTGTAGGATTTACTCAGGCTGCAGATAAGAACAGCTCTGCTGCAGGGTTGATGGCGACTGGGAGATAACCAGGAACTTGCAAATTGTAGGGCTCTCACCACAGAGCGAAGTCTGAGTCATTTAAAAATTTCATGGTACATCAAATAAGGAAGGAGGAAGGGCCTGGTTTTAAAAGGGGTTGGAAAAAGGGGTTGGTAGGGAAGGGCATTGTGCAAATATTACGGGGATTATAGGGACACTCTAAACACTTGGTGGTACCAGAAAATTGGGTAGGAGCAGTGCCCCAGCTGCACTCAAAGGTCCGAGTGTAGAAGCAAGTGTTCCTCTCTACAAACTGTGAGAGCCAGGGCTTTTAAAAAAAAATTTAAAAGCCACAGTTTCAAGGTGTCAGGTTCCCTGGTTTGCATTTACGGATAGCTTTGCTGATAAGCCCACAACTGCTGCTAGCAACAGAGTTGACTAGTCTGTCAGCACTTATGCCTAGATGAGCTGTGTGTGCTGTGCATATTTCCTTGGCTTGTCTCCTGGAACCAGTTCTTACTTGTTACCGGCAAGTGGCTATTTATGCACCTGACTGAATGAACAACTGCCATTCCTTCCTTTCCATTCTCCACTTTTAGTTAGTTAGTTAGTTTAATCTAAGTCAGGTATAGGCAAATTCCCCCCTCCAGATGTTTGGGACTACAATTCCCATCATCCCTAGCTAACAGGACCAGTGGTCAGGGATGATGGGAATTGTAGTCCCAAACATCTGGAGGGCCAGAGTTTGCCTATGCCTGTTCTAAGTCATTTCCCCCTTGCAACAGTTTATTATAACTTTAAAAATCAAAACGAATTAAAATGGGAAGAACCTCCGAATGGTTTTTAGAATGTCACAGCATAAGAACTTTGGTTTTAAACCGTGCTCATAGACTTGGAAGAGTTGGAGGGGACCCCCAAGGGTCATCTAGTCCCACCCACCTCCTGCGATGCAGGAATCGAACTTGCAACTTTCTGAGGAGCAAAATCACAACTAAGAGCTTTAAAGGCAACAGTTATTGTGGCGTAAGTTTTAGTAGGCCAGAGCTCACCTGATCAAGTGAGTCGCTCTTTCAGATGCAGGATGCCGTTGGGGGGGGGGGGCGTTGAAAGGCCATGGAATCTAAGATACAGCAGAATGAGTCTGTTACCGTAAGGCTTTTATCCCTAAGGAGCTTTCAGATTGTTAAGTAGGAAACTTGAGAAATCTAGAAGCAAAACCAAAGCAATTTCAGTTCCTGGTGTTTTAATGGTGGGAATCCGGCTGTTAATTACAGGCCTGCGCAACTACTGACTAGCCAAGCCTCACGCAGCCCACCGTCCGTGCATCATGACCTGCCAGAGGCCTCAGTGCTCTCCTCTTTTTAAAGTTCTGCCCTGGCAGCAAGAACAGAAGGTTTGTCAAGCCACTTGGTGGGCCATCATCCATGGTCAGTCAGTAGGGTGTGTTGAGCTTAATTGTGCCTCGAGTTGTGCTGGCCGGTAGTAGTAACAAGTTGTATCTAGCATCCTCAGTTTGTGTTGCAGTGGCTCACTCCTCTGTTTCGTTCAGTCTTGGGGAAACTGGTGAAGGAAGAGGAAAATTGAGTGGTTCAGCTCCCCATTTCTCTTAACTCCCTCTAACTTGCTATGGGTGGAAACTTCCCTTGGAAACTGCATGAGGCTTAAAAATTCCAGGACAACATCCTGTTGTTGAGGACTGGCTATTTTCCTCCTGCTTTTGTTCCCAATGTTTCCTCTCACACTGATAGTAGACAGCAAATTATCTGGTGGTCAGTTTACATAGATCTGTGTGGCTTTGCCCCCCACCAAATCAAATTCAACCCGCTGGCTCTGCATGGCAGTCCAGTGAGGACTCAGTGAAGCCGCATGGTTTTCCTACCTTCCTAGAACTGCAAAAATGGGGAGGGGGGTGTTAAGTACCTGGCAGGCCTTAATAGGTTGCTAGTGGGCTACATTTGGCTTGACTGGTCAGTCACAATGGATTCTGGATTGATGTTATTGAATCTGTGATCTGTTGAATTATGCTGGAGGAGGAGGGAGGAGGCTATTTTTTTCCCTTTTGGTCTGTGCTGCGTGCAATGTGCTATAAGAGATTAGGGCACGGGTAGGCAAACTAAGGCCCGGGGGCCAGATCCAGCCCAATTGCCTTCTAATCCGGCCCGCAGACGGTCTGGGAATCAGCATGTTTTTACAGAAGTAGAATGTCTCCTTTTATTTAAAATGCATCTCTGGGTTATTTGTGGGGCATAGGAATTCGTTCATTTCCCCCAAAAAAGTATAGTCCGGTCCCCCACAAGGTCTGAGGGACAGTGGACCGGCCCCCTGCTGAAAAAGTTTGCTGACCCCTGGATTAGGGCAATCCTTTTCAGTATTAACCATGGTTGGTGCCAGTGCATTTGTAACAGTGCACCTTGGTTAAATAAAACCATGCAGTTCAGATGAGAGGGTCCGAGATGTTTTCCGCTTATAGAATCATAGAATGCTAGAGTTGGAAGGGACCCTGAGGATCATCTAGTTCAACCCCCTGCAATGCAGGAATATGCAGCTGTCCCATGTGGGGATCAAACCTGCAATCTTCACATTATCAGCCATCTGAGCTATTCAGGCTTATCTTGTGCTTCCTGGGCATGAGTCCAAGCAGTTTTGCCTTTGCCCCACAGTCCCCCCCCCCAAAAATACCCCACTCTTCAGCAGTGAATTGGAGCAAACATCAGTCCAGAGAAAATTGATGTTGGCTCTGATTTAGCAGTAAAGATATCCCTGGGGGCAAGCAGCCGAAGTGTGAATGAGCCCTTAGTTCTGTAACGCCTATGTAAAACTATTCTAGTCATGGGCAGGGGCATTGCTGGATATCATAGTTTCAGAAAGTGCTGTGTGAAACAGCCATTTTAATTCCATTCCTAGTTAATTGCGCAAAAAAAAAAAAGCAATTCTAAAGGAATTTCAAACCTTGGAAAAGACCATGTGGTGCACCTCCCCAGCACTGCCATTTCCCTCTAAATCTCTTTCATCTTCCATCTGTGTGTAAAATAGGAATAACATAAGTGTTTTACCAGTTTCACTAGTTCATAACGCCTCCGAGATTATCCATGTGCAGCTTCTGGTTAGCACAGTTCTAACTGGAATGTGGTCCTACAGTATCGCCGTAGTTCCTGCAGGTAACGCAGGGTGGGAAAGTTGGCATAGCAACGCGCTTTGGCTTCAGACGGACGAAATGAATTCCAACCTCGGGGAGGCAGCTAAATCAACAAGCTTCTCTGCCGGCCGACTTGTCTTGCCTCCCAGCACAGTTCTTCGCTTGTGCCCCTTGTTCCCTCTTTACTTGCTGGCATTTGGTGGCTGGTAGGAATGAATGAGCCTATTATGGCTGTATTTTTTTTTAAAAGAGTTTTGCAGTTCTAGAGGCAGAGGGATCTGAGTATAACTTCAAAAACTTGCTCTCCTGGATTTGTTCGTAATGGGGCAGATGTTTGTGTGCCACATCTGGAGAAGGCTCCCCTCTTTTTACTGGTTGTTACTAACAAGTAATACTAGGTTCCATTGATGTATTTTCAGTTAGCTACGTTTCACGCCAAAGCAATGTGTTTGAGTTCTTGTAAGCTCTCATTTGAAAACCTTTGAAAAGTAGAAGTTATAAATGTAGCTTGAAATAAAGGAAGTGGCTTTATGTTTTTACTAGGGAGAAAGAACTGCTTGTGCACAGGAGAGCTTGTCTAACAGCCTGATTCTGGGGGAACCACCCTGGGAGTATTATTAATTAATTAATTTTATAATGAATGATTTTAGAGTGTTGTTTATGCTGTACTTTTATACTGTTTTATTGTTGTTAGCCGCCCTGAGCCCAGCTTCGGCTGGGGAGGGCGGGATATAAATAAAATTTATTATTATTATTATTATTATTATTATTATTATTAAGTGGGGGGGCAGGGAAGCTGAAGACAAAGCAGGACCTGCTTTAGAAATTTAATCTGCAACATGCATATTTAAAGCATTTTATATGTGCAGATAAGGAAAAATTGTGCTTGCAGCATACACATGCAGCATATCATTTGCGTTTGATTGGCTGCTGGTTCCCCCCACTTTGTGAACATGATGTTTGAGCACTGTGTGAACATGCATTGCAGGGGGTTAGACTAGATGACCTTTGGTGTCCCTTCCAATTCTACAGTTCTCTGATTCTGAGATTAATAAGTACACATCTGCAGCTGTGTCATTAAAAAGGCGCACCAGTTTCCAACCCGAGGATGAAAAACCACTAAAGTGTCCTTATTTTACCTGTGATTGCAATCATATGAAAAAGTCCTGTAGCTACAGTGCTTTGCTGTTTCCTAAATCTAGATCTCATACAGTTTTGGATGGCAGGATCTCCTGAGATTGCCAGGATCATGAGGTTACAATTTATCTCAGTGATAGTGGCATCAAAACTATAAAAATGCACAACACGATGTAATGAGAAATTGTTGCGTAGTGGCTAGAATTTGACAAAAAGGCCCTTCATTTGGCCACAAATCCTACTTTGAGCCACTTGCCATCTCTCAGTGTAACCTACCACAAAGAACGTTTTTGAGGATAATGGGTGAGGATGGGCAGAGCTTTGTGGAAGAAAGGCAAAACGAAGCTAAATTTGATGGTAAAATCCCAAAAGTTCAAAACAATCCCATCTGCTTTAGTTTTAAGCTGCTGTGTGTTGCGTATATAAGAATGTACGGAGAGCCTGCAGGATCAGGCCAGTGGCTCATATAGGCCAGCATCCTGTTCTCAAAGTGGCAAACCATATGCCTTTTTGGAAACAGCAAGCAGGATCTGAGCACAACTGCCTTCTTTCCAACGACTGGTATTCAGAATATAGAATCATAGAACTGTAGAGTTGGAAGAGACCATGGGAGTCATCTAGTCCAGCCCTCTGCAGTACAGGAATATTTTGCCCAATGTGGGGCTTGAACCTATGACCCTAAGATTAAGAGCCTCTTGCTCTACCAACTGATATAAATAAAATATGTAATTAACACTTTGCATTGTATTAAATCATTGTTGTTCTTCTTCTTGCAGTCCTGCAGAATGAGTTATCCCGGGTATCCTCCTGCTGGTGGTTATCCACCTGCTGCTCCAGGTAAGCTTACTGTATTTCATGTATGAATCATAGTAACCTGCCGGGAATTGGATAATAGAAGGGTGCAGAAGGGATCTCCGGTTTGTAGAGCTCAAGAGGCCTGGGAGAGCTGTTGCCAGTCAGAGTAGACAGAACTGTGGCTGATAGACCACTGGTCTGACTCTTGTATGCAGCAGCTGCATATAGCTTCCTATGAAGATATAGTTTACATTCCCTGCTGTTGTCACCTGTTCTCTCTTACATTGTTAGAAGGAAGGAAGAGACCGTTCCTCTTGCCATGTACTTTGCTCTAGTGTCTGTTATTTATACGCTGCATGTTTTGCAAACAGATGATTATCTATTTGACGGCCGTTCATTAGCCTTTGAAATGCACACACGGTTTTAACGTAGCTTTCAGAGAACCTGCTGCTTTATGTTGCAACATCTGTTGGTCCAGGGATGGAGAACAGAGCAAAGTGGAACTGTATCAAAGCTTGCCTGCTTTTGCCAGTAGCCATTGCAGTGAAAATTCTGCAATAGAAATCCATATGCTAACAAATAGATATACAACTGTTCTGTAGCTCTTGTGTATTTTTATTTTTTAATGTTTCAGGTGGCAACCCCTGGGGGGCTCCCAGCTATCCTCCTGCAAATCCTCCTCCAATTGGGCTAGAAAATGTTGGAAGCTATGCCAACCAGTTTAATCCAGACTATATGTCAGGCATGGTGAGTAATTTCAGTTGGAATTTGGTAGATCTTCCTGTTTCCGCTAAAGCCAGCTGTGAAATTCTGCTGCCTGAATTTTTGTCTTCTTTTAATATATTTAGATCCTGCTTTTCAAGGAAGGGCCTCATAGTGGTTTACAGCAGTTATAAAGTTACATTCAACTTCTCTTCCTCTTGTCTTCTTTCCATATCTGTCCTTTATTTCATCAGTGGTAAAAGCTGTAACAGACAGATTATGTTCGCAACAGTATTCTCTGAAGCTCCTCCTGGCGGTTGCGGCAACAATACTGTTAGCACATTTGCGAAGCTAAGCAGGGTCCGATATGGTTTCAAACTGGATGAGGGACCATGAGTTCAGATTATTGCATTTCAGGGATTGGTCTAGATGGCCCTCGGGGTTCCTCCAAATTTATGATTCTACAGTTCTGTGAAGCACAGTGTGTAACAGGGTGCTCTACATCCCCAATTCTGTTTAACATGGCAAATGAGATATTTGCATAAGCCCATATCTCAAGCAGGCAAATGATACAGAATGGTTAAACTCTGTTTATATGCCAATAAAAACCCCATATTATCGAGGAGGAAATGGATACTTTGCATGTGCAAAGTATTGGACATTAGCATACGCTTACATAGATGAAATGCAGAACATAAAATATAAAGGTAGAAAATATAAAATAAAAATTTCTATGCCATGGTTCAGTGTTGTACGAACGAACCTACCTTCCCTATCATAAGCTTTTTCTAATTAACTGCAGTGTAGCTTGTTGTTCAAATTATAAACTGTGGTTTTTACTGTAGGTAGAGAAAACAAGACAGATTTGTAAACTACGGTGTGAAGTTACCTTGTTTCCACTAAGCATAGTTAACCCACAGTTTGGGTTACCATGGTAACATGGCAAACTGTGGTTAATCAAAACCAGAAACGAAAGATTCCAAATTCATCTCTGCCACTGTGCTGGTGGAGGAGCAGGGAGTACACAAGCTCATTAGTAGTCTAGACTCTGGGACCTAGGGAACTCTTCTAGCCTGTTCAAAAAGATGACCCTGTTAATAGTTTGGATTGATGTGGAGCATCACACAGACAATAATAATTATAATAATAATTTATTATTTATACCCCGCCCATCTGGCTGGGTTTCCCCAGCCACTCTGGATAGCTTCCAACCGAATATTAAAAACAATACAGCGTCATGTATTAAAAACTTCCCTAAACAGGGCCGCCTTCAGTTGTCTTTTAAAAGTAAAATAGTTGTTTATTGCCTTGACATCTTCTGGGAGGGCATTCCACAGGGCAGGCGCCACTACCGAGAAGGCCCTCTGCCTGGTTCCCTGTAACGTCACTTCTCACAGCGAGGGAGGGAACCGCCAGAAGGCCCTCCACGCTGGACCTCAGCGTCCGGGCTGGATGGTGGGGTGGAGACGCTCCTTCAGACAAGAGTAGCACAATGGACAAGTAGCTGGGCGGTCTTGCCAAGAAGTCCCAAGCTCAAACCTAGTGAACCCCAGAGGTCTTAGGCAACCTCCTATCTTGTGGCTTCCTATCTATAATAATACTGGCCTATTTAGATGGCGGTTGTAAAGATAGTGCTCTCAACCCTCAGGGTGTTACAGAAATGTTACGTGCTATTTGACACACACGTGCTAACTTTGTGCATTTGATTGTTCAGGCTTCCAACATGTCGGGAACGTTTGGTGGCGCCAATGTGCCGCAGAGCATGTACCCTCCAGTCCCTGGTGGCTACCCCCCGGTTCCTCCAGGAGGCTTTGGACAAGCTCCTGGGGGCTTTGGGCAACCTCCTCAAGGACAGCAGCCATCTTACGGAATGTACCCGCCAGCGCCAGGAGGAAACCCGCCAACAGGAATGCCGTCTTATCCAGGGTATCCAGGTGGCCCCATGCCAGCAGCAGGACAGCAGCCCCAGCCGTATCCTGGGCAACAGCCATATCCTGGGCAGCAGCCAATGCCACCGCCAGGGCACCAGCAACCTATGCCAAATTACCCTCCTGGCCCAGCTGTTAATCCTTCTATGCCATCTTATCCAGGACCAACAGTGCCCACCATTACTCCCGGAGCGGTAAGAGAACCTCTTCTTAAATTATTGAGCTTCCTTGTCTTCCAGTGTATAATAGGGAAAGTGCAAAAACTAGGTGTTTGATGGCACATGTTGCATCTGTGGGCCCCAGATGCTGTTGAATGCTAAAAAGTGACGGGAGGGCGTTCAGTTGGCGGTTGACAGGTGGTGCATGGGGAGGATGCTTGACCCTTACCCCACGACTTTCCACCAGCCATGGTTTCTGGGTATGCGTTTGCCACGTTGAGTGGTGGGCGAAGGACGGGTATTGATGTGTTGTAAGGGAAAGTGGCAGGCAGGCGAAGTAGCAAACGTTGGTTGATAGCTTTCTTCCCCATTCTTTGGACACTGCAGTCTGGAAACCGAGGCACAGTCCGTGATGCTCCATCCTTTGACCCTCTGAGGGACGCAGAGGTGTTGAGGAAAGCCATGAAAGGGTTTGGTGAGTAGTGCTTGCACTCAAAAGTTGGGTGCTTTTTCTTCACGTAATGATGTCCTCTTTGTCCCACCCTTTTGCTTCTTGCACGTTCAGGGATAGTTTGGGTACTGCTTTGCAAAACGTTGCAGGTTACGTCTGTGTTCTGGGTAACGTGAAAGCGATTCTGAGCGTTGCATCTTCTGCCCTTGGAGCACAGCCTGTGACACTGGCCATGGGTCTGGGTTCTCTGTACCAGGGATTCGGAAATTCCGTGACCCCAACAGATGTATGCCCAAGTACACATAGAATCATAGAAATGGAAAAATGGAAGTGGGTCGTCTAGTCCGACCCCCTGCAATGCAGGAATCTCAGCTAAAGCATCCATGACACATGGCCATCCAACCTCTTCTTATAAACCTCCAAGGATGGAGAGTCCACCACCTTCTGAAGAAGTCCCTTCCTCTGTTGAACAGGATCAGAAAGTTCTTCCTAGGGTTTGGTCGGATTCTCCTCCTTGTAACTTGAATCCATTGGTTCGGGTCCCACCCTCCAGAGATGGAGGAAACATCTTCCATGTGGCAGCCCTTGAGATATTGGAGGATGGCTATCCTATCTCCTCTCATGGAGGAAAGACTGTTCATGACTACTCTCCCTGTTGGAAGCAGCCGTGCTTCTGATTTGCAGTTGCTGGACACAGGAGGTGAGAGTGCACTTGTGTTAAGTCCTGCTTGCGGGTTTCACAAAGGCATCTGGTCAGTCACTAAGATCAGGATGCTGGGCTAGATGGGCCACTGGCTGGATCCAGTAGGCTCCTCTTACACTTAGGGTTGTTTCAGCAAGGCTGCAACCCACCTGCCCTACACCAGATGTCCTATTGAACTTTAGGTATGGGGCAGGTCAAGGTGTGTGTGTGTGTGTGTGTGTGTGTGTGTGTGTTGTGGAATAAACAATAAAGCCAGCCATCCAGATCTGGCTTCCCATCCTTGCTTTGCAAAGTCAGTCACTCAGATATACCTTTACAAGCTGGAAGGAACAAGTTTAATGTCCACCTCCTCTTCCAGCTAGAAAACATAAGAGGGATTTTGTGGAGCTTGCTTGCTACCCTTGAGGGCAGGGCCCCCCAACACTCTCCCCAAGCCACCCCCCTTTCCGGTCCTGCTCTGTGCCTGGAGGGAATCTGGTCCTGCCTGGATAGAGAGGGCTGTGTATAGACATCAAACTTTTGCATGGCTGGAATGGAGCCTACTGTGCAAAGATAGAAGGGCATCTGTTGCTGCACTCAAGTTTTCCGTAGTTGCTCATTCTGATCGCAACGCCCAGATTTCTATTCCTTTCTAGCATTTGATCTTTTCCTCAAGGTTGGAAGACCTCAAAAGTTGCTTTTAGCTTCTTTGCTTTTTGTGAAACATTTTTCAGTGTTATACAAATTATTTCTCTTTCCTTTCCCACTGAATTCTGTCCTGCTTTTTTTCTCCCAACTTAAACCTCTCCATTCCTAGTCTATGCAAAACGTGTATGACCCTTCAATCCAAACCAAATGCACAACTGTCCCTTCCCTCAGAAATTTAAATATTTGGATTTCTTTTTTAAAAAAAAAAAAAAGTAATTGGAATGTGTGCGAATACCCCATAATGTCATACAGGCTTAGCTCATCTGTCAGGCTTTGCTGCCTAAAGTACAACAGAATATAGAATCACAGAATCCTAGAGATGGAAGGGACTATGAGAATCATCTATTCCAATAATCCAACTCCCTGCAATGCAGGAATCTTTTGCCCAGTGTGGCACTCAAACCCACAACCCTGAGATTAAGAGTCTCGTGCTCTACCAACTGAGCCATCCCATAGTTACTCATGACTGCTGCAGATTCAAATATGCATTTGAACAAGTGATGCCATGCAGTGTATAAGGTGGCAGGAGAGAATACACTTGGTTTTAAAAGTTGGCCTTTTCCGATTACTAAATGCTGGGTTACATTCTGCTGAAGTGGGTTGATCAGAAAGTACTATGACGGTGGAAGAGGCTGCACTAAACACTTGATTCTGTATATTTTCAGGAACCGACGAGCAGGCAATCATTGATTGTCTGGGAAGTCGCTCAAACAAGCAACGCCAGCAGATTCTGCTCTCCTTCAAAACAGCTTATGGAAAGGTAAGTTCTCCACCATGAAATTATTCTTTGATTATTGCAACAGAGGAAGAAAGTGGAGGCAGAGCTAAACATGGAAGTCATGTGCAGTCGGTCTAGTTTGTATGTTCTTTGGCTTAGCTTCATGCTGAAGTCGCCAGAGGGCTAGGATTTTGTGCCAAGGGTTAAACGGAAAGGGCAGGGTTTGAGGATGGATTTAAGGGGAGGGGTGGCATTTGTGCAGGTGTTCTGGGAGGCAATTTTAGGGCTGCAGCACAGTTAAGGGAGAAGGAGTCTTTTGAAGGAAGCCTTCAAATGGATAAGGATGGTGGAGCTGGGCAGACAAACATCACAGGCAGGAATGCAGAGAGATAAGGGGACAAGGCCATGGGAGGAGTTGTATGTAGGAACAAGGCAGCTGGATCTGAGAATGGACAGGAAGCCATTGAAGGGATTTAAGGACAAGGGGTTGTCACATTATCGTAATGATGATGGTGAATGATTTTGGCAACAAAATAATGAAAGAGACTTTAAATATCTTGACACCCCAACGAATGAGAGGTACAAAATAAGTTTGGTAATATCTTGCAGTTTTCAGCAGGATGACTTTTGTATTCCTCAAACACACTCTCTTCATATCATCAACTTTTACTGGTCAGCCACTCTTAAAAACCTTTGCATCAGAGTTCTACATTTTTGCTAATGAACAATTATCATCATCATCTTAAGATTGCTAAGTGTAAAAGCACAAAATATGTAACAAAATAACAATACACATTCTTCTAAGGAATTACTTTTGCCAGCTTTGTGCTTGCTTAATTTTTAAACGGCACCATGACCCTTTTGAGCAAATTATTTATTTAATAAATAAAATAGGTATTATGTTCCTGGGTTGCTGCTTTTTAGTTTATGACATTGTTTATAATGTGTTCATTTGCTTTTTCCATATTTCTTATGCTGTGAAGTTGCTCTCAGCATATTGTGGATATAAGAGCGGGGTTTAAATTACTGGCTACTATGGTTCATTGCCCTATTCAGCTGAAATAAAACCTAAAATTTGTGTGGCTGCAAATATTCACACTGTTACATTTGTCCTCTGCTCTGGTAGAAATTTAGTATGTAAACTCCTTTGGGCAGAAATCATCCCTTTACCCTTCCTTATGTTACTCAATAAAGTGCAGTCGACACTGATTGTGCTATAATTAATAACTTCACAGATATTACCGAACTTTTCTGAAGTCTGACATTGCAAGAAAAGAGATTCAGATCATTAGTATGCCTTGAATAGGAAGCTTTGGCATAAACCTTTTGTTTCTCATCCTTTAAAAAACTCACTAAATATTACTTTACAAGGGAAACATGTGTTTTTTCACTTAAAAAAACCCCAGGATTTGATCAAGGACCTGAAGTCTGAGCTTTCCGGCAACTTCGAGAGGACAATCTTGGCAATGATGAAGACTCCTGTCCAGTTTGATGTTTATGAAATAAAAGAAGCCATCAAGGTCTGTATGGTTTAAATGAAAGCTACTGTTGTTGTTACATAATTCTTGCCTCCCTAAATTCTTTATTTGACGCATCATCTTTCTCCTGCTTCAAGCCTGTCTTCAAAACCCACCATTCTGGATTTGCATGTGTGAATACCTATCCTGTGACCCCCTCCACCCAACCCTTGCAGTATCAGTTTTTATTATGCTACTGAATCAAGAGACTTCTGCTTATCTTTCTGTTTCAAGAGCTATGTACAGTGTGATGGGACTACGGTATACCGTTATCAAAAGCAACTCTCCCTTTGTATAATTCTTGGGGGAGGGGATTGCACAGCAGTTGCAGTTTAATCTAACTGAAGAAACTGAGAGCTCTGTTGCAATGTTTGCAGTTCCTGCCCTCTACGCCTGTGTCATTGCTCAGTCTGTGCTGGCATCCAGCAGTCCACTGAAGTGCGCATATGAAAAAAAAATGCGATAATAGTTCTTTTGTCCTTTGTGTGATGCGCTCCTGTCACATGTGAGGGGACACCTCTTTTTAGGTGGTCTTTGTCAACCCTCATTCTTAAAAGCACATTCAATAATACTTTATCTGTAGACCAGTTAAGTCTATCAAAAAAGAGAGAAATCAAACTGAGCAATGGATTAAACATTGCAGACCTAGTAAGAGTACACTCAGTCCACGTGAGGCCTAGAAATAGGAGTCACGCCAATAAGCCTGGCACTCTCTTAGCCTTAAAAGAGGGCAGAACCCAGGAGACAAATGCTTCTGCCTAGTGGTGAGCTTGAGTGTCTTTTCCTTTTCTTAGGGAGCTGGCACGGATGAAGCCTGCCTGATAGAAATCTTGGCATCTCGCAGCAATGAGCACATTCGGGAAATCAGTCGGGCATACAAAGCAGGTGAGTTTTCCTCTCAACTCTGAAACTTCTGCTGTTCTGATAGAAGGCCATCCCAATACCTTTAAAGATGACGGGTTTAAGTTGAGCAGAAACATTTGTAGGAGGAATTGCATTTTGGACATTGAGGTCGAAGGCTGTTCAGTTCATAAGCTGCTGCTTTGTTTATAAATTTGAGCTTTGTTGGTTTGTTGGGTGGGGCTGTCAAATTTAGAATGGAGAAGACAATTTACAAGGGCAAACTGGAGTTCATGAAGGTTCACCCTTTTTCAGGCAGTTGTTTGATCCAGCGGTTTGTGCAGAAAGAGCCACTTAGTGCAATAGTACATTGCTAACAGTTCCTGGAGCTGAACATGGTGTGTGTCTCTTTGTTCTCCTTCCCCGCCTCTGTATTTTGTGTGATTGCAAAGTGCTGTATAGACTTGATGCACCACAAAGATTGCAGTCTGTACCTGCTTTTTCTAAGATTAAGACCCATTTAGTTCAACGGTACGTGCTTCTAAGTGGACACATAAGGCAGCAATCCTGCACACAGTTGCTTAAGAATAAACCTCAGTAAAGTTGTTGAGACTTCATCTCCAAGGAAGCATATGCTGGATCAGCTTACAAATTCATAAAGGACTAACATCAGCTGGCATGGTCAGTGGTTTGGGACGATGGAAATTATAGGCCAGCAACTTCTGAAGCACACTACATTATCTAGGGTTTCATTTGTTTAAAACACATAATTTTAAGGGTTTTCTTGACAGTTCTTGGTTCCTTTTCTGTGCTGTATAGAATCCTATCATGTGTTTGATCCGCCAGCTGAGCTTACGGTATCCAAAGTTTGCCCTGATTTAGATGTCCTAGTTTTACTTTCCGGGAATAAAACCGAGAGCTCCCTCTCCCTGCCCCACTAACAGTGCTCCATAAATCTGCTTGCCCCTGGTGTGCTTACTCCCGTTCCCACATATCGTCGTCCCGCCCCCCCCCCCATTTTGAAGGGGGCAGAGACATCATCAAAGCACTGCTGAATTATCTTGCAAAGTCCCAGTGTGAGAGACGGAAAAAGCACCAATCACCCCTTTTCTGCCCATGGCAAATTCAAAGGAAGAAACGGATGATGGTTTCTCAAAGTAGGATTTGTTAGTATCTTTGGAAGCCCAGCTTGAGTGATGGAAGGTATCTTGCGAGGAGGAACTAGTGGGCCGCCTTAAATATTCCCTTTGGCTAGTAGGTCAAACCGAAATGGGGCTATTTACACGAACTACTTTTAGTGTAAAATTTCCCTTTTCATCTTTTCCCCCTCTTGATATTTTGGCTGGAGTATAAAAGAGTGGAATGTGAATCCTCTCCCCCAAGCAGATGTCCTTGCGGTGTGTTATAAAAAAATAGATAAGAATTATCTCTTCCTCTCCTCCCTTCTCTTTCTTCCCACCCAGTGATCCTTATAATGAAATAAACACAGACCATTTACAAAACGAGTTTCCTTTGTATTTCTCACAGAGCATAAGAAAACTTTGGAAGAAGCCATCAGAAACGACACATCTGGACACTTCCAGAGGCTTTTAATCTCACTGTCTCAGGTATGCGCAAGATCCTTGCACCCGGTTGTCCTGTGTTGGTGTTGCTATAATTTATACGTAACCCAAGTTCTCCTAAGATTTACATTCATCCATTGAAGTAAAATTCACAGAAGTATTGGGGTGATATCTGTTGTCAGGCATATTTTGAGTCCATTCCTTTCAGTGGTTCTACTCATGAGTATGACTAAGACTGGAGATCACCTTTATGTTTTTAAGCCAGTGTGAAGAGGTTATGCCCTCTTGCCTCTAATGGAGGGCACAGAACATCCTGGCTGTGGTACTGGATGTCGGTTCCCTATGATGTGATATAATTCAAGACGAAAAGCATTGAGTTAATGGAATTGTATATTGCAAGTTTCTTCCCGTAAACAAACAATTCTCCCTCCTCAATTAAAACATTAAAACTTTCCTCCGGAGGGCGCCCCGTGCTTCGGGCTGCAGGCTGCTGCCCGCAAGCCTTGCGAGCCCACGGGAACTCCCGCTGGGCGCGCAAGGCTTGCGGACACCTGCGCGAAGCACGGGGCGCCCTCCGGAGGGCGCCCTGTGCTTTGGGCTGCAGGCTGCTGCTCGCAAGGCTTGCGGATAGCTTCCTGAAGCCTGGAGAGTGAGAGGGGTCGGTGCGCACCTACGCCTCTCGCTCTCCAGGCTTCAGCGAAAGCCTGCATTCGCCCCATAGGACGCACACACATTTCCCCTTCATTTTTGGAGGGGAAAAAGTGTGTCCTATAGGGCGAAAAATACGGTATATATATCTCTGATAACTGTTGTCCATCTATATTTTACCAAAGAATCTTAAATTATCAGATCTTGGATATCAAGTTAATAGTGATCATGTTTGAAAATATACAGACTGGTGAGAATTTGTCTGTCCCATTTAACCTTAATGTGTTGCAGCATTAAATTGGAAGCATCATGAAACAAATACGCATGTTTAACAAGCAAATAGAACAAGGCATACTTTAAACTGTTCGGCTTGCTTTTTGCTGGACTAACAACCTCATTAGGCTAACATCAGTTACAGTGTTTCAAAAGCAGTGTTTCATCTTTTGACTGACTTGGTAATTATTTCAGGGAAACAGAGATGAAAGTACCAATGTCAACATGGCGGCTGTCCAAAGCGATGCTCAGGTTAGTATGAGGAGTATTGTCTAGTTTATGTTCCACACTGATTTCTTTTTAAAGGCCCAGCCAGATGGCTGCTGCATTGAGCAGACTCTTGCCCGGAGTGGTTTCCTTTAAACATCTCCTACTTTAATGAAATCTAAAACTCGAGACCGTGTGTACTCCCCCACAATCTGGCATGTTTCTCCTCTGGCCTAATTTCTAGCGTGGAAGTTACCCTGAGAACAGTTTGCTTTAAAAAAATATTCCTCCTGCCCCCCACAGCCCCTGTTTCTGAAAAAAGGGGGGTATTGGTATGGCTTTCCCTCAGCTCTACATTGAACAGTTTGCACAGTTTCCCTTTTTCAAGTTACTACAGATAAATGATCCCAAGATAACAGCAATAAGAAGATTGCAATCGAATATATTTTTAAAAAACCCTTCTCAAATTTACCTGCACCTATTCCATTTTTGGAACTATTTACTAAATGAATTGGTGCTGCAGTAATAATTTCCCTGAAATGTGCAACTTTCTCTTTTGGTTCATCATGTGGTGAATTTTTTTGTTTATTTCAAATTGTATGGAAGGAGGAACCACGCACCTTTCTCAGGGTTGCATAGACTTGTGACTTACAAACCTGTCAAGTTTTTCTGAGCGAAAGCATGGAGGGAGGAGAGTTGGAATGTACTTGTGGAATTTTTCAATCACCCCCATTTCACACCGAAAATGTTCGCTCTGTCACATTTTGGCTCGGCCCTAGTTATAAGGAATACGCCACTGCCATTTTCAGTGGCATCCCTTTGTCCCAATATCATTTTGCAAGGATTTTCGCGCCCGTAACTTTCAGTCAGTAGTATGAAGTGGGGGCAGTGAAATGTGCAGCTTAACAGCATCAGTCGGGATGCAAGGTGAAGTTATGTTGTGTGCAAGGGGAAGAAAGCAAAATTCAACATGAGCCTGTAGTACTTTGGCTGCAGTCCCAGGTTGCTTGCATTATAGTTGCATCCTTGATGGTTAGGGAGGTTAGCGAAGGTTAGCTAAGTGAACAAAGGTGTGGGAGAAAAATAGGACCAGTCCAGAAATATCAAGATAATTAAAGAATGAGTAGTAAGGGAGAAGAAACCTTTGAAAGCAGAGTGAAATTTGGAAAGCAGCTGAGCTCAGGTAATGACCTGTGATTTTTTTTTCTTTTTCTTTTAAGGCGCTGTATGCAGCAGGAGAAAATCGACTTGGGACTGATGAATCCAAATTCAATGCAATTCTCTGTGCCAGAAGTAAAGCTCACCTAATAGCAGGTAATTTCTGTCTATACTTTGCATCGAGAGGATGTTTGGTGATTGTAAAATTAGGCTGCAACAGTGCAAGAGACTACACATGCTTTTTCTTGACAAGTGGGAGCTAATATTTTGCATTTTTGATGGTGCCCTAAGATCAGCCAACTCTGATCAGATGCAAAGAAGGGCTGGGTTCTTCGACCCTTTTAAATAGTTATGTAGAAATTTGTCAGGTGAGACAAGCTGCACCGCCTGAAAGTCCTCCTTCTACATAACAAAGGGCGTTTGTCCTCCTGTTAGGGTCCACAGTTAATAATTGGGGAGGGGGTGTCTGTCTGTCATCCAGCCGCCAGATGTCAACTTAGATAAGTGATTGGAGTTAGGGCCATACCAGACAAAACAACTGAAGGCCTGTGATGGGGCAGTGCAACTGACTCAAGAGCTGGTTGTCAGACTTCACTCTTCACACTCACTTGGCTTAAATGACTGATGATCCCTTTTTTCTCTCTCAACAGTTTTCAGTGAATATCAGCGAATGTGTAACCGTGACATTGAGAAGAGCATAATCAGAGAGATGTCGGGAGACCTCGAATCTGGGATGCTGGCAGTAGGTGGGTGAGGTCTCTTTAAGAGTGATGATCATAGAATCATAGAGTTGGAAGGGATCCCCGCGGGTCATCTAGTCCAACCCCCTGCAATGCAGGAATCCAGATCACAGGCATCCCTTGATGGGCTCAAACCACCAGCTTTCTGGTTAACAGCCAGATGCACTTGACCCATTGCAGCACTATGAATCTGACTTTTCAAATTGTGGTTTGAATGTTCCTTTGCTGCCCTAAACACACACAGTTTTCTGGCCTGGACTGCACTCTTTAAAATATATAATTTTTGAAAAAGATCCAGAAGTTGGGGGATAGCAGGCTATGCATGGTACCTATTGGCTAGTACCTGCAATATCACCAACCTCTTCTCCCGTAAATTCTCAGAGTAGCTTTTAAAGTATTTGTGTGTTTTGGCAGGGTAAAATGTGACATGTATGTTACTTAAGATGTATTTCAAAGCACAAAAGAGGGGCAAAACTAAGAGATCGTATCTGAGTCATGTATATGTTTGGAAAGCAAGTCATAAAGTTCAATGTGTAGGTGAAAAACTTTGCCGTTCAAAATATTTTATCATATATTTCATGCCACTTTCTACACAATAGTTCTCTTGAAAATATTTGGCTTTGGCTGCGAGTTTCAGTTGGAGCTAATAATAATAATAATAATATTTATACCCTGCCCATCTGGCTGAGTTTCCCCAGCCACTCTGGGCGGCTCCCAATCGAGTGTTAAAAACAATACAGCATTAAATATTAAAAGCGTCCCTAAACAGAGCTGCCTTTAGATGTCTTTTAAAGATAGGATAGCTGCTTATTTCCTTCACATCTGAAGGGAGGTCGTTCCACAGGGCGGGCACCAGCTACTTTTACTTCCCCCAGAGAACTTGGTTATAAATTTCATATACCATTCCTTTGGTTTGTCTCGTTAAACCTGGTTCCCATTTAACAAATCACAGTTCATGTGATTGGGGAAATGGCTAGGATTCCACTGAGGATGCCCTTTGAACTTGCTACTTCACCTTCCATGCCAGGCACAGCAACCTTTGTCTGTATTCTCTCATCTTTCATTCCTCTTGTTTTGAAGACAAGTCACGTCCAACAACACCGTGTTTACATTCTGAGTGTGTTTCTTGGATAGGGGCGAGTGTTGTGCCAAAAGCTTTTGCCATCACCAGGTTCCTTTTCAAAAATGTTAAATAACTTCTAGGATCACTTAACCTGTCCTAAGTGGACAGCTATCAACCAGTGAATCCCGGAGTGCTAGTTAAAGTGTCATATTGGCCACAAATTCATTGGGTGACCTTAGGCAAACTACTATACTGACCAACCCTGCAGCACGGTCGTAAGGATTTACAAGGTAATATATATGAAGCTGCTTGACTATTTAAAATGTGTTCCATAAACACTCACTGTTTTATTTGTCGTATAAAATGGCTTTTACTCTTTGCACCAGATCTAACTGGAAATATGTACCCTTTTTTTTTTGCTCCGTTATAGCTTTCAGGATTGTAAGCTTGGTAACTGTATGCAATACTCCCATAGTGTGTGACTAACTTCACTGCCTTCCATTTTCCGGTCTTGAAGTGTAATGTGTGCCTTGTTCATCTACATGAGAAATCTTAACATTGATATCAAAAAGGAACATACCTTGTATTAGGTTACAAATGAACATCACCATTGGTTCTTTCCACTCCCATAAAATGCTCAAGTAAAAAGGTAGATGCTGTTTGATAGCTGTTTGGATTGCATGACTGTGTGCTTTTTTTAAAAAAAATCTGATTTTGTGTGATTGTCCCCTTTGTTCCTCCCCATGACATTCACTGAGTCATCTCAACTCCCAGGTTAACCTGAGAAAGCAGATTTCAGCAAAAACAGTATGGCATTGATGTTTTTTTATAAAAAAGTTAGCAAATGGTTAACAGTCAGTAACTGGTGATCTCAATTTCTTTTGCAGTTAAGTGTGTAAGAAATACACCTGCTTTCTTTGCAGAGAGGCTGCACAAGGCCATGAAGGTGAGTTGAAATCATGTGGGCCTCTGCACGTCCGTGTGGTCAGATATTCAAATGAGCTGTTAGAAGCTGACTCTGTTGGGCTGTAGATCTGAGCCCAGGATATCAGATTTTAGGGCTGGTAGACATGTTTCACACAAACCTGTGTAACTGTAGCTTGAAAAACCTCTGGAGGCAATGCTCGAGCAAGAAACGGCTGCGGGTGTGTGCACATAACCCATTGCCATTTTCTTCATTCCAATTCCTCCCCACTACCCCGGGTTCCACAGGCCTGATTTTAAATGACAGAGGTGTTGGTGTAGTGGTGTTTGTGAACTGAAGCGGGGTGATAGCAGAGAGGCAAAGGGTTTGGTGCCCCCTTTTCTCCCCTCTCCTAGTCTCCCTTTTTCAGTTGTCCCTCCCCTTCCCCAACATCTTTTCAGGCTAAAAAGAATATGCCACCCTGTCAACAAATGGGCATGTGTAAGGTTTTGAACTTTGAATTGGTTATCAATTAAGCAGCTGTCCCCAACTCTGTTCTCCATGTATTTTGGACTACCACTCATAATAGCCTCAGCTTTTGTGACCAATGGAAAAGGATGACAGGAGTTGTATAACATAGTGAGGGCACCACATTAGGGAAGGCCTGCCATAAAGCCTCGAGCGGCCATTTTGAGTAACAGTCAAGGCTACATGTTCAGAGGGAGCATCGCAGTCTGGTAACAATTCCCATTCTGGCCCTTTCCGCCACGTTCTTCACAGGGAGCTGGAACCAAAGACCGGACTCTCATTCGCATCATGGTGTCACGCAGTGAGGTTGACCTGCTAGACATAAGGCAGGAATACAAGAGGATGTATGGCAAATCTCTCTACACAGACATTACGGTAAGATTGTGAGGGGCTTGTCTCGCTTTCCATGCGTGCCATGCGGCCAGTGTTCACACCGAAACCTTGAACTTGGCCCAGTACCATTTTTGGGAGCCGGTGCCATGTTCATCCATCTTCACAGTGGGCCTTTCTCCACCTGAACTCTAGCCATCATCTGGCTGGCCTGTTTCATAGGCTGTAGTTCCACACTATACCAGGGGGCCGAATGTGCTCCACACCACTGTTGTTTTAACAGAAAGCAAAACAAAAAACCCCCATCATATTAAATAAGATGTTGCTATTGGAGTGTTGGGGGGCGGGGGAGAAAAAATCAGGTGGCTGCTGTCTCCCCAGGTATAAAAGTCTTGTTTATAGGTTCAGATGAGCAGGGTGTATGCCTTGTGTAACTGGGAGGTTCACCTGTTGGCTTCTGGCACAAAGATGATTGCTCTCTTTAACCTTTGGCACAAGATCACTTTTTTCCCCTTTTGGTGTTTCTTACCAGGGTGACACTTCTGGAGACTACAGGAAAATCCTGCTGAAATTGTGTGGTGGAAACGACTAAGTTGAGTCCGCTGGAAATTTTTTTTGGTTTTAGTTTTTTTAAAAAATCAGCTGGTTTTATGCTATCATTTCACACATGCTGTCAAAACTCCAAATATCCAGAAGATTCTTTCTCTAAAGTGCCACATTATTCCTTTCTTTGAATAATATATCATGAGTACAGAAATAAATCCTGCTATAGAGAGAGAAGCTGCTGCACCAGATAGCTGTAGTTCACAAACAGGTTTTTGCTTTCTTATGGGGGGGGGACACACTCCACTGTAAGGAAGTGGCTTGTGTTGCATGAATAGCTTTTGTTTGGAAACGCCTTTATTTGTGCATGTCAAATGATTCTATACAGCTTTGTGTCTTACCAAAAAAAGTACAAAACATTTTTTGTATGTGTGGTGCATGGTCCGTTTGATATTTACATGCTTGTTGCCTAATTTTTTTTTTTAAATCCTGTTCTGAAGAGTGATTGGGTAGACTTTCAGATCCTGTTCACTCACTGCTGTTCAAGGAGAAATGTAAAAGTCTGGCTAGAATCTTTATGTTGTTTTGAGTGCTGGATCTCCCTGAAGTCTGTGATATTTTCCCTAAATTGAAGGAAAAGGGATGTGGTGCATTGGCAGAATTCAGGACCAAGATGTTAGGAAGTCTGCCAGGGTGTTTGTCATTAGGGTCCCTCCGAATGTCCTGTTTCTTGTGCATTCTTGCAGATTTATGCTCCTGCTGATAACATGGTGGTTATGCAAGACCCCACTTCCAAGAGTGCACCTGCAAAAATGTGGTACAGCTATGTTTTCTACTAGAAACGTTTATTTTTGTCCCATTTTCACGTGCTAAGAGTGCAAGACTGCTATTGAAGCATCACAGAACTACTAAGACAGCGCAATAGTGTCTTAATGCACTATTGTGTCAATGGCATGTTACAAAGCACACCCACAAAAACCTACGTCTGATAAGGCTTATACTTGCCAATGAGAGCTTTCCTTTCCAAGAGGTAATAGCAGCATGAAATGGAGCAGTTTTTCCCCACCCCCAGAGTTGGGATAAGGAGAGGAAAGGGCTTAATCTCTCTGCGCATGCAGAATCCCAACACTTCAAACACACACAGCCATTTTTAAAACTTAAAAATCTATTGGCTTTCTGTTGATGTCTTCAGCATCATATCTACAGTAGCTTAGCTCTCATGGACAGCCTACAATCAAACAAATTTCCACTCATTTGTTTTTCAATAAGCGGAGGATCAGCTTTTTCTCTTGAAAGCCAACATGTGAACAAGGCTTCATTGTTAGAAAAGGCTGTTTTACAAGCTCCAAACTTTTTATTGGAATATAAACAGGAACACAGAAGTCAATGGAGATTCCACATAAAATGCTCCTCTTTTACAAAAATAGGCACAAAGGAAACCCCCATTGATTTAAGCGTTCAGCACATGTTTCACTTTCCCCATTCAGTTCCCTGATTCTTAGATGGACTTGCCACTAGCATGATCCAGCCAAAGTTGTCTTTTGGGAGGCTCGAAATGCCTTCAATTTGAGTGTATGCCAAAGCTTTTTCTCTTTGCGTGTTTTTGTAGAATTCTACCTTAAAATCAAGTATATAATTTTTTAAAAGATGATTTGTACAAATAAACCAAATTAGTACCCAAGCCTCCCGCACCAGTGTTCTTATTTCTGCCATGTTGGCAGCATCATTTATTTGGGATATTCAGCTTCAACCACGGATGGCTCCCCTTGGGGAATGGGGTCGTGTCTCAGGCAAATCAGACTAGTGAGCTTAAGCACCATCAGGCAGTTTCTTGAGCAAATGTTTCAGAGGCATATGCAGAGGGGTTCTAGCTTCTACATAAAACATGAAATCATTCCACTTAGGCTGCTCACTGTGGCTCCTTGGTGACCTGTCCCTTCATAGGAAAGGCTTGGGCAAAGACACAAGGACAGAGTGTTACAAACAAACTCACTCCTGGGCCACTGAGCTCTGCATCCTGTTTCCAACACTGGACAAACCTGGATATTTCAAGTAGTTTGGAACCAGTTTTTGGCAAGTGTGCCACAAGTCCAGAAGTTAAGAGAATGCCCGTCAGTAGATAGGCACTCAATGCGCTTTCACAAGGTGTTTCAGCTGGGGAGTACTGCCAGATTGGAAGTCTTGCTGGACCAGACCAAAACTCCCACCATGGTGCTTCCAGCAATGATCAGCGTTAGATGCCTCTAGGAAGCTTGCGAACAAGGCTGTATATTTGACTGTGCTGCAGCCAGGCTCACATGCTTTCCTGCCCCTACTCTCCAGGAGCGCCATAAGCTCCCTTGTGCCACCAGTGCTACAGGTTAGCTAGTTAACAGGTTAATTGATTGCTCAAATTTTAGGACAGTTAACAACAACAAAAATTTCTTTGTGATCAGAGATGCCAACCCAGTTTTGGAGACTACCAGGTACCCCATGAAAACTTCCAACAGTACCTCTTCTAATTTCTGCTCCTTTTTCTTTACCGCCAGACGGCTGGACCTTCTGGGACATTTAACTTCTCTGCGGGGGTCCTTGCCGTGAGGATTCTTTTACAACAATTTTAGGAGTCTCTAAATCTTCAGGATAGGTGGGAAGAAAACTTCTCTCTTGGTATTCTGCGTCAGTATGATTAGATCGTAACACAAAGGAACTTGTGATGGAATACTCCCCATCCCAAGTCTGAAGACATCTGTCTGGTCTGGAAGCTTATGAAAGAGTGCAATATGGGTTAATTATGCCGGTGGGAGATACAGGTATATAGATATTACAGTCTGTTCCTTTGGTCCGTCGTCTTGAAGCTCAGCTGGTATCTAGCAAATGAGAGAGAGGAAGGGAGATTGTAGGGGCAATCCACCAAGCCATCGGTTTCTAGAGAAGGCAGTATTTGTTAAAAAGCAGATTAAGGGTCACATCCCAGTGTTAGCCTTCCACTAACGAAAGCAGGGGGTGCAATTTTCACTTGATTCTCTATCCCCCCCCCCCCCCGGCCTCCAAAACCAGAGGTAACCAAATTTTCCAGAGCAGATTTCAGGGAGGAACAGGGTCCTCCAGAGGGGAAACTTCCCCTCTCCCCACCCCACTAGTGAAGGTTTTGCTAGATTAAAGCCCTTCTGTGAACAGGATTACTTACTTCATTTACAGAAGGTCAACAATGAATAGTAGCCGATGAACTTGAAACAGATATTTCAGTAGTGTTACACATCTTGGAGTTTTAAGGGTACGGGAACTGACCATATTATTCCCCAAGTGAAGTGATCTTCAGGGAACAACTGCATTCTGTGCGCTGAATTGCAACATTTACAAGCGGTTGTGGACACTTGGATAATAGATGTACTACATTTCTCTGTGATTCATACCTTCAAAGATATCCATCAAGGGAGTTCCAGGAGCAAGAGGAACATTCCATGCCGTTTCACTTATGGTGTTCAGCAGGGACTTGACTTCAGAGTCAAGAAGATCAACCGTCTTTTCCACCTGCTAATGAAGAAAAGTGAAATTTAGGGTAATCCACTTCTATCAGAATCTCCTGAATTAGCCTGGTTCTATGGCTTAGCATATAGGGACGCGGGTGGCGCTGTGGGTTAAACCACAGAGCCTAGGACTTGCCGATCAGAAGGTTGGCGGTTCGAATCCCCGTGACGGGGTGAGCTCCCATTGTTCGGTCCCTGTCAGGGAACTGCCATCGGTAGGAAGGGAGGTGAAAGGACTCAGACAGGTTGGAAGAGACTTAGCAGCTGAAGAGGAAACCAGCAGGGGGAGAGAAGCTGAACTGAGGGAGGTGAAAGGGCTCAGACAGGTTGGAAGAGACTTAGCAGCTGAAGAGGAAACCAGCAGGGGGGGAGAAGCTGAACTGAGGGAAAGGGAGCTGGGGGGATGGCTCAGAGATACTTCCAGCGAAAACAGTGGTGAGGTTTCCGGACCTCCTGTAGCGACACCCACTCCTCGCCGGAAACTGTCACGCAGAGAGTCCAGAAGACGTGTTTCCGTTAAGGAGCTTTTATGTTGGAAGCGATTACGAAAGCAACCACTGTCGGAATCTTCTAGTGACTAAGAGGAGCCATGTCAGAGGGGCTCAGTCACAGACAGAGGTTTGTGGACTTGAACAAACTCTGAGGGAATACGATTTTACGCACAAGCAGCTCATAATCCCATCACAGCATTCCGACAGTCTTTGAACGCAGCTTGTGCAGGAGAAGGCATAATGAGCAACCCAGCAGGAACCGGAGAAGCAGGGGCTGGAGCGGGTCCAAGCCTGGAAGAAAGGTACCGAGTGTTGGAGGTCCAGCTGGCGCTGCAGACGGCGAGGCTGGAGGAGAGGAGGGCTCAAGATGCAGACAAAGGGAGAAAGCCACCCAGCTCGCCAGAAAGGTACCAGGATTGGTGCAAAAATTTGGGGGGGAGCCCAAAGACTATCATAGCTTTCGGACAGAAATGCAATATGCCCTCAATCTGCAGTTTGATGATTTTCCTGATGAGGAATCACGAGTGGCTTTTGTGATTGGGCATCTTGAAAAGGGGGCGAGAGACTGGGTTAGACCCCTGATGGCAGCGCATAGTGACGTCCTAAAGGACACGATGAAGTTCTTTCGCGCCATGGATCTGATGTTTTCCAGCGATATTGAAAAGGGAGTGGTGCGCAGACAGTTAATGGCTTGCAAACAGGGGAGCCGATCTGTACGTGAGTACTGGACTGAGTTCACCATGCTGATACACAGATTGGGGTGGGACTTATCGGCGGAACCCATTCAAATGCTCTTTGAAGAAGGGCTTTCTTCGGCTGTGAAAGATGAACTTTCCCGGGCGCCCAGGGCGGAGTCTATGGACCAGCTGACCAAATCAGCGCTGGCCATAGGAGCGCGCCAGGAGGCGAGAGCATTGGAGAGGCGGGAAGGGAAAGGGGAACGTTGGAAGGAGTTCCGCATTCCAGACATTCCAGAGCCAACTGTCCCGCCGGCAGAGCCGATGGAAATCGGAACAGCGCGCGCGCGCAGTTTCAAAGCCCAGTGAGGGGGAAAGAATGATGGAAAAGGCGCCCGGAAATGCTATCTCTGCCAACAGCCAGGGCACTTTGCCAGAGTCTGCCCCCAGAGGAAGGAATGGCAAGGGATGGTGGGAGCTGTGGAGGGAAGAGAGGAAAAATACCGGAGCAACTAAAAGCCAACGCCTGGCTGCCATTGTCGGGGCACAGCAGCCAGGCCAAAGAGCAGTGAAAGTGCCCACTCCAGAACCTCCTAAACCCGCCCTAGTGATAGAAGTGACACTAGAGCTCCCAAACGGACACCCTCTAAAGATAAAGGCGCTGTTGGACTCAGGCAGCTCCTGCAATTTCATGAGCAAAGAGTTTGCAGCTGAACACCAGATACAGACGCTCCTTTTAAGCAACCCCCTGCAGGTAACCACGATCGATGGCAGGGAGCTGTTGGGAGGAGAAGTCAGCTTGCAGACCGTCCCAATGATAATGAAGGTGGCAAGGCACACTGAACTGATAGCTTTTAATGTGGCCACCTTGGGAGGAGCTCCCATTATATTGGGGATGAGCTGGCTAGCGTTACATGATCCGCTGGTGGGCTGGCATCAGAGAGTGGTTTCTTTTGGGTCAGCACATTGCTTAGAACATTGCAAAGAGGGAAAGGTTTTGGCAGGGGCCCAAGCCACCCTAGCAGGGACTGAAGTGAAGGAGAACGTGAAGGTACCACGACAATACGCAGATCTCCGCGACGTCTTCAGCGAAAGGGAAGCTGACCAACTACCACCGCATAGAGCCTTTGACTGTCAAATCAATTTGCTCCCTGGGGCACAGCTCCCTGTGGGCAAGCTGTACGCCATGTCAGACAGAGAGATGCAGGAGCTAAGAGAGTTCATTGACAAGAACCTGAAGAGAGGGTTCATCAGAGAGTCCAGGGCGGTGGGGCAGCCCAGTGTTTTTTGTGGACAAAAAACACGAACAAGCCGAGACTGGTGTGTGACTTCAGGGCCTTAAATGCAGTGTCAGAACCAGTGGCCTTCCCGATGCCCAGGATTGACGACATTTTGACAAGGGTGCGAAAGGGAAAGATTTTCACCAAGCTGGATCTAAGGGGGCGTACAACCTGATACGAATAAGGAAGGGGGATGAATGGAAAACCACCATGTTCACCCCTTTAGGGGCATTTGAATACTTAGTTATGCCCTTCGGTCTACAAGCAGGCTCCGCAACATTTCAATCGTTTATGAACCACGTCCTGGGGCCGTTGCTTTACAAGAATTGTGTGGCCTTCTTAGACGACGTGTTGGTGTATTCTGAGAATGAGGAGCAGCATGTGAGAGACGTCAGAGAAGTGTTGAGCAGGCTGCAAGCCAACCAGCTGTGGGTGAAACTGGAGAAGTGTCAGTTTCATACCAAGGAGGTGGAATTCCTGGGGTATCGCCTGTCTGACAAGGGGCTGGCCATGGATCCCGGCAAGGTCCAGGCGGTACTGGAATGGAAAACACCCAAAACAAGGAAGGATGTGCAGAGGTTTTTAGGGTTTGGGAACTTCTATCGTAAGTTCATCCCAAACTTTGCCCACCTGACGGCGCCCATTACGGACTGTCTCAGCAGTAAGAAGAAGTTCGCTTGGACGGAGGAGGCGGAGCAAGCATTTGAGGAACTAAAAGGGCCTTCGCCTCGGAACAACAGCTCCTGCATGTGGATTTACAAAAACCGATGAGAGTGGAAACTGACGCATCAGACAGAGCGGTTGGGGCGGTGCTTCTCCAGCCAGGGAAGGAGGAGTCAGAGTGGAGACCGTGTGCTTTTTTCGCGAAAGCTGAACAAATCCGAGAGGAACTACACGGTGTATGACCGAGAACTACTAGCCATTCATGAGGCGTTCCGGAGATGGAGGCACCTGCTAATTGGCGCACAACATAAGGTGCAAGTGTGCACTGACCACAAGAACCTAGAGTATTGGAGGACGGCACGAGTGCTCAACCAACGGCAAGTGAGATGGGCTCAGGAATTCTCCAAATTTAACTTTGAGATTTGTTACGTGCCAGGCCCAGAGAATATTAGGGCGGACGCTCTCTCACGCAAACCTGAATATTTGGAGGGGGAGGGAGCACCCGAAGAGAGACATGTCATTCCAGAGGACCGCTGGGTGTGTGGGGCGGCATTGGTGGGACAAAGAGAACTGGTAGAAGAAACAGAGAATGATGAATACGCCCAGAATAAGCTTAGAGGTCTTAGGGATGAGGGAGAGGAATCAAGGGGTTTCGAGGAAAGAAATGGAGCTTTGTATTACAAAGGGGCACTGTATATCCCTGAAGGAGACTTAAGGGGAGGGTACTCAAGCAGTTGCATGACAGCCCCACGGCGGGCATTTTGGGCAACACAAAACCATGTGGTTGGTCACCAGGGAATTTTGGTGGCCTAAGGTGAGGGAGGATGTACGTGAGTATGTAAGAGGGTGCGAGCAGTGCCAGCGAGCCAAAGGGGAAAGGCGGGCGCCGGCGGGGCTATTAGAACCCTTACCAACACCAGAACGACCTTGGGAGGCAGTGTCGATAGATTTTATGACTGATCTGCCGAAGTCCAAAGGGAAAACAGCCATCATGGTGGTGGTAGACCTACTAACAAAGATGTGCCACTTTGTAGCTTGCTCGCATGCAGTCACGGCGGAAGAGACAGCGAAGTTATTTGTAGAACACATTTTTAGGTTGCACGGGGTGCCATTGAGGGTGGTCTCAGACCGAGGAAAACAATTTACTTCCAGGTTCTGGAGGAAGCTCATGAGCTTACTGCAGGTGGAGGTCAACTTTTCGACTGCCCGGCACCCTGAAACCAACGGGCAGGCGGAAAGAGCAAACGGTGTCCTCCAGCAATACCTGAGGTGTTATGTCAATGACAGAGAGAATGACTGGGTAGAAAAGTTGGCGCTGGCGGAATTTGCCTACAACAATGCCGAGAATGTGTCCACAGGGATGAGCCCCTTCTTGGCTAATTATGGGTGTCATCCCAGGGCTTTCCCAGGGGGAGAAGGGGGGAGATGGAGCGTACCGGCAGCCGAGCATTTTGTAGAAGAAATGGAAGCAATCCACCGTCAGCTCCAACTCAACTTAGAAAGGGCGAAGGAAGAATACAAGAGGCAGGCAGACAAGAACCGAAGGGAAGGTGAAACCATAAGGGTTGGAGAGAGGGTGTGGCTGTCAACCCGAGGGTTGCCGTTCAAAGGAGGTTGTAAGAAATTAAGACCCAGGAGGTTGGGTCCCTTTGAGGTCATTCAACAGGTCAACCCAGTGGCTTTCAGGCTCCGGTTACCCAACCACATGAAACTGCACCCAGTATTTCACAGGTCGTTACTGTCACCGTACGAGGGGGGACGAGAAGGGATGGCCACTCGGGACCGGTCATAGAAGAAAGAGAATGCAGCAGTCATGTGGCAGAAATCCTTGATGCCAGGTGGAAGGGGAATCAGGTGGAGTATTTGGTAGCGTGGGAAGGAGAACCGGAGTCAGAAAACACGTGGGTAATGGCCAAAGATATCAATGACGAGGTATTGATAGAAATGTTCCATCAAAGGTTCCCGCGGAAACCTCAGCCTGTGGAGAGGTTCCGGAGGGAATACTTTGGGACCACTGAGGAGGAGGAGGAGTTGGAAGGATTCCCAGAATCGGAAGGGGAAGGGGAGATGGACTCGGAGGAGGAGGAGTGCTTCGAGACCAGGAACCGCAACAGGTGGAGAGAAGTGTTCGAGACATCGGAAGATGAAGGAAGTTCATTCCGGGTTTTGCCTCCTCACCGCCCGTAGAGGAGGGGGCGAGAGGGGGTGAAGGGGGCCCTGGAGGGGGAGGTGGATGTCAGGGAACTGCCATCGGTAGGAAGGGAGGTGAAAGGACTCAGACAGGTTGGAAGAGACTTAGCAGCTGAAGAGGAAACCAGCAGGGGAGAGAAGCTGAACTGAGGGAGGTGAAAGGGCTCAGACAGGTTGGAAGAGACTTAGCAGCTGAAGAGGAAACCAGCAGGGGAGAGAAGCTGAACTGAGGGAAAGGGAGCTGGGGGATGGCTCAGAGATACTTCCAGCGAAAACAGTGGTGAGGTTTCCGGACCTCCTGTAGCGACACCCACTCCTCGCCGGAAACTGTCACGCAGAGAGTCCAGAAGACGTGTTTCCGTTAAGGAGCTTTTATGTTGGAAGCGATTACGAAAGCAACCACTGTCGGAATCTTCTAGTGACTAAGAGGAGCCATGTCAGAGGGGCTCAGTCACAGACAGAGGTTTGTGGACTTGAACAAACTCTGAGGGAATACGATTTTACGCACAAGCAGCTCATAATCCCATCACAGTCCCAGCTCCTGCCAACCTAGCAGTTCAAAAGCATGTCAAAGTGCAAGTAGATAAATAGGTACCGCTCCGGCAGGAAGGTAAACAGTGTTTCCGTGCACTGCTCTGGTTTCGCCAGAAGTGGCTTAGTCATGCTGGCCACATGACCCGGAAGCTGTCTGTGGACAAATGCCGGCTCCCTCGGCCTATAGAGCGAGATGAGCGCTGCAACCCCAGAGTCGGCCACAACTGGACCTAATGATCAAGAGTCCCTTTACCTTTATGGCTTAGCATTTTGTGTGAACTCTGCCAAACAGCTTAACTATGGTTGGTTGGTTTCTTTCCTCTATATCCCAACTTTTCCTTCAATGAGCTGGTGTACAAGGTTCTCCCCTCCCCATTTTCTCCTCACAACAACCCTGTGAGGTAGGATGTTAGGCTGAGAGACATTGACTGCCCCTAGGTCACCCAGTGAGTTTCATCACTCAGTGGGGATTTACTGCCAACAAGCCACTATCAATCCAAAGGCACTGGCTTTTGTTGGCTTATGAATCTTGTCTTGGGCTATGACTTGACGTTGCATGTGAACCATAAGGCTTGTTTGACCAACCTATAGCAGCTGTCCAATCTACAAAGGTCCAAGGCAAGAGCAAGGCTGGAATAGACGTCAAACTTTTAAGAAAAAAAGCCATGGTTTGTCTGATCATCTGGGGGAACAACTTGTAGTCACCATAAGAACGTTCTCTGGTTTACTGAGTGGGCTTTGGAAGGCTCTTGCGTGGGTTTCAGAGGCTTTTGCAAGAGCCTCCCAGAGCCTGAGAAGCAAATCAGAGAGCTTAAAGGTTCTTCCCACGATGGGCTTTTAAGCTCTCTGCCTTGCATGCATTTAATTTGTTTGATTTCAGCTGGCTGGCTGGCCGCCACGCACATAACACTGCAGCTGTACAAGTTAAATGTGCGTAAGTTGCAAGTCCATTGTACCCCTTGCCCGTTTGGATTCATCACTCCCACAGTGAATGCAGATGCAGGTGGGAGTTCATCCTTTGCAAGCTACATCCGCCATAAGCCAACCCTACACCAAGGACTTTGATACACTACAAGCAGGGAGAGATCATCTGTAGGGCGCAGGGTAAGCATATCTGGTCTTGTGCTGCCCTCTAGTGGACAAGGGTGTTGGTTGATTTATTTATTTTTTAATTGATGAGATTAACCGGGCACTGGCCTGGTTTGCATGTACTTGTAATGTTAAACCACCTTCCTCTGGTGTGGTTGATAGGAGAAGCGTTTTTGTATAAATTTATAAGTGTATAAAAGAGTGTATAAATTTATATTATTTTTATTGTAACAGAACAAAATAAAGCAAATAGAGTTGTAAAGAAAACAAAAACATGAACACACATATTAAACACCAAAAAAAGAAAAGAAAATGGATATTGTGAGCTAAAAACAAACGAATTTTCTTTACCAAAATCATATAGAACACATTAAAGTCCTAAAGTACCAAGTAATACAAACAGGTTTGCCTAATCTTGAACCTTGTTGCTCCAATACACTATGAAAACAATCCTTTTTTCACAAAAACCATCTGACTGGTATTGTCTGGTTCTCGGCATATTTGTAACCTTAACCATATATACACAATGTCCCAAATTCTGATTATCCATTCTCATGAATGGTGTCATCCTTCTCCTCCAGTTACAGAAGGTGATCATTCTGCCTACAGTCAAATTCCCTATTTTCTGTGTACAATGCCTTTAACATAAAACAAGAGAACCCACTTATAATCTATAAACCTTTATCACTTCCAGTTACGTTCTTATGTCCTCCCCCAATGAAGGGCGGACTTTGGTAGTTCAGTGCCCTGAGTGAGGACAAAATTTAGCGCCTTCCGTGCTATGCATGCTCTCAAGTGCCCTGCGTCATAGTTTTACGCCCCCTCATCTTGGCACCTGTTCAAGGGAACTGCCGTAAACCCAGCGCTGCGAAATGCTATGACTTCAGGACACAGACAGAGTATATACACCACAGCCCAGCATTTGCTATTTTTGCTGTGCTATATATCTGATTAAGGCACGACAGCGTTAAGTACCAGCAACACAGACATTTATAATAGCTTAGCTTGAGGCTTACGCTGATTGTTTGCTGGGGAACATTCTGCCAGATCCCATTTCAAGGATCTGGTGGAATTTCCTACCCTAAATAACCCTCCCAGCTGAAGAGGAGTTTTGATTAATAGCAGCTTAGTGGCTCATCCGAACCCACACAAACTGCAGTTACTCTTAACTATAATCTAACAAAAACAAAACAAAACCCCAAGCCAACTTCAGACAGTGGTTTAAGAAACTGATTTAGTTTACAAAAACTGTATGCTAGAACATAGTCTTATAACAAGTCAGACTATTGGTCAATCTGATTCAGGGTTATCAATCTTGCCTAGCAGCCATTCTGCAGGGCTTCAGGTAAGAGATTTTCACTAGGCCTACCTGGAGATTGAACTTGAGACCTTTCACATACAAAGAATGTGCTCTACCACTGAACTGCAAGCCCCTCATTTTATGATTAACTATAGTTTGGGGTTCAGATGCAATGGTAAACTGTAGTTAAAATGGAAGGAGAAGCTTCTGCTTTCTTCAAAGCCACACCAGAGGGAGTGCATCCTGAGGCTCGCATGAGCTCATTCTCATACCTCTGAATGTTCCATGCAAATACAGCCAGTGAGGGGTTCTTATACGTTGCTGTAAACACATACAAACAGAGGTAAAATAAAAGTGATGTGTGCAAAACATGTGGATGAAGAATCGAGGCAAGAATGCATTTGGCAATCAGATTTCTGCCTAGACAAAGGTTTCATGCACAGTCGTACCTTGGTTGTTGAACGCCTTGGTACTCCTACATTTCGGCTCCCGAACGATCGAAACCCAGAAGTGAGTATTTTGGTTTTTGAACGGTTTTTTGGAAGCCAAATGTCCAATGGGGCTTCCACGGCTTCTGATTGGCTACAGGAGGTTACTGCAGCCAATCAGAAGTCGCGCTTTGGTTTCCAAACGTTTTGGAAGTCAAACAGACTTCTGGAACAGATTCCGTTCAACTTCCAAGGTACAACTGTACTCCCAAAAGTGATCACAGATTATTTGCATCCACAATGCATGAGCTGTAATAATGAATCCATAGCCCTGCTTGCTGGTATACTGTCACATCTAATTGCCCCTGAACCTTCCCAGCACAGTGGTTCAGATATTATTTGTAAGTGTCTAAAGCAAGATTCATGAAAAGAAAGATGTTGTATTCCTCACTCCACCTCAGTGTGACACAATTATAGATCTCTTGCCCCTTTGACTGTGAGCCATATATTGTGCAACCAGATTTTGTGGAAATCCCCAATCAAACCTGGTATTTTAATTGAGCCATTTTGGAGAGGTACCAAGGAACAGACTGGAAGGGTAACTGTGGCCTGTAACATTGCTCTGCTATTTCACCTTACCTCTTGGATAGTATCTAAGCGCTTATGAATTGTATTGTGTTCATCACACCAGTCATTCTGCTCCAAACTCCCTGGGAGATCAGTGACAGGATCAGCAGCAACTGCAAGAGGAAGGAAAGCAAGCAATATTAAAACTTTGCCAAGGTTTTGTTTTGTTTTGTTATTCCACACTATATTTAGGTTTTGCAAAAATACTCAGAATCCCCCATGTGTGGGAACATCCACTGAAGAGTTGAACTCTTAAGGGTTCCACAATTCAGAAGAACTGGGACCTCCTATAGCATCAAAGCTCATCAGGGGTGACGCACCACAGAGATGACCCCTTCTTTCTAAAATTTGCTAGTGTGTGGAGGGAAATATGCCAAAGATCACAACTGTGTAGTTTTTCAATATAATACCAAGAGAACAGAACAGGCAATTGAACTCTATTAGGGTAAGTGACATTATTTATTGGTTCATTGATCATCTCAGTCACCCTCCTCTGCACATGTTCCAGCTTGTCAATATCCTTAAATTGTGGTGCCCAGAACTGGACATGGTATTCCATTTCTGGTCTGACCAAGGCAGAATAGAGTGGTACTATTACTTCTCTTGATGTTGACACTATACAGTGGTACGTCGGGTTACATACGCTTCAGGTTACAGACTCCACTAACCCAGAAATAGTGCCTCAGGTTAAGAACTTTGCTTCAGGATGAGAACAGAAATCGTGCAGCAGCGGTGCAGCGGCAGCAGGAGGCCCCATTAGCTAAAGTGGTACCTCAGGTTAAGAACAGTTTCAGGTTAAGAACAGACCTCCGGAACGAATTAAGTTCTTAACCCAAGGTACCACTGTACTTTTGTTGATGCAGCCTGGAATTGCATTAGCTTTTTTTGCTGCTGCATCACACTGTTGACTCATGTTAAGCTTGTGGACTAGATCCTCAATAAATAGTAATATTGTTCATAATATTTATATTGTTTACATCAATAATATTCTGTTGTTGTTAAACATAAAACAGAAACTGGAGCGCTGTGAGATTAGGTGCATCAGTCCACATAGCGCTAGACCCTAGGAATGTTTACTCTGGCCAACTGAATTCAAGATGACTTACCCAATAGTAAATTAGTATTAGTGCTAATTCTTTACACTGGTTTCTTTATTTTGCCTTTAGCATTGTCTTTATATGAGGGAAGCTGTCTCCTCGTAATGGCAACACAAAGATCTCTTTTTAAATATTTATGGAAAGAAAACCAACATGTAATTAAAGAGTAGGGAAAAGGCCCTCCTCAAATATTTGGGCCAACCATCAAACCTTAAAAGTTTTGTAGTGGAGGCCCCACCCATTTCAGAATGATGAGTGCAACCAAAACTATGTGGAACTCGCTTGCCTCAAAGTCAGGAAAGTTGGTTAAAAGTGTGTGTAACGCTAAACCACCACTGAGCTTTGGAAAATGTTTTTCAGGGGGGACAGCAAATGTCAACAATGTATTCCCTGACTTAATATGAAAGAGGCCACTTTACACAGGAAACTCCCAAGATGTTACTATAAAACAAGTACAAATGCTGCCAGTTTAAGAAAATGTAGGCTGTCAGCAGGTTTTTAACTTGGCATGGTAACTCTGGCCTGTGGCTGGTATGTATAATCACCTCAATGAGAAATAATGGAATTTCCAAAAAGAATTTATTTCCATTAATTTACTTCCAGAGAGCATATCCCACAGATCCGTCGTATACTTTGTCCCTGCACAACACTGAAAATTTTTCAGCTTTAAAACTCATCTAAAAACTTCATGCTGCCACAACCTTTTCCTCCCTGCCTGGTTATCCTTTGTTGCAAAACAGTCTTCAGTCATCTCACGTCGGCTGCCCAAAACGTTCACCTCTTCTATCACTCAGGCATAGGACTCCCCTCCTCAAATTCCTACCCTGGTTTCCTACATCCAGTGAAATCTCTTCACCTCTCTAGTGCTTTTTTCCCCCTGGGGGACGCATGCCCCTAAACATTTTGTGAATCTTTGTACTTTTGTCCATTTACTGTATTTATTTTCCCCGATTTGAACTATAAAATGGTGATTTTCTTGAGTCAAAATGAGAATACCCCTAAACATTTTTAAAGAAAAAAAGCACTGCCTCTTAGCGTCCATAGGTAGGTTAGGTTGAAACCTGATTAGCTGGCCCAAGGTCATTGGGCAAGTTTCTGGGCTTAGTGGCGACTGGAACATGGGTCTCTCAAGTCCTAATCCAACACTAAGGGTTAACAACAATACCATGCTAACTATTGCTTTGCTCAGCAATATAAACAGATGAGAGAAAAGGGCAGACAGCATTTTTATTTTGGAATTAACTTTCAAACCACATAATAATTAATGTGAGTTATTATAATTAAAGAGGCAACGTTCCTAGCTGTAGGACATAGAGCCACACACAGCATGATACAACCAGAATAACTATTTCCACATGTGATATCAACATCTGCTCGGAATTTCTTGGGCCACTGAGTAAGAAGCATGGCAGCTTCGGGGGTTTTTGCTGAATGCTTTCCTGGACTCATTGTGACTTATTCCTGATTAAAATACTGTATTTCTGTTTTCACTTATGCTGGGGAAACCTCAGCAAGTTTAAAATCCTGTTTTTTAATGTATCAGGTACAGCAGATAAGAGAAACACAATTCTGCAAGATAAAACATCAGCCAGCGTGGAGGGGGGAAATAGAGTTTTGAGCAGAGTAATCACATGAGCACAACCAGTGGCGTGTAGAAAATGGTCTTTTCAAAATAAAAGCTACCAGAAGGCTGGTTCAGATGTGACATTCATGTTTTACCAAGCTGGAAATGAGCATCAGGCATGCAAGCTCCTCCCTTTTCCATCTTTCCTTCACCAACAAACCAGGATCTCTGCATCAAAGCTGGCACACAGGGAAAGCCTAGTTCACAAGCCCAACACTCATTTCTGGCTTCATATCTTCACAAAGATAACAACACTTTGCCTGACTCCAAACTGGGACAAAACTTTAACATGTTGTGTCCAAGCTTAGTGGACTGCATATTGCTTAAATCTCATTTAACAAGTAGGCAGAAATAGGGCTTTGGAGGTATAGGGTTCATCCAAGTAGATCTGAAATAGAGCCCTTGGACTGCTTCTGTTTCCCTGCCCATCCATTCCAGATAGCCTTTCTTGCTAAAGTTTGTGGGGTGGGGGGCGGAATTGGACTAATTGCTCTTTAAATGTAAATTTGAGCTGGACTGCATTTGAAAATGCACCTATCCCAAGATGAGGCAGCACGCACACCTTCAAAGATAGGGAAATGTTGAGGGTTTTGTTGTTGTTGTTTTTTTAGTTTTCCCCCCAAAATTGAGTTGTTTTTAAGAAACTTAGTCAAAAATGGCACTGCCAAAATGAGTTGGATTTTCCCGGGAAATTCCAGACATATGGCAACCCTACTAGACACCAAACCACCCCTTCTCACCTGGAGACCCTACCACAAGCTCTCCTCCAATGCCTTTGTCAGCAGCCTAATGCCAAAATTTATGAGGTGGTCCAACCACCAACTTGCCAGAGGAAATGCTTTGCTTGCTATTTGTGTGTGTGTGTGTGTGTGTGTAATGCCGTTGCTAAAATACAGACATGGTGGGGCAGAACCAGTGCAAATGGTGACAAGCCAAAGAGGCGAAGTTTCCTCATAAGCCTGAATAATTTGGTTCAGGCTGTTTCTTGTGGTTGCTATCTTCTGTACTCTAGCACGAACTAGAGCCTCATAAAGCAGCAGGGTGGAACGTAAGTTCTGATAGAACAAAACAAAGATTCTTAACGGAGGACTGCAGCCAAGGGTGAGAGTTGATTTCTAAAAAGAAATCTGGGAGCTGATTATACTGAGGTCATTCTCTCCAGCAGAGACCATTTCTTATGCACAGCCTTTTTCGATTAATGCAAAAAACAACCCACCATTTCTTTTCTTAGATATGTAGCCTCAAAGCAGCAATTGTCAAATTGTTCCTGGTGCATTCTCAGTTAACACAGTATGACTGTCAGGCCCAATGGGTCTGTCTCGTTCCCATGTAAACTGAGTCAACCATCTCCCTGGGATCCTCTCCAATGCACAAAGATTCCTCCTCTAGCAAAGCAACGTGAAACGGGTTCCTTGGAAAATATAGGGACCTGAATGCATGTCTCTCTTATATTGTGAGGTCAAACAAAAGATCCATAGAGCCGAGGTGATTTTTGTCTGGGTGTTTTTGTCCTACTCGGTTTTTGTTTACTTGACAACGTCCCCTCTGTCCAAAATATTACGTCAGGGAAATAAGAACTTGCTTGGCTTAATTCTGTGCTTGCTTTGGCTATCCTTCCTTGCGCTTGGGAAGAAGATAAATTTTCTGAGAGGACTAAGAGCATTTTCAATTGCTCTTCAGTGGTAGATGGAGTTATGTGTCTGTGTGATTATGGTGATAAGAGTTCTTCAGAGTGTTCAAAGTACTTTACATATATTACATATATTACTTTGGAGTTATAATTCTGACAAGCCTGTAAGATCTGAGCTCCCTGGAATAGTCCATACCCTCCAAGTGTCCCGATTTTCCAGGGATAGTCCCGGAATTACAAAAGTCATCTTGGCTTCTGATTGGATCCTGGAATGTCCTTATTTACCCCACCAGTGCTATCGTAGCTGAGCCTGGAGAGGAGGATGAGCCAGGGCTTATACCGGGCAGTGACAGTGGCTGCCAGGAGAATCCCGTGGCCTCTCATTGGCCAATGATGCCAGCCTCCTCCCTTGGGGAGCTTGTAGCGGCTGCTGGAGAGTGGGCAAGGAGGAGGAGAGGCTGCCACTGCTATGGCCCAGCCCTGAGTGACGTGTAAGCTCTCTGAGGGGCAGGCAAAGGGCAGGGCTGCCCTGGGAGGGAAGAAAGTCTTGATTTTAAAAATAATAATACTTTGTGTGTTTGCATCTAAGTGTGCCCCTTTCCAAAATTTACTTATAGGGGTCTGTTTTTCTTTGTATAAATCTACCAAAGAATAAAATAAAATCAGGGTCAAGGGGTTTTCTCAGGACGGTGGAGGGCACATGTGCCGTGTCCTGTTGACATAGTTGTATTGGCACCTGCCCTTCTTCCGATAGGAAATACTCTGCGGCAGGGGTGAGAAACACAACAATGGGAGCGTCTAGTGGGAAAAGTCCCTATTTTCATCTGAGGGATGTTGGTGGGTATTCATTTGTACTCTGCCTTTTGGATCCAAAGTTTCTCCCCCAGCTGGCTACACCTTTCAGTTGCTAACCCTAAAACCTCCCAATTAACCATAAAAAAAGCGATCTCAAACAACAAAAGATAAAACCCAACCAGAACAAAACAATCATTCATCAATATAGATTTACTTGATTTGTGTTTGCCATTGTGAAAACTTGCCCCCAACTCCATCTCATAAAATAAGAATCACTTCAAGACCATGAAGTTACTGTAGGGATAAAATCCTGATTGTGCTATTTGCATTCTAATAATGGGAGCCAAAACCACTGCAGACCACAGTTTTGTGGGTTGTGATGGGAATATAAATCTTAGGATTGGTTTTTGTTGTTTTTTTTAAATGTTGTACATATTTCTCAGAGAGGTAGCTGTGTTAAGTCTCTTGCAGCAAACACAACAAAGAGTCTTGTGGTACCTTAAAGACTAACAAATGTGTTATGGCCACAATAATGTTGGTTTGGCTGTTCCAGACTCACTTATACATTTCACTAGAGGACTGTCCAGAGCTATGGAGTCTTAATTAAAACTGTAGCAGACATGGTAAGCTTCTGCATCTTGTGTAAAACCTTTCACGCTTGTGCCCATATTATATTTTTATTACTTTAAGGTAAAAATAGTTGCCATCTATTCCTACACCCTTGCCACAGATTGAGGAAAATTTTCTCTTGCACTCCTCAGGAAATAACTTCAGCTATAACTGAACATTAGAAGTTTGCAGCTGCCAGAAAGAAATAGCAACCGCTGAAAAAGCTGTTTTAGGCACATCTGAGTTTGCATGTGCACTGATGTGATTTGAGGTTGGTTGGTTTTTTTTAATCTGCAGAGCCCATCACAAAATCCCTTGGAGATTCCCCTCAGGACAAAACTAGAGGTGATGGTGAACCCAAGTATATCCCTGTATATCCCAAACATGCATATAATAGGGGGCAGATGACCGTTGTTGTTGTTTAGAGTAAAAGGAGAGCACAGGTGTTGGGCACGAAATCCTCTATTCCTGCCCATGACCTCCCCTCCCTCTCACTGCACTGTCCTCTCAGCTTGGCATCTAAGCCCTATGAAGGTTAAAAGTGCTTGTGGGAACAGGTTGAAGGGACATAAGCCATAAAGATGGGGAGGGTTTACCATCTGCCCACCACCTCCAGAACACATACAGAGTGGCTGGGGGGGGCCCCAGCCAGATGGGTGGGGTATAAATAATAAAATTATCATCATCAACCTCATCATCATTATTATACACTTGCCTGCTCCTTTTGCTCTAAACAAACAGGACACATGCTTACCGTTCACATAGGATTGTCACAGAACTCGATTTAAATGAGTGGGCTTCCTGCCACATAGTTTGTTGATCCCTTGATGTCTAGTACTGAGCTACTTAAGAAGAACAAATTATAATAAATAATTTGCTGTGTAATTATGGGAGTTTGCTGTCTGAAAAACGCAAGTCCTCTAAAACCTTGGGCATGTTGAGCAGTTCTTTGCATAGTTCTTTGCATCCTGGCCATTATCTGTGGGCGCCACAGTTTTCACTTCACTAATACTTGGTATTCGAAGGTACGTGCGCATGTGTGTGCAGGAGCTGGTTTCTATGTGTGCATATTTCTTGCTGAATGGGGAATTGTGTGTGCAGTGTTTGCAATTCCACAGCACGCTCCCACTTCTGGTTTGGGAAGCTGTGTACAAGGGGTGTTAGCTGCCATCCATATGTATCCTGCAGCTATCCTGTTATTTGTTACAAAATACCGTGTTATGATGCATTTCAAACTGAGAAAGAAAAACTGCCTGGCTGTGTTTTAAGCCAGTAATGTGTATGAAATATACTCAGAGTCGCAAAGTGATTTCATGCTCTTTATTCAGCTCATAGTGGTGAGGAGGAATGAATGAATGTCCCCTCAAAGTATCTGCTTTATATACATTATTTACACAATGGGCTGCACATGATTGGCTAATTCTGGAATTCTACTGTAAGCCAATCAGGTTGTGGATTCACTTCTATCTGGAGCATGATTGGGTGGTTCCTGCCAACCAATCATACTGCTGCATTGTTCTAGGACCAATCAGACTGCTGCATTCTGAATCCTATTGTTCTAGGATCCAAACTGCAGCAGTCTGATTGGTCCTAGAACAATAGGATCCAAAATGCAGCAGTCTGATTGGTCCTAGAACAATAGGATCCAAATTGCAGCAATCAGACTGCTGCAGTTTGGAGCCTATTCAACTCAGTACATAACAGTGTACACATCCTCAAGGCACAAAGCAACTCAAGAAGGTAGTACAACTAAAGCAGATCCAAAAGAGGAAAGTCGGGGGGGGGGATCCAAATCAACAAGGAAAGTCCCAACTTGAATGTATTTCAAGTGAAAAGTCTTATTTTGCAACTGCGTCTGCATTTAGTGCTGCTTGCCAATCAACTGATCTGCCTGCAAGTTGGATTGGTAGTTCCATGGCATTTTCCACAAGTGCTCAAAGGTTTACCTCAGTAATTCTTATAACAGCCCTGTAAGGTAGTTCTACATTTTCATTATTATTCCCATCCTGCAGATTTGAGGCCAAGGTTGAGAGACAGTGGCTTGATCTGGCAATTGAGAACAGAGGCAGGAATTGTCCTGACTTATAGCTTATTACTCACTGCTTCTACATAATGACTAAAGCAAACTCACAAGAGGGAAGTGAGGATCTACAAGTGGGATTTGCAGCCTATGTTTACTGTGATATAGGCTGGCAGGCAGCATCTATAATACCTGGATAGAAGTAATTACCGTAATACTTGAAGAAATACCGCAAAAACAACCTTTCTACACAGCCCTTTAGCATTTCTATGCAATACCGAAAGAACAGAAAGCATAAGGGGAGGGGTAAATGTACCCAATGGAGACAGTGTAAGAGAAGCATGAAAGCCTACCCCATGGCAAAAACAAAAATCTTTGCAGATTTAAAGCAATGTCTAGCAAGGATTTTTATACCCTGTTCATTTCAATGAGACAGTTAAACACCGGCAAAGTTTTCTTCTACTGAAATAAATTTTAGCCAAATCCTATGCAAATTAATTCAGAAGTGGGACCCAATAAATTCAATTAGACTCCAAAGTATGTATGCATAGTATGCAAAGTATGTATTCATATTGTTTGCCTTTGCTAGATTGCACCCTTAATCAAGAATGGCAGTGTGTGTCACAAAGGTATCTTTAAAACATTTGTACATGCTAAAAGTCAAAGATCCAGCATCATGCAAACCATTTCCCCTGCTACAATACACAGTCCAATAAAACAACTTAGAGTGGCAAACACAGCCCTATTAACCAAGAAAAAACTTTAGAGGTAGGCTAACAAGCATCTCCATTCCTAGCTTCTTGAAACACTGAAGTTCTCACAGCAATTTAATTCTTAAGCTCTCCAAAACTGAATGCTGTTCAGAGGGCCATATGACTGACTGACAAAAGTGAATCGCACTTGAACCTGCACACCATTTTGGTGATATTACTCTGACTTTTGGCGAAGCCTGACAAGTACTGCATATTTTTGAGCCCTGTAAAATTTTATAGTTTGGGTCTATAAAACACGATCTCCAATTGCACAGAGGTCATGCTTATTATATAGGGCTTTCCTTGTGTGAACTTCAGAAGTTAAAACATCCCACTGGCTGTTTTGAACCAAGAATGAGCACATTGTATTTCTATCCATGTCTATCGATTTGCTTCTGATGGCTGCTCTTCCCTTGAGCAGATAATGCTTCTACAAGCTGACAGTTTTGAAAGACTTACCCAATCCTTGTCCATTCAGCATTAAAATAAAAAGCAGAGGCCAAATGCAAAGCATAGTTTCAGAGGCTCCGTCCGGAGGAATCTCTCCTGGTCCAGCAGATGAAGAGAAATAAGCAGCCTCTCTCCTCAGTATGCACTGGCCCTCTGCAGAACAGTTTGGATTGGCAGCCGGAGAATTGGGAGGAAATAGTCTCTGGCTGCTGAGCCAAGTTTCTTAGGCGGTCCTCGCCTTCCTTTCTCCCCACCCCCATCCAAGCCACCCTTTAAACTCCACATAGGGACCAGTCACCCAGGGAAACTCATTCTAGGCCAAATCTGCTGAGGCGAAAGGTGGGGGTGTGTACGAGTTTATTTACTTCTATGGAGAATGAATGGAATGTGCCAAAAAAGAGCTCCACTGAATACAATCAATTGGATCAAGCACAAAGCAGCTGCCTTGGATTTCTGTATGCATAGTTTTTAATCACTCTGCAGGAAAGAACAAAGTGGGGTTCACCAGTCAGGCCTATTATTACTTGTTTGATTAGGTTTCTTTAAGAATTCCACTCTGTCTTGAAAGCTCAGCGCAGGTTACCATAGTTCCAGTATTTTACATGTACTCACAAACTTAAGATTCCCCTCAGAAACATAAATCAGAGGCACAGGAAATAGGTTTTATACCACGTCAGACAAATAATTTATTACACCTTTTGGGCTTCAGAGGCCAGATTCCACCCTGGGGGCCAACACTGACGGTGGGTGGGACAATTCACCGGCTCAAATCCCTTGTGTGGGTTTCCACACAAGGGATTTTGAAAGCTAGCTGGCTATCAGGTGCTTGGGAACAGCAGCACAAGGGGAATTGCCTGCGTTATGCTTCCTGCTTTGGAAAGCCCAAAGCATAGTACTGGCAAAACATGGGCGTATCCAGGATTTATGTTGGGGGTGTGTGCAGGACACCCACCTGTCACCATCCTCTGTCTGGCTCCATCTAGCAGATTTGGAATGAAATGTCTCAGCAACTCTTTTAAATTACTTTCTTTTGACCCCAACTGCTCAGAAAAATCTCTCAAAACCTTTCTACATTTTCTACTTTTAGTTAAGTATCCTTATTTATTTACTTGATTTAAGGGGCAGCTGCCCCCCTGTTCCCCCCAAATACGCCCATGTGACAGAGCACTTCTTTTCACTGCATTTTTCAAGTATTGGCTGTGCAAGGGAGAAGTCCTTCTCACAGCCAACGCCCTCAATGGGTATTTAGGACCCCCAGACATCAGCTGACAAGCGGGGAGGGGGGGAGGTCAAATCCTGATGATTTGGCTGCACGTGCCTGTTCCCTCCTGTGAACAGGCACGCACAGTGAACACAAAATCAAGAGAATTGTGCTCTTTTGTCTTTCCCATCAGCTGATGTCATGAGATGCACAAGCTGATTGACAATTGGGCGTGGTTTGGGGGAAGTAGTATCATGGGAAAAGACTGACCTGCACACTGGGAGTCCCCCACTCTGGTCTACACTGACTGGAATACCAGCAAATCTGTTATGTCTTGAGCTTGAATCCCAGAACAATAGGCAGGTAGGATTCTAGAATGCAGCAACTTGATTGGCCAGTAGGAGCTGTCCAATCTGGCTCCAGTAGGGGAGTTTGAATCAGCCTATCAGGTGTAAATAAGGTATATATAGCCCGGGGTCTGGGCGGGGCAAAGAAACAGGATGATTGACTGTTTTCACATGAAAACTGATGGCTCTACACTGAATAAAATCTCAAGGGTCTCTAGGGGGTGTCTTTCCCACTCCTCCCTGGAAATGCTGGGGACGGAACCTGGGATCTCTTGCGTACGAAACAATCTCTTGGCCACTACATTTCACTAAAATGGTTTATCAACTGCTGTATTAATTTATTACTGTTGTACTTTTACCCCACCCTTTCTCCAAGGAGATCTCAGGGCAGCATCCATGGGAATGGCCACATTTTACTTCAACATCAGCCCAGAGGGGTTGCTTAGGCTAATACGGGGGGGGGGGGACCTGTGCTCCTCTAGATGCTGTACAACTCTCAACATTTCTTATCAACGGCTATACAGTGGTACCTCAGGTTAAGTACTGTATTTTTTGCACCACAACACTCACTTTTTTCCTCCTAGAAAGTAAGGGGAAATGTCTGTGTGTGTTATGGAGGGAATGCCTACGGGTGGCGGGGGGGATCTGCTGCAGTCGTGAGCAGAGGATCCATGGTTCCCCTTCCTTCCCTCCTTCGTGGCTCGCTTTGAAACAGCAAAGCGGGAGAAGAGCTGCTGAGTGGGGAGGAGAGAGAGACAGAGAGCCTGCTTGCTTTAAAGGAGCAAAGCGGGAGAGGTTGGTTCCTTTAAAGCAAGCAGGCTCTCTGTCCCTCTCTCCTCCCCACTCAGCTCGCTAAATAGCAGCAAAGTTTTTCAGCTCGCTAAGCCGGGGATGACCGGGGAGGAGGGAGAAAAGCAGAGCCTGCTTGCTTTAAAGGAGCAAAGTGGGAGAGGAGAGGAGCCTTCTCCCCTTAAACCCCTCTTCTGCATTATTAGCAGCATCCTTCTCCACCCACCCCACGCGTGCTCCTTGTCCCTTGAGTGCTTTTCCTTCCCTCCCCACTTAAAACGTGGTTACAAAGCACTGATCCATGTGGATCCTCAGGATTTTTGCACTGGGTCACCCCAAATTCACCATCAGATTACATAGCATGTCCATGGCTACATCTTGCACCAAAAAAATCACGCACCCACTGTTGCCTGGGGCCGCAGTGGTGCAAAAACGTGGTTACAAAGCATGGATCCACATGGATCCTCAGGATTTTTGCATTGGGCTACTCCAGACTCACTGTCAGATCACATGTCTGTGGCCACAGCATGAACCACAAAAATCATACATCCACGGTTTCCTTTAGAATATTTTTTTTGTTGTTTTCCTCCTCTAAAAACTACGTGCGTGTTATGGTCGGGTGCGTGTTATAGAGCGAAAAATACGGTACTTAATTCGTTCCTGAGGTCCGTTCTTAACCTGAAACTGTTCTTAACCTGAAGCACCACTTTAGCTAATGGGGCCTCCTGCTGCTGCTGCACCGCCGGAGCCCGATTTCTGTTCTCATCCTGAAGCAAAGTTCTTAACCCAAGATAATATTTCTGGGTAAGCGGAGTCTGTAACCTGAAGCGTATGTAACCTGAAGCATATGTAACCTGAGGTACCACTGTACTGCCTGGGGCTGGTGGGAGCTGGAGCCCCACGAACAAAAACAACATGTAAAAAATAGGGACTGGGTGTTTTTAAACAACAACAAACCGACAATTTAAAATACAGCTGCAATTTTGCCATACAGTCTTCTTCAGTGGTGGAGATTGTTTACTGCTTCAGAATGGATCCAGAATACACAATAGCTCAGGCATCTTTAAACAGGGATGTAAACAAAACTGAGATACTGGCTGTTCCATGCCACTGAAGAAGACTATGTTCAAAATGCATTTGGCAGCAGAAAGTGTTGTTAATTTGCAAGATATTTTGGAAAATCGTTTGTTCACTACACATTCAGACCCTTCGTAAGGGATCATAACCCAATTTTGCATGGTGATCCCCAGGAGCACGAGCTCCTGGGATCGAGCACTTTTGGGGGGGGGGCCCAATGTCCAAGAAGACTGGAGTCCCTTCAATTTAACCCCAATACCAGTTATGTCTCAGCAGAGCTACCTCAAAAAGTGTGTGTTATTTTCCATTTGAACAGCAGCATTAGTCAAAAGCTATGTCACAAACAGGCTGACATTTTTGAATAGTCTTCAACAGCAGTCTCAGGTAAAGCACATTAAAACAGAGAGCACTATGGCAGGGGTTTTCAATCTTTTGGGGGACACATTTAGAAGTCTGGAAAAACTAGTTGGCACTACCATAAAATGGTTGTCATTGGAGGGGTGCGGTGGCTGCACAGTAACAAAATGGATGCTGATCTGACCTGCCTTTTCATAAAGGAGAAATCACTCTCCAAGGAAATGAGTGCAAGACAGAGGTTGAGGCTGGGGCCAGATACAAAACCACATGCTTGCCTTTACAAAGCACAACAGAACAACCCATTTCACAGAAAGGAAACTGACAATGCTTACCAGAGAAGACTTACTATACCAAAGAGTGCTCATGTGTCTTAAATAGTCGAATGGCAGAGTTTGTTCTGCGGCACATTTTAAGGCTATTTTCATCCTTTCTGTACCCTCTCTTAGTTTTATGAGTCTGTCTGTTTAAATAAGCGTTATCTTCCCACACATGATTCCAAGTATAATAATAGCAGTAAAGCACACTGGTGTTTTTAAAGAGCAACTCAAGAGAAGTATTCAATTCAAAATAATGCCATAGATTTTTGGCACAATAATAGCCTGGAAAGCAAAAGCATTCCTTTGTATCTTTAGTCCTAATATGGAGTATTCTGAGAAACGAGTGAAATCATGTGAATAAGAGGTTTGAGCAAAATCTGAGATTCAGTAAGACCTTCAAGATGACAGCAGGTGCGGGGACTATCACCCTAATGCGATAGCCAGTGTTTTTATTCTATCTGGTTAGGTGTTGAGAGAGTGGGGACATGGTTGCTAAGCAACTGCCACCCCAATCCCTCAATTCTACTGGATATCAGTAACAACAAATTCATATTTTGTTTGCAAAGATCATAAAATGACAAAAAAAAGTGTACATACCCTTCAGTTGCAAAAGAGAGAAAATGAATGCTGATGAATCTGATACACTCTCTATATATATTTCCCTTGGCTATAGTATATATTTTCTGGGGGTGCTAATGTGGAGTTATATGCACTAGGTTCCTGGGAAGGTTTCTATACCTTCAAGAGCCGAGTAGAAGAGAGAATCTTGGCAGTTGCTGCTCTTATTATGGTGCAGCTGGGGGCCAGAAAAATGGCAGGTTGCTGTTAAAGGTACAGAAGCAGGACCTGTGAAAAGGGGTTGGCAGCCCCAGCTCCTTTAAAGGATGTTGAGTGAAAGGAAAGCAGGTGTGCCACAGCTGCTTACCTTGTTCTTCTTATTTACATATACCTGCAAGGCAGATATATGGTTCTCTCTGCGCCCATTTTATCCTGCAACACTATACCCCGTGCTGGGATGTATTATAATGAAGGGCAGCCTATAAATACGCCTAATCAACAAACAACCCTGCGAGGTAGGTCAGGCTGGCTCAAGAGTCACTCCTTGTTCCACTTCTGTCGGAAAGGTGCCTGCGAGAAGAAGGGGAGATTGTGGGGAGAGGTCACCCCTGTGGTAGTAGCTGCATGTGGGAAAAGTGCCGAGCAACCAGGTCCTAGCAGCTGGGGGAGAAGCACCTGTAGCTCTCTGGATGCTATTGGATTCTATCATAATTTCTGACTGCTGCCTGAGTTAGCCAATGGGAGTTCGGAAAGCCAGAGTTTCCTCCGGTCTAGAAGCTGGTGTTTGGCGTTGATGGTGACCAGCTGCAAAGGAAGGCAGGGTTTCTTTCTCTTTAATGGTTGCGTAGGAAAGAGATTTTCAGCAGGTACAGTTTTCTTACCCTGTAATGACAAGCTAGGATTCGCACTTTACACATGCTGGGGCACAGGAACCCTGTCCTCCTGTACAAACATCTGTTCATGCTATGGGCTGTGCATAGACAAAGAAGTGTGTTAGCGGTCCCTGAGTTCAGCTTTACATAGATAGCTGACATTGATAATGAAAAATCTGGAAGACGCCCTAATACATACACATACACACACGATTGTGTGTGTGTGTGTGTGTGTGTGTGTATATATATATATATATATATATATATATATATACACCGTATTTTTCCGTGTATAACATGCCCCTATGTATAAGACGGCCCCTATTTGGGGGGACTCCAATTTAAGAAAATGAGGGGAGATGGGCCAGAGTTGTTGAGCTTTTCTTGGAAAAGAATGCTGAAAATAACTCGCCAGACTGACAATCGCACTCGTCACAGAAGCCACAAAGTATCTGCCTACTCGCCACAGCCCTTGCCACAGCCACCAATCACCCACCCAATTGCCGCTGACAAGCTCCTGCTCGCGGCTGCATCCAATTGCCCGCCCCCCTCTGCACTATCCGTGTATAAGACGACCCCCACTTTTGAACATTATTTTAGAGTAAAAAAAAAATAAATACAGAAAAGTACAGTACACACACACACACACACACACACACACAATTGGGTACTAGTAGAGAAATACTGCCTTTTCATATCAGCTTATTCATCACCATCTTTGTCATGTTTGCATAATAATCCTAAAGCCATGATTGGTCAAGCTCACCTTATCGCTCGATCTCAGCCAAATGACTAACTTCTGACAACATTGTGTGCTAGACATTCATTGATTACTGTGGAAGACCCCTTGGGGGTCAAAATGTGCTTGGTCTTTTTGTTGTTTAATCATTTAGTCGTGTCTGACTCTTTGTGACCCCATGGACCAGAGCACGCCAGGCCCTCTCGTCTTCCACTGCCTCCCGCAGTTTGGTCAAACTCATGCTGGTAGCTTCAAGAAACTGTCCAACCATCTCGTCCTCTGTCGTCCCCTTCTCCTTGTGCCCTCCATCTTTCCCAGCATCAGGGTCTTTTCCAGGGAGTCTTCTCTTCTCAGGAGGTGGCCAAAGTATTGGAGCCTCAGCTTCACAATCTGTCCTTCCAGTGAGCACTCAGGGCTGATTTCCTTAAGAATGGATAGGTTTGATCTTCTTGCAGTCCATGGGACTCTCAAGAGTCTCCTCCAGCACCATAATTCAAAAGCATCAATTCTTCGGCAATCAGCCTTCTTTATGGTCCAGCTCTCACTTCCATACATCACTACTGGGAAAACCATAGCTTTAACTATATGGACCTTTGCTGGCAAGGTGATGTCTCTGCTTTTTAAGATGCTGTCTAGATTTGTCATTGCTTTCCTCCCAAGAAGCAGGCGTCTTTTAATTTCGTGACTGCTGTCACCATCTGTAGTGATCATGGAACCCAAGAAAGTAAAATTTCTCACTGCTTCCATTTCTTCCCCTTCTATTTGCCAGGAGGTGATGGGCCCAGTGGCCATGATCTTAGTTTATTTGATGTTGAGCTTCAGACCATTATTTTGTGCTTTCCTCTTTCACCCTCATTAAAAGGTTCTTTAATTCCTCCTCACTTTCTGCCATCAAGGTTGTGTCATCTGCATATCTGAGGTTGTTGATATTTCTTCTGGCAATCTTAATTCCGGTTTGGGATTCATCCAGCCCAGCCTTTCGCATGATGAATTCTGCATATAAGTTAAATAAGCATGGAGACAATATACAGCCTTGTCATACTCCTTTCCCAATTTTGAACCAATCAGTTGTTCCATATCCAGTTCTAACTGTAGCTTCTTGTCCCACATAGAGATTTCTCAGGAGACAGATGAGGTGATCAGGCACTCCCATTTCTTTAAGAACTTACCATAGTTTGCTATGGTCGACACAGTCAAAGGCTTTTGCATAGTCAATAAAGCAGAAATAGATGTCTTTCTGGAACTCTTTAGCTTTCTCCATAATCCAGCGCATGTTTGCAATTTGGTCTCTGGTTCCTCTGCCCCTTCGAAATCCAGCTTGCACTTCTGGGAGTTCTCGGTCCACATACTGCTTAAGCCTGCCTTGTAGAATTTTTAGCATAACCTTGCTAGCGTGTGAAATGAGTGCAATTGTGCAGTAGTTGGAGTTTTCTTTGGCACTGCCCTTCTTTCAAAACGAAGCAGGGCATAGGCTAATAGAGTTCTGCCAAGAGAACAAGCTGGTCATCACAAACACTCTTTTCCAACAACACAAGAGACGACTCTACACATGGACATCACCAGATGGGCAGCATCAAAATCAGATTTATTATATTATCTGCAGCCAAAGATGGAGAAACTCTATACAGTCAGCAAAAACAAGACCTGGAGCTGACTGTGGCTCAGATCATCAGCTTCTTATAGCAAAATTCCAGCTTAAACTGAAGAAAGTAGGAAAAACTACTAGGCCGGTAAGATACAATCTAAATCAAATCCTTACGAATACACAGTAGAAGTGAGGAACAGGTTTAAGGATTTAGATTTGGTGGACAGAGTGCCTGAAGAACTATGGGTGGAGGCTTGTAACATTATACAAGAGGCAGCAACGAAAACCATCCCAATGAAAAGGAAATGCAAGAAAGCAAAGTGGCTGTCCAACGAGGCCTTACAAATAGCGGGGGAGAGAAGGCAAGCAGAATGCGAGGGAGATAGTGAAAGATACAGGAAATTGAATGCTTGGTCTTTAGCATGAATCTAATCATTGCACGGCACATCAGCTCAGCACTGACACATCATTCTCTATTGTTGAGAACATAATTTCTTGGTTTTAGGAATTTCATTCATATTCTGAGTTGGGGTGGGGTGTCTGCCTGGATGATATCTGTGAATCCCTTCCAGGCCTGTGATCCTTTGTCCAGTAAATCCAATCAAAAAGGCTGTGCAGCCTGCCCAGTCCCTTTGTCAAGATAATGGCTTTGGCTGCTAGATATGTACCACAATTTAGCATAAACAAAGAAGTTGCCCTGTGCCATAGAACAAATGGGTAGACCTTTTCCCCTCAGGCCTTCACCCCACCCCCCCTCACCTAGCTGCTATATAGGAAAAGTATCTGTGTATGTGTGAGAGAGAGATACCCTTCAACATTTCTCCAGTGGAAATAGGGACGTCCTATTCAATAATAACAATAATAATAATTTTATGTGCTACCCATCTGACTGGGTTTCCCCTGTGTGAGAGAGAGGGAGGGAGAGAAGCTAGCTAGAATCTGTAGAGAGACATGCCTTGTCTTGCTCTGTGTTGGACCTTTGGCTCCCCTGAAAACCTAAAAGGGAAGCAAGGTCTAGGGTGGGTGTTGTAATACCACCCATCTTACATGCAGGTTGTATATATGTGTAAATAAAACCCTATATCCTAAAGACACAATAGTCTCTGCTGACTTGCACTCCAAGGAAACCAGACTTCTGGGACCCCTGGATTATTTCACTATTCAGAGACTGAGGTGGCATTTAACAATATGTCTAATGTACATTCAGAGTTCAACTCCCAACAGCCCCAGACAGCTTGGCTGATGGCTGGGGATGACGGGAGTTTGGAGGGCCACGAGTTTTCCGAACCCTGAACGAGCCCAATGGCACAGACACCGCAAAACAACTCGCTGCATAGTCACATGTCCAGGAACAACTGGCCTGCCTAACGATGCATATAACTACCTAATGAGAACCATGTGTCATGAAGGGAAGGGGCACTGGGAGGCCTCCCTGAAGAGCCAAGTCTGTTCAAGCACAATACGGCTTGTACTATGCTGAGACATCCTGCCAGCAGCGAGTGAGTCAGCCTTCTGAAAAAATGTCTTTGGGGGTTTTCAGTGCCAATATCTGGTGCTAAGTATTGTTTGCTGAAGCTGAGAAAAGCTACACTGGTTCCAGGCCTGCCCTTCAGGACTGCTTGAAGAAAGGTGGGGCTTTGTAGTGACAAAGTGTGGTCTGTTTTCTGTTTTTAAAAGAGAGGTTGGTTAAATTTCCCAAATTGAGCCCAAAGTTGAAGTCTGTGCAACACACATGCTTCCTTTCTGTTGTGTGACCATATGCCATCAGCTGCCTGTGTCCACTTCAGTAGGACAAATACTGAAGTAGTTTAGAGATGGATCTCCTAGATCAGGCTTTCCCAAACTTGGGTGTCCAGCTGTCTTTGGACTACAACTCCCATCATCCCTAGCTAGCAGGACCAGTAGCTAAGGATGGTGGGAACTGTACTCCAAAACCTGCTGGAGACCCAAGTTTGGGAAACCCTGTCCTAGATGATGGCAGTGCCCAACATTTGCTTCCTGAGACGGCACCTGAATCACATTGGTGATGTAACCCTTGAAAAATGGTTTCTTTGGAAGGTCCAGTCACAGCAGAGAAGGGTGGGCATGCATTTGCAACATATCTGATGTGCATAACATGGATGGGGTATGTTTTATAGGTTCCAAGATCAGGCAGTGCCTGTGGTCAAGATTGCATTTTTGTGGTACTATTCATTGACATTTAGGCAATAGTTAGACATAGAAACGGAGGTGCAGTGAGAATACCTGGGTTGGTCCAAAGTCAGTCAGCAGCAGACTTTGCGTCGAATACACGTCAACTCGTCCTCTATTTCAAGGAAGCCAGTAGCTGCTAATGTTGTGAGTGCAGCTGCCCTCCTAACCCTGCCATCGTTGCTGCTTACCTGGACTTGGCAGGGGCAGAGCAGTGGCAAAGTTGGAGCTGTGCAAGTAAATGGGTGGGAGCACTGCCACTAATTTGGAGTTCTCACAAAGCCCTGATCTTGACGCTGCCCCACCCTCGACCCATCCAGGTAAGCAGCAGCAACACTGGTGTCAGGAGGGCAGCTCCACCCCACTGCAGTCACCACTGCTACATTTCAAGCTTATTGGAACTTAAAAGGTAAAGGTAAAGGGACCCCTGACCATTAGGTCCAGTTGTGGCCGACTCTGGTGTTGCGGCGCTCATCTCGCTTTATTGGCCAAGGGAGCTGGCGTACAGCTTCCGGGTCATGTGGCCAGCATGGCTAAGCCGATTCTGGTGAACCAGAGCAGCGCACGGAAACACCGTTTACCTTCCCACTGGAGCGGTACGTATTTATCTACTTGCACTTTGACGTGCTTTCGAACTGCTAGGTTGGCAGGAGCAGGGACCAAGCAACGGGAGCTCACCCTGTCGCGGGGATTCGAACCGCCGACCTTCTGATCGGCAAGTCCTAGGCTCTGTGGTTTAACCCACAGTGCCACCTGCATCCCGGAACTTATTGGAACTTACTTGGGAGTAAATCAAGTACCGTATTGGCCCGAATATAAGCTGCACCCGCAAATAAGCTGCACCTTTAAAATTCAAGACTTATTTGCTGGTGCAAGCTGCCTCCTGGCACTGCTGCCCTGAACGGGGGATGGCTGGCTCTCGGAGCCCTGCTTCCCAAGCCAAGTTTCTAGCGTGCTGGGCGCCTGCCTCCTGGCACTACGGCCTCCCAGCACTCCTGGCACTACCTCCCCAAGCCGGCGTCCAGGGAGGCTTTGGCGCTGCGGGCAGGCTGTGCACCATTGTCCCGCACCCCCGATGGCCCTTCTGGGCAGCTGTTTCAGCAGTGAGACCGTAAGGGGAAGCCGCACTTAACTTTTCACAATTGGAATTTGGGGGGAAAGTGCGCCATATATGTGGGCCACTACAGTGTAAGATTGAGTTGGAGACACTGGCCAGCTGTTCTGAGCAGCTCTGGGGGCAGAGCTTGCCCCAAAAGTTACCAAACTGTACAACTAAAGAAAATAACCTGGGGGAGAGACGACAGCTTTGCCTCCTTGCTTTCTGGCAAATGACCTATAAGTAACCCCCCCAAAAAAACAGCCAAACAGTTAGTTGATTCCCTGGCTGACAGGCTGCTGAAAGACTTACTCCAGATTTAATTTCCCTTTTCTCTTGGTTCAGTCCACCCAGAGTAAGAGTTCTGGAGTGGCACTAAGCTGGTCGTGAAGCTTGCTTTTAAACGCAGAGTGAACTGTGATTCAAAGCTAAGTCGGTCTAATTGGACACAGCTGGAAGAAGGGGAAAGGGATTTAGATCAATAGGAGTCTAGAACAGCCTAAGAGACTTTGAATGTTTAAGCTTGCAGCTACTTACACTGATTGGAAAGGAAAGAAGTTTAGGTATTTCATTTTGACATCCCTGATGGATTGTGTAAGGCAGAGGTTTTCAACGTTTTTGAGTCCACAGCTCCCTTGACCAACTACATTATTTCTGTGACACCCCTGTGGGGCTCAGAAACTGTTATGTCACATCCCTTGCCTGCAGAGCTGGCAGCCTCTCACTCTTTTTCGAACACGCTCCCTTGGGGAGTGTTCCCTCAGCCTCCTCTCCAATCCCACCCCTGGTCTCTGAGCTGCCTCCCCTACGTCAGAGAGGTGCCCTCTTCAGTTGTTGGGGAAATATACTCTTTTTATTTCGTATCTATGAGCTTTAAGCCCACAGTTCAGTGACACCCTTGGCTCCAGGTTAAACCAAGAGAGTTTGCTGCTTGGGTTGGTCAGGAAAAGGGACCATCTCAGAGGTATTTTCCCTCTGAAAAGATAGGTACCGTAAGATGCTTGTAACAATGAGCTAAATTCCTAGATTTTGGTCTTTTTCCTGCCCTACTACTAGTCCGTCCTGGTTTTAGCTACCTGGAACAACACAGGATTTTTAAAAATGTATTTTTAAGTGCCCTGTACCAATTAAAAACCTTTCCCCATCATGTTTTGTGCTTGAGCCATGTGGCAGCACTGGCAGGGGAAATAGGGACATTCCAGGATCAGACCAGAAGCTTTCATCATTCCAGGACTGTCCCTTGAAAATCGAGACACTTGGAGGGTGTGCAAGTGGTAGTATTTAGTCCCATGCTGTGAAAAGCTTCAGAGGCTGATTTGTACTTGTGTAGATCAAGTTAAAGAGCTGGACTGCATCCCCCTCCCCCCAATGGCTGGCAGCCATATCTGGACCTCCTACACTGCTTTCTGTTCCTGCCTAAAGTTGATCATTGTCTCCAGAGACCCCCACTTCTGGATTTGAATGTTGTCCCAGATTACGGGCACCATGCCTTTCCCCTTTGGGGAGTCATCTCAGCCTGGCCTGCTCCTTCAGACATGAATCCTGGCCTACATTGACCCTGCATTTGCCTTCACCTTTCGGTGCCTGTTCAATCTCTCTGTCCCCTGATCTTGTCGACCCTGATCCTCTCAAGGCCACTTACAGCCCGCAGAGATTCACAGATCAGAAAGCAAGCTGGCCCGGTTATCTTTCCCAATTGGTGCTGTAACCATTTAGGTGGAGGAGGACATTCTGAGGACTCTTCTACATGCCTTTATCTCATTGGGAAATCACGGTGTTTGATAAAGTGGAAGCATCTTTTGCTGTGCTGAAGGTTTTGGTAATAACTGGCCACAGGGGTCATTCATTGTCAAAGGAACAGACAGCAGAATCACACGGGAAAGCTTAGCAGGATCAGGCTTTAAATAGCCAGCGTCCTCTCAGTGTGTCTGCAAACACACCCCTTCCTTGTGAAATGTAGAAGCAAAGCAAAGAACCAGCCATACTATGAGATGGTCCATATGGCACCTGAATTGACTAATATATGTGCAAGCAATTTACTGAAATGTGCGGTGAAACATCCAAAAAGGGAAAAGCTAATGTGGGTTATAGCAGTTAGAATACCAAGGCAGGACAAGGGAGAGTTGGGTTCAAATCCCTGCCCAGTCACGAAGCTCACTGATATTGTAATCTTTTACATCGGGGTTGGGGAACTTCAAGCCCTGTGGCCAAATGAGATCCTCCAGCTCACTTGTGATCCTCTCCATGCCACACCCATTTCCCCAGCCACACTTTTAATCTGGTTGGAATGTTTCCTTGAATTTTGATAACTAGTTTGAGAATGTTTTTCTTAGCTACCTGGGGCACACAGGTGGGAAACATCAGAGAGAATAGGAATGTGTTCTAACTTGAGGGTTACTCCCAGTAAGTTGATCTGGTTCTCAAAAACTTTTGCAATTGAATAAGAAGATATTAAACCCAAGAAAGCATATAGCTCATATCAGCGTCCAGCCATTTATCTATCCCTAGGCTGCTGTGATCTCTTAATGGGACAAAGTACAAATGTGTGAGTCTGCTGTGTAATATTATTAGTTGTGCAGAATGGGCTTCTTTCTCTTAATGAAGGTCCTGATTAGAGCTGGGCAATATATCAACATTGTGATATACCACCAGCTAAACATCACAATATACCGTTATATCACAATGTCTGAAATAAGGATGGAGATATGGCTGACTTCACGTTTTTCCCACATCATGGTTTCTGAATAGCATACACAAACACAGAAACACACACACACAAGATCCACGATATATTGCCAGGTCAAAAATAATGAAACCAATATTATGGTGTGGACTTCAAGCTGGCTTTGGACAATATATCAATATATCGCCCAGCCCTAGTCCTCATTAATGATATCTGAGACCAGTGACTACTCCAAGCCACTGAAGCTTGTATCCAACCCCAACTGGTTGTAAGCTTGGAAATATAGTTTGAATGAATGCAGGCAGAACTTAGAATACAAATTGAGTTGAGAGCTTGCAGAAGCTGTTGCCAAGAGATTTCCAGGTGGCAGAAGTAGCTTGCCAAGATCTTGGGGTGCTTCACGGCTTTTGGTACAGGATTACTACTGCTTGCATGCATGTATGAATGCATGCTTCTTTCCCATCTGTTGTGCACCTGTATGTTTTGTAAACAAACAGCTTATTCCAAAAAGCACCACAAGACTCCAGTACCTTTGCCATACAAAGGAGGTCAATGCTATAAAGTTGAAACTGTCTATCAGTAAAGGGAGTGTGAATGGATATACTATAGTCTAAGCCGAACCACTGGGCAATATGTACAAACAATTGCATGGCATTTGGAATCGATGGTGGTGGAGGCCAGACTGAAGTTCGTTTTTTGGGCATCAATAGAAAGTGCACCAGGATAATCTGACACCAACCAATAATAGTATTAGTAACAAAGGAAGGATGCTGAATTTCCTAAGGCGGCATATAAAGGAAAAGGGCAGTGAGAAAGTCCAGATTAATTCTTTAGCAAAGACTGCCCTGGTTGCAGAGAGGATTTGAGCAGGATTACAGTACAGAGAGAGCAGGGTCAGCATTAGGGAAATATTCTGAAAGTCTATTGTTTGTTTTCCAACTGTCCCACGAGATTAAAAAGAAAAATCGTTTGTTACTAGACATACTGAAACCAAGACTTATATTGTTTATATATAATGGTGGTGTAACACTGTCTCATGAAAGAATTACGAAAGGCAAATCTGGTCAGTTAAAGGCATGAAGAACAGGATAAGAGGATTTCCCAGCAGCAATAGAGTATGACAGGTGGGAATGAAAGGAAGGCCAGTACAATAATAGCTCCTTTACCCTTTATCTACCATTAAGACGATGAACAGCTCCGACTACGGCTAGTTAATTTTAAACCAAAGATGGCAACTCAGCACCTTCCAGATTCAGCTCAGTCAGTATCACCATATTAGTGAAACAATGTTTGTCAAAAATAATGACCTAAAACTGTCTTGGGGGTCTTTGCATTTTTCTCTAGAAAAATGGAAACTTGAAGGAAACTTGGGTCAAGACAGACAACGTGTAGAAGCACCTACCATCTCCCCAGATGTTCAAAGGGGCTGAGCATTTTTGTCTCCTCCTCGATCTCTGTGTCCTCTTCTCATTTTTCCCCCCTTTGCGGAGCAATGAGAGACAGAGCTAATCGACAAGAGCTGCAGCACAGATAAGGCCTAAGTATGATTTTATGGTTTGCTGCATGAATATGACAGTGTTAGCTCTGTGTGTCCTTACATTCTCTGAGATCTATAAGCCGATTTGTGTGCAGTCTGTTACCAAATTATAACCCTGTTCCAAGAATGGTTAAACTTTGTGACTTTTTGTGAATTTAAGAATGATTTCTCTTATTTTGCAGATAACCGTGGCTGGGCTGTTTTCTCCAACTCTCAGTTCTTCATGGTAGTGTGGGAAGCTGTTGTGCCGACATTCCTTAAATTTGCTCCTCAAAAGCACTGGTAAGCATACATTGGAAGTGCAATGTTTGAACCCTTCCGCTCATCTCATTTCCTAGAAAGAGACACTTTGCAGCTTTGCAACAAACCACAATATCGTTCTTCAGCTCAGCAGTGAACATCTAAAGCTTTAAACATTCAGCTAACTGAATGCCAGCGAAGTATAATCCAGGGCCTGACTTAAATTGACAGGGACAGGTTGGCCTGTGAAATAATCTCTTTAAATAGTAGCAGCCAATCCCCAAAGTCGTTTCTTTGTCCCATCTTGAGTGGGAGGACGTCTTTCAGCAGCCTGTTCGCCAGGCAGACTGCTTTGCTGCCCTTCCTGACAGTATTTGGAAAGGCAAGTTTTGCTCATTGGCTGGGACTCCTACCTTTCAATAACAACCAAGGCATTGCTATGAATTTTGCTGCACAATTTCTCTACTCCAGGGTTTTTAAGAACCGAACTCCCAGGGAACGCTTCAGAGAAGAAGAAGAATATGACCCTTTCTGGCAAAGGTTGGAGAATGTTGCCATGTGACGTAGACCTAGAGTGTTGATTTCTTCCCCTTAGGAATTATGGAAAGTCCTAGGTTTGTGTCTGGGGCCAAGCCACTGGCCGTCGCCTCCTCTGGATCCTTCCTGCCTTCTTATGGTGCAGTAGTTGGAGTATTGCTTCACTTCTTTGTTTATTTCATTGCCATGCTTTATAGGTAATGATGACGATAATATGTTCTTCTACTTTATCTGCTCCTAATTCCCAAGTAACTACAGTCTGTGTGTTTATTTTCAAACAGTGGGCAAAAACCATTAACTCTTGAATAAATTGCTAGAATTCAAGGCGCCATCAGGAATTAGATGTATTTTATTGTGCCTACAAATTAATTCTTGTGGATTTGCTTTAAATCTCTGGATCTTTTGACCTCTTGTTGTAAAGATTCTGTTTAAAATGAGCGGCAACAGCCCAACAGAAATATCAGTAAATGGTACTTATCCCATGGGTTGTATTCAGTTTTAGATGCATTCCTTTAGCTGTTGTCATGATCACATTAGAAGTATATTTTGACGGGAATTTATGGATCTGCTTAAAGCTAATTGTATTACAGTAGTGTCCAGAGTCTTCAGTTGAGCTTAAGAAGCCTTGCGGAATGTTCAAGACATTTATTTGTCTCCCAGACTTCAAGTCCAAAGACCTGAGCCAACAAAAAGTTAGGATGATGCATAAACATTTGAAAGATCAAATTCCAACTTTCCTTGTAATGCGCATGGAGCTAGAAGTAGTGCAATTGAAGATGCTCTCATGTAAGCCATTCAAATTGCCATTATGTAATGGATGCTTCCACACTAGAACCATTTAGCACTGCCGAGGCATTAGCATTAGCTGGAAGAATTAAAACTAGATGCACATAGCATTTAATACAGTGTCAAATTGCAACGCCCATACCCATTGCCAAAATCCTTCCTTCCGTAATGTCTATTCACAAGTAAATTGCATCCAGCCAAGGTCCCCTGGTAACTTCAACTGATGTTTATAGTTTTTAGGATCAGCTGGTTGTATAACTGGCTATTATTATTTAGTAGTATTATATTGATATAGTATATCACTCAGAGCACCTCACATTCATTCAGACTGTACAGTGTGATAATTACAAGAGTAAAATGATAGACATTATTTTAAGATCAATAAAATCTAAAAGAGCAAAATTAGTTGAAAAACAGCAGGGATGACAAAAGGCAGTTGAAATAAAATATGGCGTCATTTCTGTATTTAAAATAAGAACATAAGAAGAGCCAGCTGGATCAGGCCAATGGCCCATTTAGTCCAGCATCCTGTTCTCACAGGGGCCAACCAGATGCCTGTGGGAAGCTTACAAGCAGGACCCGAGAACAACAGCACTCTCCCCTCCTGCCGCTTCCAGCAACTGGTATTCAAAAGCATATTGCCTCAGACAGTGAATGTGGACCACGGTCATTGTGGCTAGTGGCCACTGGTAACTTTATCCTCTATGAATTTGTCTAATCTTCTTTTAAAGCCATCCAAATTGGTGGCCACCACTGTCTCCTGTGGGAGCAAATTTCAGTTTTAAGTATGAACTGTGGGAAGAAGTCTTTTTTTGTTGTTGTCTGTCCTGAATCTTCCAATGTACACCTTCATTGGATGACCCTGAAAAGGAAAAGCTTTTCTCTGTCCAGATTCTCTACACAATGTATAATTTTATACATGTCTATCATGTTTCCTCTTTCTCACCTAATATTGATGAAGAAGAAGAAGAATTAGTAATTAAACATCCCCACTGACACACAGGAACTAACATCTGACAATTCTTAGGAACAGAAACGGACGTGGGGGGAGAATTTATTCAATCCTATCCTATCCTATCCCTCAGTTTGGATAGGAAGCACTAAAATAGTCTAGATTTGCAATGGGGAACTGTGTTATTTAAAGGCACAGAAGCCAATAGTACTAGTGATGAATAACAAATTGCTTGTGAATTGTTCTTTCACGTACACACACAAAGGCACACACAAAATGGGGGAAAGCCTCAATATCAGGTCTGCTCCAAAAGGATTACTGGCCTCCCCATTCCTTCTTGTGTGTAAGTGCAAAATATCACTTTTTCCTATAAAAATGGTAGAAAACAAGTAATTAAAGTCCAAAATAGAACCTGACTGAGTCTATATAAAACTAGAATCTTCCTTGCTTTATATCTTGTTGATTGGAGCTCAGAGATTACTAGCATTGTCATTGGCATCGGTCTTGTCTCGAGAGACAATGGAGTGCGCCTCCAGAGGTGAAGTAAAACCGCTGGAGAATCACAGCGCCTGCTGTGGCTGCAGAGACCGGTAATTTGTAACTGCTGCCTCCTGCATCGTTTTTGCTGTATTAGCAGTACCAGAGTGACCTTTCCAGGACACAAGCCTGGGCAGTGTGTACTGGGGTCATGGGCTGCCCAGTCTGCAAGACCCTCTCTCAGCCTTGCTGATGTAGTCCAAGGGAAAGCAGAGCAATACATTTGGCACCAGCTTGGCTGCAGGAGTAGGTGGAAAGAGGCATACAAGGCACCATCCAACCATCTTAGGGACTTTATTCTGGATTTGTGTAGGGTTTGCTCCTTAGCCTTTTATTCTCCCAAAGATATCCTGCAAGGCAGTGGATAGATTACTAATGAACAGCCTGTTAATTGCCCCTCAAATAACCTCTTGTAAGTGCAGTACTTTTGAGTACACATTATAAGAGGATCTTGCTGGATATGATAGTGCTATATTAAATGCTTATATGAAATCTTCATTTTAATTTAACATTCAGCTAATTATTAAAAAGCAGTGTCCCTCAGCAGTACTAAATGGGGCTCTGATGTGGAAGCAAACGTGGTATCTGACAGACTGTTATAGGACTTTAGCATCTTTCCCGTTCTGCCAAGAGCAGGAGAGCTGGCTGCTAATGTATTGATTTCTTTCACTCCTTTATTGCCTTTTGTACCCATGTGGCTTTTCTGTGTTTTCTTCCTCAGCTTTGCAAAGAAGCTATTTGCAAAAAAGTAGGTTTTAAAATCGCATTGCATGTTTTACTAATTCCACTAAAACTGACATGGAAAAAATACAGGCATGTCTCCAAGTCTCACAGTTCTATTATGCATGCATATTTAACAAACAAACAAACAAACAAACAAACAAACAAACAAACAAAAAATACCCTCAAACATAATCCTGTGCACTGGAAACAGTGAGACTTACTTCTGAATTAAACACATAGGATTTTGTTTTAGTGTACTGGGATTATACATAAACTCAATTACTGATTAATAAAGTTGACTATCCAATATACTTTCAGTTTGTTAATTTAAAACCTTTCACCAGAATTATGCATCTACAAACAAGGCCTTTAGGCAATAACCTCAGAGTGACAAGTTCCTCAGTGGACTCTTGAGTTGCTTTTGTCTGGGCCTTCTGAAAAAGCAGAACAGGGTGATTTCACCCTGTGACATTGCTCTAGGCAGAGCTTTGTCTAGAGCAGGAGTGGGCAGGCTTATGGGATCTACTTTGGATTTTTTTTAATAGAACCTTGAGATCCACCAAGCAGAGTCATATACAAGAGACCATTCCACTTCCCAAAACTTAGAACAAATCATTTTGAAATCCCAACATATTTTAAAAAACACATCCATGGCCCGATAGTCTACTTTGTATTCTGAGCAGAACTATATGACACATTTACTGCTGTCTCTTGAGTTTTCTTGCTGTTTGGTCCCACTGGAGTAGTTTATTAATGTAGCCATGTGCTGTGTATATGTATGATATAACACTGAATTTTACTACGTTAGACTAACATGGCTATCCTTCTGGAATCCATCATGTTTGCGTGTCGAGGTCCACAAGACACCCCCCAATAAAACACAAGTGACACATTATTTTTGTTTAAGGTTTTTGGCATAATTTTGGCCACAACTTTATTAAATTACAAGCAATGTGAGTGGTTGCTTAGGCATTGGTTGCGACTATCTGACCCCACACGGGGACAACTCTGACATTCGCATGCCTGCGAAGTCAGAAAAGGGTAAGACACCCGGGGAGAGAGACAGGACTGGGAACCATGCCTCACCTCTCCCCAAATGCTCCCGGGGGCTCTTGCGTGGCCCTAGCCCCTTAACAGGGTGCGGACAAAAGCATGGCGAGCCCCTGGGTTCCTTTAACGGAAAACCCTTGCAGCAGCAGCACTTTTGGAGGGGCAGGCACAGCCAAATCCATACCCCTCCACCAACCAATTCCCAAATCAATGCCTAACCGCAACCTTACAAGTTGTGACGATTTGCTACACAGTAGGCAAAAACCAAATGGCACCAGCCAATCAGCCAAATGGACAGAATTCCTACCGGGCCCCTGCCCCGAAAGCAGACGACCCCATGACAGGCATAGCAAGGTCAAGCAAACAGCCTAAAATAGGGAGGGAGGGCGGGTGATCCGATGCACGCAGCGAAAAGAGGAAGCTCAACACTGCGTGCAGGGCATTTAAAGACTAGGGCAGTCAATCAAAAAATGGCAACATATAATTCTCCCCAGCAACAGCCAGCCCTCTGCTAATGGTGGCCATACTTTTTCCTGCCCAGCAACAGTGGGGTGTCTTGCTAGGCCCCACCGCAACACGTGCTCTCCATGAAGGAGAACACGCTTTGTGGAAATGTGACTAGAGTGGTACCCACTCAAGTCCTTCTCCAGAGCTGACAGCAGCAGTTAGAAGACTCAGGGCTTACCAGAAGCATCATGGCTGCTTTTTTATTGGACTTGTTTTATTTTGTATTTCCTTTCATTATTGAGTTTTAAAATTCCATTGAAATTTGCAACTACTGTTCCTTGGCCCTGCATGATTTGCAGAGGAATGGCAAGTGTGACAAGAACGCTCAACCTTTCCCTACCACCCATTTTCTGCATGCCACACCCTCCCACCACATTTCAAATATGGGTTTGGAACAGAGGCTGGGGAGAAGTAACTATGGTATGTCTGTATGCAGGGGTTGCACCTTCCACTTACTCCAACTTGGATGCATGTTGCACCCTTCTGGCACTAACTTGAATAGGAGGAGAAGTAGCAAGGCTTTCAAGATACAATGGCCAAGCAAAACACACAAGTCAGAATATGTGGTTCCTGGAGTATCTGATGCAGAGGAAGCTAATCCACAAACTGGCAAGCTGATCTACAACTCATATTTAAAATGAACGGGGCATCTCTTGCTACTGCTTGTAAAATGTGCATTTAACTTGCAGCTTGTGACGATGGTTGACATTACCATTGCTACTCCACTCCTGGAACACAGTCATTCATTTGATCATGAACATGCATGGTTGTCTGTCATCTTGCAATCAAACTGATTCACTGCATGTATGTGCTGTATAGGGAGTGGTGTAGGGAGAGTGTAAAAGATGGAATAGGCTCTTTATTATAAATGAGCCAAAAAGAGTGTGGTGTATTAAAGGCACTTGAGACAAATATTGTAGAACACAAGCCATTCCAATATTGTACTTTACCTGGCCTTTGATGCCTGATGAATGTTTTTGGGACTCATCCGATTCTTGCGTCTGTGGTTTGTTTTAGACTGTTGCAATACTGTAGTTTCAATTATTGTAACCTGTCCCCGGGTGTCATGTTCACAGGAGAGTCACCACAAGTGCAACTTTTAAGCTAGCCAAACCAAGAAAATAGTGACTAGATGGGATTGATCCAGGAAGCCACAACATGTGCAACTACTGGATACTGTTTCCAGACAATAGACTCCTGAGAGTGTCAACTTCTGAGTTACTCAAACCAACAAATTCACCATGTACAGAATACAGTGCACCTCGGGTTACATACACTTCAGGTTACAGACACTTCAGGTTCCAGACTCCGCTAACCCATAAATAGAACCTCGGGTTAAGAACTTTGTTTCAGGATGAGAACAGCAATCGTGCTCCGGCGGCGCAGCAGCAGCAGGAGGCCCCATTAGCTAAAGCGGCGCTTCAGGTTAAGAACAGTTTCAGGTTAAGAACGGACCTCCGGAACGAATTAAGTACTTAACCTGAGGTACCACTGTACTGAAGACAGGAGTGCCTAGCGTGCTCTGGTCATGGGGTCACGAAGAGTCGGACACAATTAAACGACTAAACAACAACAACCACTGTACTAGGTTAGATTCATGGAGTAAGCAAAAAAAAAAAAGTCCACAGAAACTACATTCTAACATCCATTCTGAGCTATAAATGATTTTCCATAACACCTTCCAAGCTGGTCAAAGCAACCAGATTCACCAGTTAAACGTGACTAGATTGGCTTCATGTAGTAAGCCACAAACTGTTCACAGAAACTACATTCACATGCTGGTTACAGGTCATAAACAATGCTCTAGAAAAATGGCCCAGAACACCAACTTCTAGCCAAACCAACTAAATTCCCCAGTTACACACAGCTAGATCAGCTTATACAGTAAGACACAGAATGTCCACAGAAACCATGTTCCAATTCCCATTCTTGGCAATAAAAGGTATTCTGGGGAAATGGTCCAGAACATCATCAATTAATTAAATTTCTATAATACCTTTTATCGGACGATCACAGGGCAGATTTCTATAGCTAGAGCTATAGATATAAAACATACCAGAACAACAAACGGAAACAATACCCTCCCAGAGTTTAAAAGGTCATAGATGGTTTAATTAGCCAACATATGTAACAAAGGCGCCAGGCGAGCCTCCCTGGGGAGAGCATTCCACAAGCAGGGAGCCACCACAGAAAAGGCCTTTTATCGTGTTGCTGCCCTTCAGACCTCTGGTGAAGGAAGCACTTGAAGAGGGGCCCCAGATGATGATTGCAGGGTCCAGGTCGGTTCATTTGGATGTTATCAGTTATTAGATGTTTTGTGGCTTACTGTATTACCCCCATCTGGCTCAATGTGACTTTTGACCTGGGTTTGTTAGGATAACTCAGAAGTGGGCTATTTTTCTGGGACACCATTAATCCAAACTTGGTTTCTGCGGAAGTTTTGTGGCTTAAGGCATCATTTGCTTTCATGTGACTGGTAAATTGGGTTAGTTCAGCTAGCATAGAAGTTGGCGCACCTGGCTGTATTTCCAGAATGCCATGGAGTGCCCTGAATTGGTTATCCAAATGTGGTTTCTGAGGACGTTTTTGTGGCTTATTCAGTTCACAGTGGCATCACACAACTATACTTCTCCATAACATCTGACTCAGGGGAGGTCGTATATGACCTGGAACATTGTCTGGGTGCAGTGGTGGACCAGATGAGGGCTAGTAAACTGAGCTTGAACACTGGGAAGACAGAGACTTGGCTACTATTTCTGTTGTGTGTCGATCTGATATTTTTCTGTGGTTTATTACTGTGGATCATGGCATGAGTAAAAAGGTTGGCATAACTTAATATGACAGGAGATCCCCACTATGAACTTTCTTGACCCTGGTCCCAGACTGATCTCAAACGTGTCCTGGAAGGCATCGAGGAGACATATTGAGCTCCTAATACCTTGTATAAAGATCAGCCCATGTAATCTAGTTACCAGTGAAATCTAATCAACATCTCCTGCTAAAGTATGGTTGCTACACAGACAAAATGATATAACTTTAAGGCAGGATACAAACAAGGATGACCAGTTTAGCTATAGCTCACCAGGATTATAATCTTTCACCTTTCAATTAAGCAGAATAAACAAAATAGGAAATAGGCAGGAAACTATGGGAAGAAACAATAGAATAGAAATATTGGAATTATTGGAATTAGCTCCTCCAACCTTCTCCATTAGAATGCATTGACTAACATTAGTACAAAACCCCTAAATTTTCAATGGTTGGTTAGCTCTCTAGGTTCCAACAAGGAACTTAGCACTCTTAAGGAACCAACACACACCCTTTCTCTTGAATGAGCCACAGAATGTGATTTCTGAGGAAGATTTGTGATTTACTATATCTGTCTGTCTCATTATACCTGCTGAATTTGGCTGGTTTGAACAGCTCAGAAATATGCTTCTGGACTGCTGTTTTAGAACACTATTTATGCTCTGAAACAGATACAGTGGTACCTCGGGTTAAGTACTTAATTCGTTCCGGAGGTCTGTTCTTAACCTGAAACTGTTCTTAACCTGAACCACCACTTTAGCTAATGGGGCCTCCTGCTGCCGCCGCACCGCCGGAGCACAATTTCTGTTCTCATCCTGAAGCAAAGTTCTTAACCTGAGGTACTATTTCTGGGTTAGCGGAGTCTGTAACCTGAAGCATAAGTAACCTGAAGCATATGTAACCCGAGGTACCACTGTACCAGAATGTGGTTTCTGCAGATATTTTGTGACTATAAAAATTCCAGGTCATTTCCCTGGAATACCATTTAGTGCCTTGAACAGGTATTGGAGTGTGGCTTTAATTGATGTTTTGTGGTTTTCTGCTTCAACCTTTCTAGTAGGTTTCCTTAGATTGGAACCTGGTGTTCCAAGCAGTTCATGGTCATCCTGTTCTGAACTGGATGGGATGTGGCCGTGAATGGATTAATGAACAGTACACTGTTTGGATTCTTTGAGTTCTAAAATGTTATTCTCAACAGTTTCACATCCCATTGTTCCCAGAATGGGCACCAGAACATGGCTTCTATGGGCATTTTGAGGCTTAATACACCATTCCTATTGGGTCCTACTGGATGAGTTAAAAGTTGGCTTTTTGAGCTATTTTTCTGGAATATTGTTTATTGCCTGGAATGAGTATCAGAACATGGTTGCTCTGGATTTTTTGCAGCTTATTCAACCAATACCATATAGCCATGTTTGACCTGTGGATTTTATTGGTTTGGATAGCTTGGAGGTTGATGTTTGAGGTCATTTTTCTGGGATACCATTTAATGCTTGGAATGGGTATCAGGGTGTGGCTTCTGTGGATATTTTGTGGCTTACTGCATCAATCACATCTAGTCACTATTTTAGTTGGTTGAACTAGCTGGTTGGTTTGATGAGAGCCACCCAGTCAAATGGGCAGGGTACAACTACTGTTGTTGTTGTTGTTGTTGTTGTTTTGAAAGCTTGCCTTCTGGGCTGTTCCAAGCAGGTTTAGGGCATGAAGGGGCTAATAAAAAGGATTCTTTGAGTTCTAAAATACTGTTCTCAACTGTTGCCGACACTTCTTACTGTACCCAGAATGGTAGAGTGAGGTTTATGTGGACATTTTGTGGCTTTGTGTTTGATTTGCATTTGGCTTAATATGACTGGTGAATTTGGTTGCTTTGCCTAGCTCAGGAATTGGCAGTTCCAACTATTTTTCCACCATACAATATATTTCTTGGGATGGCAATCTCTCCACTTGATTTCAGTGGAAGTTTTGTGGCTTACTGCATCAATTTCATCAAGTCACTATGTGGCTAATTTGGTTAGCTCAGAAGTTGGCATTCTGAAATGTCCAGGGCAATTCCATTCTGCTCCACATGGGTCCTGGGTATGAAGGGGTTAAATAAAAGTTTACCGTTGCAGTGGTTTCAGTTCTAAAATGTTGCTCTCGAACTTCTGTAACACATATCTTTGTACCCAAAATGGGTATCTGGATGTCTTTTCTGTGGATATTTTTTTGTTTTTTTGGATCAGTCCCAAGAAATCCCATTGGACTGGCAGATTTGGTCAGTTTGCCATTCCTGGCACTTTCCCCAGAATTCTGTTTTTCACCTAGCAGGTATCAGAATGTGAAGGAGTAAATGAAAAAATATATTGGAATAGTTTTTGTTTGAAAAAGTATTGTTCTCAATTGTCTCTACCACATTCCTCTGCTTTTTCCTGTGTAAAGGGTTTTTCCATCCTGTTCCAGTTTTACACTGCCATTGTAGAATGCAAGTACAGGCATCTGTACTCAGGTGTGGTTTTTAACTCTGCTTGTTTCATAAGGCAGTTGTTTCTCTTTCCCTTTTCTCCATAGAGATGAATGTATAGTGAGAAAATTGGATGCCCCTGCACACTGTGAACTTCGGTGCTGTAAGGAGGGGCCAGTAGGAAATGGTCTCATTGGGCAGCGGCCACCCACCATCAATCCTGAAAGACTGAAAGATTTTGGTGAAGAAGATTACCTAAATGGGGGGGTGAAGACATGGGAAATGAAGATAATCAGCCATAACGAGGAATTGCTAAGAGATCCAGTTGTTCGTCCAGAAAGAAGTAGCCTGCCAGCCTACAACAAGTTTATTCGATTTGAAGATATCAGTGCAGCAGCATTCAAAATTCAGTGTGGAGTCCAGAAAACGCCTTGTACGGTATGATAAGCGACTTGTTTCACAACGCTAGTTAAAATGCAATGCATCCTAGAAGTTATTTACTTTATCGGTGCCCCACTGGCTTTAGTATAACATATGGATTATGGCCTTGCTTTAAACTTCTGCGCACAAGGCAAAGATGAAGGCAACTTAGCCCAAACAAAATGCCTTCCTTTAGCTTTGCTTATACAGGTTGGGCATCTGCTAGCAATGTTTCTCATTATCTCACATGGGTTTCTGCTCAGTATGGGAGCCTCCAGACTGTCAGTATTTTGCAGGAAGAATTCGAGCGCATACTGGAACCTTAGGTTTGCACAATTAAAGTGAATTAATGCAGTATTTCTTTCACCCTAGCACAACAAATTCACTTAAAAAACAAAAACCCCATAGACGTTTTGTGGTTTGGAAAGGGGCAGAGATCAAATTAACTCCAGAATGTTCCGTTGTTTTCAGTATTCTAGGCTTTCAAAGCAGTATGGAATGGACATATATCTAAAGAAAGAGTTCCTTCAGTACACAGGATCTGTGAAGGAGCGGGGTGTGCTTTACCTTCTGATGTCTTTGCAACAGGTAGGAAAACAAGTGGAGCAAAATCTGAGCATCAGAGTGAAGTGGTTCTTCACTCAATTTATAAACAACCCTGTGAGGTAAGTTGGCCAGAAAGAGAATGCTTCTCTCCCCGTCCCTTAAAAAACCCACCACCTCTGTATTTGACCTTTGGACAAAATCAGCCAAGCTAAGAGGGTCTTCCAAAAAATGATTCGTAGTTAAATGGGGATTTGAACCATGGTTTGCAATGTGTAAGCCCCACTGTCATGGTCTGGTCTGATGCCAGATCCCATAGGCATTTCAGGGACACACAGGCAACTTGCTCCAGCAAAGGTTGAGAGCAGATTGAGGCCTTGTAAGTTTCTTCCTCCAGACTGCTTCTTCTAGGCTCCACCCCCTTGTAGAGAACTTCAGATTCTTACAGGGCCAACCCTCTGGCTTGAAGATGGGCACTCCTCCTCTGTTCTGTAGCCTTCTGCCAGTGTGCAGCCTGTGCTCCCAGACCAGGGAGGTACTGTGAGAAGCATTATGGTCCTCTGATAGGAACCCGCAGCTGGCAACCTTTAAGCCAGAGGTGGCCAAACTTTATTGGCTTGTAGATTGTACTGCCACTACTCCAGGAGCTGCGTGCCAGCAGTAGGCATAGCCAAAAAGTGGGCAAGTCCACATTCTCTGGCCTACCACTTTCTAATTGCGACCTCCCCGTAAAACTAATTGCTAACCAGTGTCCTATGGTTTGATGGTTTGTGTTGCAGGATCAACAAAGGAAAGGTGTGATCGTTGCCTCGGACACTAACTTCTCCATGGCAGTAGCATATCATGCCTCAGAGCACCAAATCCCAGTGTTTGTCATCATGTCCACCAGCACCTTGCCAGCCAGAGTTAAAATGTGCCGCGAGTACGGTGCCATGGTCATTTCCTATGGCTCTACAGCGAGAGATGCTCAGATGCACGCCAAGAGGCTGGCACAGGAAAACGGCTACTTGTATCTCGAAGAGTAAGTGGATATTTAACAGATAATAACCACAACACTCAGGATGACCTTTTATAGCAACATCACTATAAAGATCTTGTCGGAAACACAGCTTGAGCCTTACCATATGTGGTGATGGGGAAAAGATGGGCTACATCTTGTGCATCATCATCACTACAAGAACACTGCAGATAAGTCCTCCCTAGGTAGGAATATGAGTAATGGAACATTTCCAGTGTTGCACATTATTTCCTTGGCTAAAAGTAGAAAAGTCCATTTGTTTCTGTAATTCTCTGAGTGGAAAATAGAACACATGTATTGGCCGCAGCATCACAATAACTGTTGAGATACCTTGGAACTAGAGTATTTTCTTTCTTGCCAGCCGTAAGCGTCAAGCATTCTGGATCTCTGCTTGCTGTATCCACTGATGAGGCCAATGGAACAACAGCTTCCAAATGCTATTTGGTACAACATTTCCATTAATTTGTCATCCTGCAGGTTAACGAATCAAATAAAAATAATTCTTATAATTAGCTCTCCCCACTTCTTCCTGATCTGATATTGCTGCCCCCACTTTAAACTTTGTTTCCTTCGGTTTACTCATAAATTGCTTGCTAACTGAAGGAGTTTTTTAGTTAGGATTTGGGCTGCCTTAAAACTTCTTTGTAGCCTTCAGGGAGGTCCTCCAAGTCAGAAGTTAAGGTATCAGAAGTTGGCTTTGGGTCATGGAAAGACTTATTCCATGTTGGTCTGCACTGCATTTCTGCAAAGAGCTAAACTGAAAAGCTGTAGTTTCCTGTAAATTCCTTGCTGTCCAGAATGCTAAACTGACTTTGCCCTTATAGCAGATTAGGAAAGAGATCCGATGCCATTTCTTGCATTTTGAATGAGAGCAGAAAGCAGAAGAGAAAGGAGATCAATAGCAGAATAACCCAGAGATTCCTGCCAAGCCATAGCTGGTTTTTGCTGGAAAAACAACAACAACTAGAATAGCCCTCTCAGCTCTCTGAGAGGGAAAATGTACATTACAGACTTAATCTGATTTAATAGTTATGTCCTTTCCTTAGAATATCCTGGGAACTATTTGGACTACAAGGCGGCAAAGGGATCTCTAATGTTGATTCTCAGCCGACTCATCAAAAACTCCCAGGATTCTTCTTTTGGCCGGGGGGGACATGACAGCTACACTTGTAAAGAACAAATACCAGTTTGGAGTACAGATGTGCCCTCTGTAACCCTTCTGCTACCGTAGTCTTGTCTGCCTCCTAGCTGTAGATGATGATTTCAGCTAGCTCAAGTCATTTGCAGCAAGTGATGCATATGTTAGTTTTAAGAGTGTATGTGTGACATTTGTCACATGAAATTTGTCCGATGCAATAACACTGCCATGCATTTAAGGCAGTAAGCAAAAAAAGGAGGTGGGGTGGTGGAGAGGAATCCTAAAATGAGGCTATGAAACAGCTGGGTTGTACCACCAAGTTAGAGCAAGCAGGTATCTTCTCGAGTCTAGACCATTAAACCCACACTGAGACCATATAATCTGCTATGGCTGCTGTTAAAAAGAAATGTATTTGCCTTCACCATTAACAATGGCATGTGCTTTGTTAAATTATCTTAAATTTACTAAACGTCTAAAATATGTAGGGCACTTTGTTTCCCTGAATGATGGTGCAGAGGCCTGTTTCTTTCACCTCCTGATCTGGGTGTGTCTGGAAGCCTCATCAAGAGATTTCAGCAACTCAGAAGCCTGTGTGAACCTCCCAAATTCCACCCAGTCCTTAGTCCTATCTGAGTTACTCTAGATCTAGAAATGGGGTAAAGGGAGGAAACTTCGCACTGTGGAATACTTCAAGAGATCCAGCTGCACTTGGGTGCTGCACCCTCACTTTAGGATTTGCGTTCCTAAAAAATTAGTCTTCAAGGTGTCACCAAACCATTTGCTGTATTATAGGGAAAAGATAATTTTTCAGTGTGCTCAGTGCCTTATATCCTTGTACAGCTTATTCATTCACGAACAAAATATTCAAAAATAAAAGCAAAGAAGGTGGCGGACTCTCTTTCCTTGGAGGAGTTTAAGTAGAGGTTGGATGGCCATCAGTAATGTATGATATAGTAGCTGAGATTCCTGCATCGTGGGGGTTGGACTAGATGACCCTTGAGGTCCCTTCCAACTCTACAATTCTATGATTCTATGAACAAAAGCCATAAATTATACATACAAACTAAATATATAAGCAATGAGAGATATTATTATTATTTTTTGCATTCCAACAGAACCTGCAGCTGCTTTAGCAACATGCTCATGAAGGTTAACCCTTATCTATTTTATCACAGCAAATAATGAAGGTATTGTTCATTGCTGATGAGCAAATATTTTCCCTCTGCTTGCTTTTGCAGAGAAGACAGTTCTGTCTATCTATCAGGGCTGGGGACCATGGGACTGGAGATCTACGAACAGGTGCCAAAACTGGATGCAGTGATATTCCCGGCAGGGGCCCACTGTGGACTGCTAGCAGGCTCAGCTGCTGCACTGAAACACCTGAACGAACATATTTCTGTGATTGTAAGCATCTATATAGATTTAGCTCCTGCATGTATGCATTTTGAAAGCTGTACTTGGCTGTATTTTGGTTTGGACTCTAGTAGCGTTAAACCAGCTTGTTGAAACTAACAATAACTAAGCAAATTAAAAAATTGTCCAGCAGCACCTTAGAGACCAACTAAATTTGCTCTGGGTATAAGCTTTTGTGTGCATGCACACTTCTTCAGATATTATTCTTGGTATCTGAAGATGTGTGCATGCACACAAAAGCTTATACCCAGAACAAACTTAGTTAACCTCTAAGGTGCTACTGGACAATTTTTAATTTTTTTATTTATTTCGACTGCGTCAGACCAACACGGCCACCTACCTGAATCAATAACTAAACAGAAAGACATTGGCCTTTGATAAAGGAGTTAAGTAGAAAAGCACACCCAAGGAGCTTCCTGGCAAATGACACCGAAAGCTTCAGCTTTTGCTCTTCAAATCACATGAGTCAATCTACCTTTAGCCATGCTTCAGAAAAAGGTATTTATGCGTGATTCATTGTGTCAAAATGTATGGAGGGTAGTGCATGGAGCAAATGTGTATCTCACTGAAAACAATGTAGTGAGGAGAGACAGGAATGAGAGTTCAAAACACATTCCAAGACACACACACAATTATTATCATTAATATGAGTATTACTGTATTTTTTATATCTCTCTCTCATTTTTATCAGTCTGGGACTCAACTGGATATGCATCCAATTTATGCTTGTGATTTCTGGTCCCACAAGTGAAATGTGCAGAACGCCTATCTGTTCAAAAATCCCCTGAGGTGGTTCAAGGTGAACGAGGTTTCTCTCTCTCTCTCGTGTGTGTGTTTTAAGAAACCAGCTGAGGGAAATTTTACCCTACAATCAGAACTTGGCCTGCTACCTGTAAGGGTTAAGCCAACCCACTTAAAACAAAGTGCACCATCTAGTGAAAAAGTTTGGCCATGTTGGTTTCAATTGAAGAGACCTGGCCCCTGCATAAATCGTTCCCATTATTATTTGGTTTTGTAATTTCTTTTTTTAAAAAAATATTTATATAGTTCAAAAGAACCTACAACATTTTCAAGTGACTTTGGACTCCCCCACCCCTCTATGGTTTCCTTAATTTTCCAAATAATGCTGCATATTATTGTTATTCTATACCTTATCTTCTCTACAATATTTTCAATTTTAAATGTTACTGTTGTTCTTATTCCGAAGCTGTCATAGAGGACAGGACCATCAATGGAAATTGTGTCGTGCCATCTAAATGGAGCTTTAGACCATCAGAGGCAGTCTGTGCCCAGCTATATTTTTTTATCTTGGAGAGTTTTTTATATGAAAAAAGCACCCAGACTTTCCATGTCCCCACCTGCAGGCTAAAATGGATAAGACACATAATGTAAGTTGATCACATTGTTCAGCTCAGGATTCTTAGATTTGGATGGCATGAAAGAGGCAAGGATGAACTTTGTTGCCCATGACCACCTAACGAATCCTTTCTGGTAGGATGCTTTTGCAGTTTGTTTGTTAGGTTAAGTCTCATGGGTTATTCTGGCCTAGTTGTCACTGAGGTGATAAAGGTGACTGTATTGTACTACTTTGAACTTGGGAGTTCACATGACTGAATCCTCTTTCCCATGCAACTATTCCTCTTCATCTAAAAAACTGGATGCTGAGGGTATGGGTTCTTGCCTAATTTTCTCTCTGACACATTTGTTCTCTGTATGCACGGAATTGTTCCACATGAAGTTGTATTCAATCATCTGAATCTTCCACCGGCAATCTGAAGTGGTAAAAGACAGTCATGGCTTTGCTGCCTTTGTGAAAACTAGGTCTTGTACAAGGATTGAATTTCTGTGTCACTTTGCCTGGTCATAACACACTGCCAGAGAAACTCAAGACTGTACCGCTTTGGCACAGGAGAACATGGTTGAGAGCAGCTGACTGAGACATGGAATGTTAGGGTGCATGTTTGAAAACTAAACTGAAATGCTAAACCATCATTTAAATTGGGTTTGTCTTTCTCAGGGTGTAGAATCGGAGAGTTTCCCTGTGTTGCAGCAATCGTTAAAGATTGGTCACCCGGTAGAAGATCAGACCCGCAGTAACCATCAGTTTTACAGAGGTCAGAGACTTTGGCATCTTTTCTACTTTACATATGTTCCCATTCCATTGAAAAGGAGACACTAAGTTATCCTGTTTTGTTTTTCTGCTGTTACCTGTGTAGGTAAGGTAGGTGTTCAGGTGCTCTTTGCCGTGTTATAAGCTGCAAAATGACCAAGTATTTTTTTAAAAAATCTTTCACTTACAATTAGCAGGAAAAATAATTTACTACCTGCCCCCCCCCACCGCTTTTTTAAAATGTGTTGCTTCAACCTACAGATGTGAGCGGACCTTGTTTTGGCACCAACTCGTTGCAGCTGACTGGGAAATTTGTTGATAAGGTTGTAACAGTGAGGTGAGTACAGCAAATGAGTAAATCAAGGACAACTATTGTCTGGTATGGTCACTTCCTAGAGCACTTTCAAGGGATTCCAAGAGGCATTTAACTTAAAACAAACCCAACAACCACCACCACTCATTCATTTGGGTTGGAAAGGCATCATAAGTCACTATGTAATAAGAAAGAGGCCTGGAATCCCTCAGTGAGGCTGGCTCCTGCAGTCACCTTTTTTGTGGCCTTTTTTGACATCCAGGATGCCACAGCATTTGGGTTTACAGTCATTTGGTGACATCAATGACAGTCATATGTGTTGCCACAGCCAACAGAATTAAGTGGTAGCATGGACAAATGGGGACCAGGATGGGTAAGGTAAAACAGCATTTGTGCAACATAAAATTGATGGATATGCTTTTTGACATAAACATAGACAGACACACACACATACAGTGACTAGTTGCCTTGTTGTGCTGCCACTTCCTGTCATGCCCAGTGAAATGCTTTGGGGGAAAAGAAATATGAGAAATCAAGTGATGTGTGCATAAGCAGTCCTCTGTTTGACCCTGTTCCTCTCACTCTTCAGAGAAGAGGACATTCTGATTGCCATGCTGAGGTTGCTGGAATACGAACGAGCCACGGTCGATGCAGAAGGATCCATTGGCCTTGCAGCTCTGGTCACTGGGAAGTTGCCAGAGTTAAAGGGTAAAAGGTACGGAAATATGAGGAAGGAAAAGAGAACTGTGTTTCTTAGATGCAAAGCCTCTCTCATTGTGCGTCCCAGATTATCCACTGCTTTTGGGTGGAACACATCCAGAACCAAAGGACCCCCTGTTTTGAAGGTATTCGAAGTGACTTCAGCTGTTCTATGTTGTTTCTTTTCTTAGCTTCAGTGAAGCAATACTGGGTGAAGGCAGGAGCTAAGCTTGCCAGAAATAATACTTGGGTTTCAGTAAAATCAAGCCCATGCCACAGTTAAAGCACTTTAGCTTATACATTACAGAGACTTCCACCACTCAGTAAAAATGGTGTTCTACTTGAGCCAATGGCCAAGCACAGCTAAAAGGAAGTTTGAGGCCCAGATGATGATTCATCGCAAACCCACTTTTCAGTCTCTTGAATGACATTAGTATTCTCTCGGGAGCCCATCTTTGTATGACGAGCCAGGATAATGTTGTGTTAGCAATACTGATGCCTCCATTCTTAACTTTGTATTCCAGGAGTAGCATACCCCTGTAACTCTGCCACCTCACTGCCCTTTCTTAGCATACCTTATTTAAAAGCACCTTCCCACCACCAAGTTCCTTTCTGGAAGGAGAGACAAGTGATCTCTTCTTGTCCCCTCATCGGCTTGTGACAGTTTGATCCTGCCAATTGCTGGACTGCAATAAGTTTACTCCACAAAGTACAACATGCAAGCTACTTGTGAGTCGGCCTAATTTTGAACATGAACAGATGCTCTACTGGGGAAGAACCAAGCCTGCCATTCAAAACAGTTTTCCTGGGGTGTAAATGGCTGATGTGATAGTACTCTTGGTTGATTTTGTTCATGGATGTCTGTTCTAAAAATGACATATAAACAACTTCCGGGGTGGCGCCACCGGCAATGGCGGACTCCCTCTGAATTGGAGGGACTAGCTCCGCATGAAACGGGTCTTTTCCGCTGCGGCGTAGCGGGGACCCTTCTGGAAATCACAGGCGGATGAAGCCTGTGACTGTGGGACTCGGTGGGCACCCTTAGCGCCCCCCCAACCCACAAAGGAACCCACAAACGGGCTCCGAAGTGAAGAGGGGGAAGTGGCGCGGTGCTGTGAGTCAATTGCTTTTTCTGTGGAGCGAAGCCGCATAGTCGTTGCCGGAGAGCGCTGCCTTTTTCCTGGGACAATTTGGCATTTAAAACAACCAACCATGAGTACTGGAACATTGAAAGGAATTTGGACTTAAAAATTAACCCTAATTTGGTACTGAAACGGGAAGGTTTAAACAGGAAGTCACCCTTCCGTTTCCTCGTAGTTAAAACAAAGCAAAGACAACGCAAACTAGAGCCTTAAAAATCACTTTTAAAGGATCAACTTTCATCATTTAAAATCGTTGAACCCCCCTTCGGTAGCAGGGGAAGAAGGGGGACCTTTTTCTGAGCTGTTTAAACCTGCAGAAGTGAATCTAAAGCAAAGTAATTTTCCACCGTCCTGACCCTGGAGCAGGGTGTCAGAATTGACGTTTGAAGCTCATTGACCAGAAACAAATGTCTTTGGCAGATAGTTAAAAGAAGAGAAACATTGTGATTCCATTGTTTCCTTTCGTCTTTTAAAAATAAATAAATAAATAAATAAATAAATAAATAAATAAAATGACATATAAACAATAGACTATTTCAGAGACCTGGCTTGAATTGACAGATATCAAATGAATATCATTTGCTTTGTAATCTATGCAAAAGGCAGCTGTAATGGATGGGGAAAAGCAATAACATACTGTACATTTTAGCAGTGATATAAAACATGATGAAAGGACTTCTTTTGTATAGTAATGAATTTCTGGTGATCTTACTCGTTTTCCAGAGTGGCTGTTGCAGTGTGCAGTGGTAACCTGGAGCTCTCACTGATGAGGCAGTGCATAGATCGTGCCCTTACATTGGACAACAGGGTCTGCAAATTCTCCATTCTGATCTCTGACTGTCCAGGCGATATTTCAAAGCTACTGGCGATCTTGGCTCGGGAGGAAACAAGGTAGCCTAGAATGATAACCAGGAAGAGAACAGTATTCAGAAAACAACTAATTGGACTGCTGACATTCATTTTATGTTTATTATTTGGGGGGGGGGGATAAAGTCACATGGAAAGATGAAAGAATGGGTTTATTGTTTATTGTTTTCTTTTGAGCTATATTTCACTGAAAGAATAGAGGAGGTAGGAATACACGATTCCAAATCTCTTCATTGCTCATTCATGTAACACTCAGCCATGATTTGGTGTTACATCTGAATTGCATCTGGACTCAGGCGTCTCTTTTGAGATTCTTGTAACTTTTTCAGGTGTTATTTTGTCCCTGGGGTGAGTGGGCCTCAGGCTTGCAAACCCTGCTCTATATACTTTCTAGATACCACTAGAATATAAACCAAGTGCACTCAAAGGCAGCAGGTGTAATCCCTGCCGTATATAATGCAAATGAATGAAGAAGTACAATAACAAGTGAAAAATGAGAGAGATCAGGAACAGTAAAGAGCTTCAGCCTGTCAGTCATATCCTTCCCTTCCAGCAATGATTTCTCTGTCTCTCTTTCTACACACACACACACACACACACACACACACACACAGAGCCCCCAAGCTGCTGGCCGGAAAGTATCTGTGGATTCAATAATAATAATAATAATAATAAATTTTATTTATATCCCGCCCTCCCCAGCCAAAGCCGGGCTCAGGGCGGCTAACAACAATCAAATAATCAAACAATCAAATAATCCAACATTCTAAAACATTTCATTATAAAAATTAATTAAAATCAAATTAATGGCAACCGTTAAGCAAAGTTCTGTGCAGGTTGCCAGAGGAGGGAGTCAGGCTGGGCCCTGACCAAAGGCCTGGTGGAACAGCTCTGTCTTGCAGGCCTTGCGGAAAGATGTCAGGTCCCACAGGGCCCTAGTCTCTTGTGACAGAGCGTTCCACCAGATTGGAGCTGCAGCCGAGAAAGCCCTGGCTCTAGTTGAGGCCAGCCTAACCTCTCTGAGGCCTGGGACCTTCAGGATGTTTTTATTTGCAGACCGTAGGTTCCTCTGTGGGGCATACCAGGAGAGGCGGTCCCGTAGGTACGAGGGTCCTAGGCCGTATAGGGCTTTAAAGGTTAAAACCAGCACCTTAAACCTGATCCTGTACTCCACCGGGAGCCAGTGCAGCTGGTATAGTACCGGATGAATGTGATCTCGCAGCGAAGACCCCATAAAGAGTCTCGCCGCGGCATTCTGCATCCGCTGGAGTTTCTGGGTCAGACTCAAGGGCAGCCCCACGTAGAGCGAGCTACAATAATCCAAGCTGAAGACCTTAGCAGGCAACCATTCTAGCACAAGCTGGAAGAATCAAAGTTTATGATCTCTCCATGCAATGCTGCAAGGATGCTGTTCATTCATGTTTTCATGAGTACAGGCAGATAGTCAGCATGGCCCTCCCTGAGAGAGATAGGAGACCAAATTAAGAAAACGACCCATGACTCTTAAGACTCTGATGCTTTCCTTGATTTTTGCCCTCCTTTCCGCTAATTGGCAGATGCTAAAAAAAGAAAAGAAAATTACTTTCCGCACAAAGAGCATACAACTATGACTAGATCTGCTGTGATCTCACATACAATCTCTTTGTTCTAGAGTTTTGGACATAAAACAAGAACACATGTACGTGGCGTCTGATCTGTTCACCAGCGAGGTAAGGAAAAACCTTTCATTATGGCAATCCTGCACAGACTTAGTTGTGACTGAGTATGAAACTGCCACATACAGTCATATCACTGGACAATCTAACCCAAATGGCAGATGTTTTGACAGGCAGTAGCTTCCCAGGGTCTTCAGTAGAGTTCTTCCCTAACCCCTAATATTTGAGATCCTTTTAAGTGAGCAGTTACTCTAACCCATAGGAGTGGGTTAGATAACACTAGAACTGGAGATCCAGTGAAATTGGTTTGTAGTAGATTCAGGAAAAATAAAAGAAAGTACCTCTTTTTCATAGTACATCATTAGCTTATGGAATTCCCTGTCACAAGATGATGACCATGGCCTTAGATGGATTTTGACAAAGGGGCAGCTCTGTGAATGCATGTGTCAGGGAGCATTGACCAAGTAGGACTTCCTGGAGCGAATCCCTATGTTTTTAGTAATGTGTGTCCCTTTAGCTCACTTTATACAATTTCTATGGAATGTGAGTACGGCCACGACAAACATGATAGCTGCATAAAGTGCAACGTTTCACGAGTGAACGGTTCCATCCACCCAGAACTGCTGCGAATCCAATGTACTCATTTAAATGAATGGAGATTGAGCATCAACAGTGCTTGGTGGTTCATACTGGCTCCAAGCCTTGCTAGGCAGCGCAGTAGGGTAAATCTGAACTCGTTAGCCAACTTTTGCTTGAACATTATACATTCACTCATGGAGAGCTGAGCATTTCCTGGCTCACGTGGTTGCTTAGTGAAATACTGATGGGATGGTTTTGCTTTCTTTTACATATAGCATTTATTCGGCTACTTTGGCCAGCTCTGGACAATTTTAATAATCCCCAGTGCTCCAATTATGTTTCGCTGGTAAAACGCAATACAAGAATATTTATAGCTGAAGCTCCCAATTGATTCCAGATTTTTGGAACGTTCGTAGCCAGCAGAGATACATAGAATACATTAAAACATACATTGGAAATTCACTCGGCTTGCTAGAGAACAGATTATCTTTACAGAAAAGTACCCGGTTTCAAGAAAAACAGACTTTTGCCTCCCAGCTGCCACATGCTTTCATTTTAAAATGTATAATTTTGTTGGAAAAGGGGGTGGGGGCATAAGTTAAATGGGACAATACAATGTATATGAATAGTTGAAATAAAAATCCTTACAGTTTAACAAGATTTTGTGCACACCACTCTAGAAAAATGGTTGTTCTGGGCACTTCCAGACTGTCACTCTTTTCAGGGGGATAGAGAAAAGATCTGCACATAGTAAGGAGCTGCAACAGTGAGGAAGGTGTGGAATCTTTCAAAATTGATTGGTAACAGAACCAGATAGATCTTTGGCTGGAGGCACCTGACATGTCTGTCACACACTTTGTGAATCCTGCACCTGATTCCACATTCCATGCTTTTTAAAGAGTTGCAGAATTTACACAGGCCTGGTCACCAATTCCCCATTTCAAGCCATGCATGGTTCCTGGGATTAGTATTTCTATATCCCTTTCTCCATGCCCTGGGCTAGCCTGTCCTCAGATTACTGCCCCCTCCACAGTCCTGCCCCTCCTCAGCCTTCCTTTCTTATGACAGCCTGCCTCTGGACACTACTCTGCATTCAGCTGAAAAGCTCTCTCTCTTTCTGACTCCACATCCCAATAACTCTATCTTCATGTCAACAGCTCGCAGCTACCCTGTTCCTAGGTTCTGTGTGAAGGTTTTTTCCTCAATGAAGTGCACTTTTTACTTCTGCATCTTGTCAGCAGTTTCCTTGACAACTTCCCTCCTGAGTGTTCATGAAATTCTATGAGGTCACAATAACATGTCCAGTGTTTACAGGGGGCTCACAGGCAACCGGCTGGCAGTAGTTTTTAGCCTATTATGTTTTGCAAGCCAGCCAAACCATATACTGTGTCTCGCTTGCCAACTAGTGTGTTGTAGCGCTGCCAAAATACATTCAATCTAAACCAGGTAAGGGTTAAGATAATTTGTAAATTCAGTTGAGCTGTTATGCCTGTTTAGAAGTGAGTCTCTATACTGTATCAGTTTTCCAGCTGTAATTTCCTTGATGGTCTCATGTACAGCTTGCATGTCTTCATAGGTGAAGGACATATGATCTACTTTATCAAATAAAAGAACTGGATGAATTACAGATGCTACATCATAGCCATTCTCCATAGAGATGTTGTTTCCCATCTAATGATGGGAAGAATGTGAACACAATGTGGTCCTAATCACCCAGCTGTATACAGCGATCTCAGATGATGGTCCTAGGATGCGCCTGGCTGGGTAGGCAGCAGAGAGTTAGGAAGATGTTGCCCCAGTTTTAGTGGCAGCAGCAGGGGAAGGTATAGTTGGAGTGGGGAAGCTGACCACCATCTGGGGTGGAGACCTATACATTTGGTTCCTATCCTGATTCTCAAGTAGTCACTGTTCCAACACATCAATATGAGGGATGGAGATTGAAGGCATGGGGGCAGCAATGAACTCCTTTGTCATGGCTGGACCATGTAATGTCGTTAACTTTGGAACTGTAGCAGCACTTTGCCCCTGTAAATCTGGTGGGTGTTCAGATCACCTGTCTTTGGACACTTGAGGAACCTGGAGCAATGCTGCATGCTCTTGGGGGGTCTTCCAGAGGAGATGCCAACGATCCTGCTGGAACCCTGGCTTTGCTATGGCATGGCAAGATGAAACGGGCAGTTGACACAATCACTCCCAAGCATCCTCTCTTGCCCCGTGGAGTCTGAGTGGCTCCTTGATATCCTGGGGAGCTTCTGACTATAAAGCAAGCTGCACGAAGACTAGAGCCCCAATGGCGCAAAACACACTCTGAAGCCAACTGAATGCTGGCTAGTGCACATAATCATGCTTACCATGTGGCGATGTGGGCTGCAAAGAAGGCTCATTTTGCAGCTTGCCTGGCATCCTCTAGTAACTAGTGGGGAAGCAACCTCTGAAGCATGCAGAGACCCACTGTGACCAACTGGCAACACATTTGGAGGGTAAAGTCTAACTGCAGAGTGACCTTGATTCTGCAGTTCCAGATGAAGTATCCAATGCCAAGGATGTGTGGTGGGATCAGTTTCAGCTTATGCAGTCACCTGGTGTACACAAGGTGCTAGCAACCATATGCCCAGCCACTTGCCCTCTTGACACCTGCCCCTCTTGGCCTATTAAAAATAGCAGAGGTGACTTGACTACTTGGGGCCAGAATGTGGGTACCACTTCATTGCATGAGAGGGGGGTGCATTCTTTCAGGCCTCAATTCTTGCCCAGGCATCCTTTGCCACTTGCTTTCTTCAGCTGAGTAACAAAAAGTGGGGTTTTGCATTGCCTGGGTGAAACACCTTTCCCAAACACACATTTGCTAGGTGTAGTAGCAGCATTTGTGGGGAGAGTCACTGAGGATGAGAGTGGGAGAGTTGAGTCTTCCTTGCCTGCTGATTTCTCCAGCATTCCCTCCTGTCAGGTCTCCCCAAGCTGGAAGAAAAAGGGAACAAATGGGTGAAGGCAGGGGAGGAGTTGTGAGTGGACAGCCTCCCCTTTGCCTTGCAACATGGAGCTCTCAACAGAATTTGAATATATGTGTGAGCTGCGTGCATCAAGATGCGTCACATTGTTGTCTTGAATGCCTTGAAAGCTGCACGCAGTCGGAATATTGCAGATGCCAGATGGGGACTTTTTTAGGCAACAGCAAACACATGTGCTCCATGTGGACGATGGCTTCTTGCCAAATGGCTGGGTGGGGCGCTCCAAAGCGCTCCGCACGAGTTGTTTCCCAGCCCTCATTTATTGTTTTTATAAGGGGAGCTTGCCAGTTCTGCAACTCTCTTAATCTGCACCCCTTTGTTTAGCCTGACATTCCTCAGTGCAGGTGTGCGATAGCTATTATTTAAAAGTCTTTTTTTTCCCCAGCAACGAAAAAATTCAGCCGGCCTGGCTTTTGAATTAAAAAATATCCTATAACACAGGTGAAGTCCTTTCACCTCCTATATGTTGGCCATTTTAACCCCAAGGAAACCTGCCCTCTGGGCACACGGCAGGGCTTAAAGCAGGGATGAAGTTTCCTGTAAAACGAGGCAGGGCTCACCAAGACTTAGCCCTGCTCTGTGTGCCAAGAAAAAGTATTGCCAGGAGTCAGACCTAGAACTGAACAATCTCCTATGATCCCAAGATCATCTGTGGGGCAAAATACAGAACAATCACACCTGTCACTGCAGACTTGCCTGGTATTTTTGCTGAAAGAGAAACCGTCAACCACGCCAACATTTGCCTTCAATTGGTTGGCAACAGTGGCACACAGATAAAAATAAAAACCCAATTTCTAGTCATGGGAACTGGCTCTTAAGAACAGAGTCTAACTTCCTTTCTACTTGATGGATCCTGCTTGTCTGTGTTATCAAGAATTTCTTCATAACAGCAAACATATACCTGATCTGACGTTTCCTAAGAGAACTGGAGAAAATGAAAGCGGGCCTTAGAAGCAAGACTTTAATGGAGTCTTTGGGTATTTACTGAAGAATCAGCAACTCACGATGCTTTCAGAAGACAACTGTTATCTTCCAGCTGCTCTGTCTAGGAACGTTGCACTCTGGGGGAGCAGTTGTTATAGCCAAAGGCACGGGTAGGGTGCCCTCCAAGTCTTTCCATCCAACCCTCCAGACTCTCCCTGAGCCATGCCTCCTCCCTCAAGCAGCATTCCTCACCAGCCCTGCCCTGTGCTTTTGTCTGGACAGAATGTCCTCTGGAACTGCAATGGCTCCCACTCACCTGTGTGGAGGTGTGTGTTTGTGTGCACGCATGCCCATCCAGACACTTCTGACTTTTGCATGGTTGAAATGTAGCCAGCTGCACAAAGGAAAGATTCACATCTGTTTCTCCATCAGTTTGCCTAGAGCACCGCCCAGCAATGGTGTGTGACCCCTAGAATGCTGCTCATGGTGGAATGTGGTATTTGGGGAGAAAAAGGTTTCCTAGAGTGATATCACTGTATGTGGGTGCTTCAAACATGGTGGACTGAACCAAAGTCCAACCATTTTATAGTGGCAAAGTTTCTGCGGATGAGAAAACTGGGAATAATCCCACTGGTTTAAATGATGTTTGTTGCTGTTGTTTTCCAGGTCACCTGCATTGTAGAGACCAGAGACAAAATCCACACTGCCCAGTTAAGGAACGCCCTGCTAGACTGCTACCCAATGATGACATGGATGGAGCGGTGATGAGCCAGCCAATTTGATCATCTTCTTTGTTTCAGTTTCAGGAAAGTTGAAGATGTTATTGTTGCTTATTTCTATAGAGCCACCACACTGTATATGGTGCTTTACAAAGAACCGGGATCGACAGGTTCCTACTATCCCAAGGGGTTTACAGTCTAAAACGGCACTGCAATCAAAAATACGATTGCGAAAGCACTGGTATGTTTAAATCCTGCAAAATGAAAAAGTTAGGAAATAGCAGTAGGGTTTCTCTTCTGTGTATTCTCTCAAATCAGAATGAAACACCTATCCTGTATCATGAAGATGAATAACTTATATCTTTAACTTCAGTGCTTCATAGCAGCTGCAGCGTTCCAACTGTAATCTTTGTATTAGCTATGTATTCCCCACCCCCACCCCCCATATGACACCACCCCCAAATTGCCTTCAGGATGATATAACTGAGAAACTGTTGAGGTCCCTAGTGTTGTATAGACTCCTGTAAAATACAAGAAGTAAATTCCAGAAAGGGACTTCTCCAACCTCTTCTTCTGTGTAGGCAATTCCAGCTCCTTATGATGATACTTCCTTCCTCATTGCTTTGCTTATTCCACATCTTCCAAGCCAGAAAACAATACTTCAGCCTTGCAATAAGTCCCGGGGGGGGGGGATTACAAGTCCACAGAAATGTTTACAAGCCTGCCTACTCTATGCTAGTTATTTGTACCACCCTGACAATCCGAAAGAGGGGAGGTGAAAGAGTCCGGGATATCTCAGTTTACAAAATCTTCTCTGGTTCATTACCTGGAGGCAACACTTGCTCACCTTAGGCCAAGGGTCAGCAAGGTTTACCTTGCCTGGGCCAGTTCACTCCAGCGAAGATCCCTCTGTGGGCCGGATCGCGTGTGCACGCCATTTCTGGCGTCTGCATCTGCGCAGATGCGATTTCCAGGGCCGCAAAAGTGAGTCCCCACCGCTGCGCTGGTTCAGCACAGCACGCGGGGACTTGCCAAGCGGGTGTCTCGGTTTGGGGGCGGCTCATGGGCCCGTTAAACGACCCCAATGGACCACTTGTGGCCCATGGGCCTTACGTTGCCGATCCCTGCTTTAGGCGATTAGGCATGTGGGTGTTTACAAGCCTGAATTACCTGAAAGTTGGGTTTTGTTTTGTTGGCTCCCCACCCCCACCAGCCTGTAGGTCTCTACTTTGCACATATTAAAATGTTAGTGAAAACTGCTTAAGGATGTTGTAGTACTACATGTTATCATGCTAATTTAAAAAAAAAATAAAGAAGAGAATCAAAACCTTTCTAATTATCACAATTTAAGCAAAGTGTTTTTTCCTGATTGAACACTTCCAATCCATTTTTGGCATTTCATGAATTTAGTAATGGGAACCATGCTTCAGCGAATAAGTGTGTTGCGCTAAATAAACTTTTTTTATTAAAAAAAATGGGGGTAATTTTCTTCTTCTTATGGCTGCTATGGGGAATTCCCCAACCACAGCAGCTATGTCATAACCACTGATGTGGATGGAACAAAGTGGGCTAAGCATACAGGAAAAGTGCAATACCCCGGTGGTGTGGAAAGTCAATTGCTGTAATGCTTGTAGCTTACAGGGGAAGAGCTATGATTTATTTGTACTAGGAACTATCTGTCTGGAAGCAGCCCAAGACTGTAAATCAGATCAGCTGATTAATAGCCATACAACCAACAAGTCACAGCTATAATCTTTGCAAACCATTTTTCCTCCTGTTCAATCCAAAGTTACAAACAGTGAGGTAGGGTATAGAAGCTTGAATCACATAGCAATTGTTCGTAATACTTTGGGGAGGTTAAGTAATAAAAGATGGCACCCACTGAGTTCATAATTCATTTCTGTATCACTTGCGATTGTTTACATTCTTTCTTGCTCTCCTGTAGGTCAACAGTATTTCCATTTTACAGATGGAGAACTGAGGCTGGTTGATTGGGACTTGATGAATGCCATCCAGAGAATCTATGGGCAAGCTATTAGATTTGGACTCCAGTAGTCCATGAATTATTTTTAAAAACAGACAACATCTTAATTGCTAAAGTTGGTCCCTCCTTTAGACACCAAGGAGGAAAATGTGATTGCAGGGAAGCTAAAAGAATTAGTTGTTTCTGTCTTTACCGTGGGAAATGCAAAGCGGATCCCTATGCCTGAACTTTCTGTGGGACTGAGGCAAACAGTTTCAACAAGAGATTAGATTCTAAATCTTAATGGCAGATTAAAATGACCAGATTACTAGGCACAGATAGTATCCACTGAAGAAGCTTCCGTTAAGTAAGTCACATTTTAAGAGGTCTTTGAGAGTGTCAGTAAGCATGTATATAGGGGTAATCACAGGGGACACAGCATTGTGTACATGGACTTTCAAAAAGCCATTGATACAGGATGTATCCAGCACTTCATGCAACAGGTTCCACTTGCTGAACAGACTTCTTCACCGCCTCTTATAATAGTAGCATCTGGTGTATTCCAGTGAAGCTGATGCGTGAGAGAGGGCTCTTGCCCCATGTCCTGGTTGCACGGATGGGACAGTATGCTGGACTAGATAGGCCTTTGGTCTGATCCATTGGGACTCTTATGTTTGCATGCCGCCACCACCAACTTTAAGCATTATATTAACTAAGGAGCTCAATTTGATTAATGGGAAGTGGGACCACAAGACTGGATCTTCCCGACGTGGCACGCATTTCTGGCCCTGCCCTTTGGCCACATGTTGAATGCAGACTCTTGTAGGAATCCTGATTGTGCACAGTATCTACGCACATTTACCTGCTCATGCAAAGGTGTTTGAATTATATCCGTTGAAGGGTGATGGCCAGCAGCACAAGCCTGCTGGGATAGCTCAGTCAGTAGAGCATGAGACTCTGAAACTCGAGGCTGTGGGTTTGAGCCCCACGTTGGGCAAATGATTCCTGCAACTGCAGGCGGTTGGACTTCCAAACTCTACAATTCTATGTATATGTACCCTTATCACTTGGGAGTTGATGGGGCTTGTGATGAGAGAATATGGGAAGCCAAACGGAATGTTGTTTTATGAAGAACACAAGAACCTGCCTGCCTTTCTTTCTTTCTTTCTTTCTTTCTTTCGAAAGAGGGAAGTTCTCACTACAATAAGGTTGGCAAACATTGATCCAAACAACTGAAAAAAGTTTAGAACTTTGCTGAGTTGGCATTTTTAAGTTAGAGCTCCTCCTGCTGGCCTTTCTGTGAACACGATCACAGTGATCAGGGTTGTAGATTAAGGCCGTCATGCTTCTAGTCTACCGGTTCAGACTTAGTTCTCTGCTTATTTTATTTTTTTACTTTTTTCTCACACTGCTAGGTGTTGTTGCTGTTGCTGCAGTTGCTTCCAGTTACTAGCTGTATTTCATTATAACGACACCTGCTGTAGCATGCTATCTAAGAGAGCAAACTAAAAACCAGAAAGCCCCAGCTTTGACTGTTGCCTCTCTCATGCATTCACCAGGTGACCTTTGGCAATCCACTTTCTGCACCCCCCACATCTGCAGCATGGGGGATAATAATACTGATTTCCATTACAGGGCTGTTAAAGTTTACAACAATATAACGCTCATTTGAACACTTGAAAACGCTATGCAAATGTTAAGGATTATTCCATTGTTTTTCAAATGGTTATGAGATGCCTTTAAATGCTGTAAAATGAATGGTAACGTTACAGGATTCGAGCATGTGCAATCTTCTTGCACACAGTGTCTATGTGCAATACTTGGTGATCAAAATAAAGGTGGGGAAATACAGGAAGAAGGCTGGAAACAATGACAAAATGTCTTTATTGAAAAGAAAGCTGCAGCACTCCCCAGCCACCAATTTAACCAACTAATTTGTATTGGAAATCTTCCGGGTGTTTCAGTAACATCATCTTCCTGCCCTAATCTCCATCAATTATTCTTTATTACCACACTGCAACACCCTTAATCTTGTCTCTGGCTTAATGCAAGCAGACTAGAACCAAGAAGTCCAGGATTTTGATAAATGCAGTGGAACCTCGGGTTATGTACCGTCCTCCTTACAAACGCTTTGGGTAACGAGCTCCACTAACCTGGAAGTAGGTTTCCTGGTAGCGAACTTTGCCCCATGATATGTGTGGAAGTCGCACGCCGGCAGCAGTGGGAGGCCCCATTAGCGAAAGCACGCCTCAGGTTAAGAATGGTTTGGGGTTAAGAATGGACTCTGCCCCATCAAGAGTGCTGAAAGTTCAGTGACCAGCCTAATCATATTTCGTGCAACTAATGGGGAAATGCACAAAACATGTCCTTTGCCTCAGCTAACAAAATGGCTTGCGCTGCTCCTGCTATCTACCCAAGTATCATCCTGCATATAACATTAAACCTTTTTATATGCATATTGCAAAATGTCCTTGTATGAAATGAATTCCTGCAGGCAGCTGAAAAAGGTGGTGATGACTCTTGACCTCTTCCCTCCCACTTTTTCACAGGCAAGTCAAGCCACATTTTTTCAGAGGACTTTCAAATATTTCTTTAGTATGGTTTCCAAACATCTTTACTGCTATTTTTAATGCCTGGTGTGTGTGTTGTTAACCCTTTCTTTTCTTTTTTACGCTTAATGTTGGCTTGAGGAGAGATTGTCCTTTACAGGGCTACTGTGAAACTCCATATATAAACTGACTGGGCATTCTGATGTGGACAATATGTTCTCAGGCCAGTTGCAAGCAAAGACAGATTCCTGCATATTCTCCAGCAAGGGCAATGCACAGCTTTGTCACATCACCCTTTGCCAACCCTCTGGGGGCAACATGCCAGTGGTGGGTATGGACAAAAGTGGATGCGACCACCCTACACTGTGACACATGCACTCACACAAACAGCTTTTCCCCCTTTCCTAGTCAAAAATCAATGCAGCCTTAGGTGAAGGGAGAGATTTGCTTGAGAGATCAGGGCAGACCTGTCTATACCCACTCTATAGGGCAGGGATGAGAATGTCTAATTCCCAATTTGGCAGATGGGCAAGGGTTAAATTCTGCCTCAAGTCAGTCACTACAATGTGAGTAATCCAAAATGGTTGCGCCTGCTTTGGGAAGCCATTTGCTCTGTAGTGTGAATGCAAGAACAACATGTTTGTGTATGTATAGACATGCACACTTGTACAAATTATCTGGCCGTGTTCCTGGGATGCCCAAGTGCATTTCCTCACCAGCTCCTTAGCATTCCTGCTGCAAACAGAGGGAACTGAGGAAAGAACCCGATACGATGACACACAAAAGCAGGTATTGTTGAGTCAACCCCTTCATCCTATTAAGGCCTGGTTATTGTTCAAAATTTCCTAGAAGGTGGTTGGGAAAACCCAGGCTGCATTAGGAATCCTCAGGGGGCCCTATACTTTGTGTTTTGGCACCTCTGCTTTAAGGATGTGAAACCACCACCCCATCCTTTGTAACAATTTCAGGGCATGCGTTATATTTTAGAGAGAATTATTAGCTTTATTCAAGGCCAGCAGTGAGACAGCTCTCGGAAATTATCAGCTCAAAATGCAGCATTATGCCAATTAAGCACCCTGTCTTAGGACACATTTTTATCACAAGATGCAACAGTCAAACAGCTCACCATGTTTCCCTTCAAGTATTAACAGTATAAAGAACAGCAGAAGCTACCTTTAATCATCCAGACAATACCCAGGTAAAACGTAATGTGTTAAAGAGGTGATTCTCAATACAACAAGCATGATGGAATATGCAGGGTGTTCAAGCACAAAGGCAAAATGCTGAGCTAAAACTATGAGCAGCAGTGTTCTTAAGAGCTGCCTAAAAATAAATCCAAATGAGACACAGAGTTTGAAAGACATTATAGGGCACTTCAGCAGAAATCATCAAGAGAATTAAAAGTCCAAACCAAAGGCAAGATCTATGGTCTAATGTGGCAGAGAGTCCCCACATTTATATATTTGCTCAGGCACAGAATCAGTGGACTTGTCTCCTGCACCAACATAACAATGGCATGCACTACAGTAAAAATGCACTGCACGAATACAAAATGCTAAAAAGTTGGTGGGGTGGAGGGGTTTATTCAAGCTCCATGCTGGTGCCCTTTGCTTCTCACCCTCGTTCTGCCCCTGAGCTCTAGAGAGGGTAAAATCTTGTAAACCAGTTCACCCTGCCAAGCAATGCCATGCCAGGGAAAAACTGAACCAGTAATTTTCCTTTCTCAGATCTGGGTGGTGGCACTGCATAACATGTAGGTACTAAACATGTAGATACTGAACAGATACTAAACACATTGGCCAACACATCTGTGAATTAGACACCCACTCATCTGACAGGCACTGTTAACTACTTCCTCCAAATCCAACTAATGTGCTGTTTCTAAACCTTCCCCACAGACAGCTCTGTCTATCACGACACAGCTTGGATGAGGAACGCCTAATGAAAGCTCTATCAAAGCTTTCTCTCAGATTGAAACTAGTAGACCTGCTTTGACGTATTTCTTGGGGGGGCATCTCCCCTAAAGAATTTAAGGCATGTAATATAAAACTACCTTTTAACAGCACGTTGGATCTCTGAGAAATAAAACTGCCCCAGTGGGGTTTCTTGGTCTTGACTGCAGTTCTTATGTGGTCACCGCTTTCTCTCTCACAGCCTTTTGCACTTCAAGAAAAGCTTGCGCCATGCCCAAGAGTTTAGTGCCACGGTTATTAACTAAAGTGCTTTGCAATGCATGCAGGTTGTTAAGAGAGCACCAAGAAAACATAAGAGCAAAACCTGCTGGTAGACCATTATAAATCAGAGGGGTGGTGGCAGAGTTTGTGGAGAAAGATTGCAAGATGTTCGGGATGCAATGCTGACCACATCTACTTGCAGATAAACCCCTTTAAACTCTGGGTGAGAAATAGAAGGGGTTTATTTCTCAAGAAAGGGGAAGAAAAGTTAACCAAGCCACCTGCTAAAACTGGATGACCAACAAGGATAATCTGCACTGTTGCATATTATTTTTTAATAGTAATTATTATTATTATTATTATTATTATTATTATTAAGCACAGCTAAAAGTACTAATGGAGTAGCATTAGCCCTCTTGGTCTATGGTGCAAATGACAGAGAATGAAAATGCCACCTTGCCTCCCAGTCACAGCTACACTCTGGACACAGTGTGGCTGCATGTAGAGATCAGTGCTCACAGACCTGCTTAATCTGCAATCCTTACCTGTAAAAAGGGTGGCGGGGGAGGGGAGAAAGAGGCTCATAAATGAAGGGGACTATCCATACAATCACTTAAAGAGGACAATCCAGCCATGGATGCAGGCAAAACCAGGGGAGCAACAGACAGGTGCAAGTTGGGCCCAAAGGAAGATGCCTCACCACACTTCTATACAGCTCAGTTTATGAATAAGGCTACTGTTAGACCTGAGAAGTAGAGACTATAGGTTGCTCTGTGCTTGCTCTGTTTGTCACCCCTATTTTAAATTGGTCCTATGCAGATATCTTGTGAGTGTTGGCATTTTGGTCCTGACCATTAAGAACTGGTTTTATTTCCTTGATCTAAAAAGAAAGGCTCCATCCCCCATTGTCACAAGCTCGTTTCCTCGCTTTGCCCCACAGCTGCCAAACCTGCAGAGGAGACACCTGAAAGAAATTTCTCTTTCCAAGTGAAAGAGAAGATTGCCACACTTCTGAATGCACAAAAAATATTTAGGAATACACCCATCCCTCTCACTGAAAAATATACCCCAAAGCTAGAATGTGTTGGAACCTTCTCTTCTGGCTGAATCCTTCACCAGCTTTTCTTCCTGGGGTTGTAGGTCAACAAAAAGTAGAGAGATCCTATTCCAAAGAAAAATGTTTGAACCAACCACAACCACTGAGTTGAAGGGTCTGTGATGCCTTTCATCCTGCAGTGAAGAGACAGACAGATAAAGCCTGACATTTCTGAATGTATTACTTAAAATCTAAGTTAAGTAGATAGATGTCTATTTTGTCCTCAGCTGCTTGGAGGATGGGCAGAAACTGAAGTTGGGCTGGCATCCACACCCCTGCTCCCTCACCAGAAGCCTTCAGGGAACTTTCCAGGGTGGCATGTGATACACCAATGAAGGAAAGATATCAGCAATGCAGTCACTAGTTCCAGATAACCTCCAAACAGGGTTTTGAATCCAAGCGCATATATCTGGGATTTAGAACCATCATGTTGTTACTCCTCTGCTGGCACTCACACAGACCAGCCTACTTACACAGTCACTCGCTCCTTCTTGTGCTTCTTTTATGTTCTTTTATTTTGCTTACTTTATTTATACATCCCGAAGCAATTAACAATACAAAATCATCAACAATAAAGGCATATATAAACACAATGCAAAAAAGGGCCAGGATAAAATTCTGATTAAAAGGCTTCTTAGAAGAGGAAGGTCTTTAAGAGGTGCCTAAAAGACAATAGACAGAGTTCTCAGGGGTAGGTGCCACCAAAATTTAAGGTCCAGTTCCCGCATTATACGGAGCAGATCTCCTGTTGAGATGGTATCTGCAAGAGGCCCTCTCCTGCAGAATGCAACCATCAGTTGTATATATAAGGTGCAAGACAGCCTTGTAGGTATCCTGGTCCTCAGATGTATAAGGCTTTGTAAACTAGTACCAGCGCCTTTATTATTATTTTTTAAGAAACCTGACAAAAGGATCAGGGTAAGTTCACCTGCCACAGCTGGGTTGGGTTCCAGTGCACAGCACACCTCATTGGTTCAATGTTGGAAAGCACTGGTTGCTTTTTAAAAGGCAAATTCAACAACAGCTCCGAAGTCGGTCCTTGACAGAATTTAATTTAGACCCAGTTCATGCAGATAGGTTGTGAAGATTATTAACACCTGTGTGTCACTTCCATACCACTTTAGGCAGTGAGAGGAGTGCTCATGCACAACACCCCATATCCGTACCCAGAAAACCAGCTCACAAGCCCAGACGCAGCTTTGCCGCGCTATCTGCTGTTTAGGAGAGGGCAGAGGGAGGTGGAGGTAGAAGAGACCCAAAATAAAATAAAAATAGCTTACTTGCATAGCTTGAGGGCATATAATGCTTCCCCGATGTGGATTAACCAGCTAATTAAATATCTGAAAGGAAGGAAAATAACACCATTTGTAACTGGCGTAAATTAAAGCAAGATAAGGGTTAGCCCAAAACATTTAGGTATTTCCAGGGGAAAACCAAACACATCCCCAATCACCAGCTAATTAACAGAGGACACAACCCTGTTATTTCTCATGCAAGCCGTTGTGAAATGGACAGGAGTTGACTGAAGCAACTCAAATATGCTTTGAGCAATGCCTGTTCATTTCGGTAAGCATGGCTTGTGCAAGAGAAACACACAACAGGTGCAGGAATGGGGTTTTCAAAAAGCAGGCAATCATTCTGCCCTGCCCTTTGATTAATGTGCATATTTCTAATAACAAGTTATGCATAGCCTAAACCGGACCAGAAACACTACACAGTCCGAGTGGAGTAAGGCATGTATGGAGCTGCTCTTTAACCCATAGCTGCCAACCGTCCCTTATTTGGCGGGAAACTCCCTTATCCCAGCGCTGTGTCCCGCTGCTGTCCCTTATTGATGATGTCCCTTAAATTTCCCGGGTTTCATGCTTGCCCGGCTCGGGAGGGAAGCAGCGGCTCGGGGTCCTCCGCCTCGAGAGAGTGAGCGCACGAGCTGCCGTGTCTTCGTCTCTCCCTTTTCCCCCTCAGGGGCACATTGTGAGGAGACGGGTGGCAGGTGGCGGGCAGGCAGCCCCTCTTGCAAGACTTCTGCCGCGCTGCCAGGGGAAGCCGGAGGCGGCAGCGGCGGCTGAGGAGGCGGCCTGAGGGAGGAGGAAGAGGAGGGGATGGGGAGGGACACAGAAGGGCGGCACTTCAGCCGCCGCCGCCGCGCCGCAACTGCCTCATGCCAGGCTCACGGGCGGCATGGGCGAGAGTCTCTCTCCCTCCCTCCCTCCCTCTCTCTCAGGCAGGGAAGGGCCGATGGAACTCCTCGCCCCAGGACGACAGCAGCCCCAACGTGCTGCTTAGAATACCCTCCAACCAGTGCACTGATTTCCCCCTCTGCATCCCTTTCATAACTCTATTTTTATAAATCATTTGTCCATCCATAGTTCAAATTTTGCCATCTCGACGTTGTTCATCAGTTTTGTCTGCCACTCTTCTTTGGTGGGAGTTGTAGACCCTTAGGATCATCTAGTCCAACCCCCTGCAAAACAACAGTCAGTCGCAGCCATAGCAGCATGGCTCCATGAGTGCGGGATTTCTGTATAAGCTAAACCAAAATCTCTTATTTTGACTGCTGATCCCTTTTTTCGAGGCTGCTGGTCCCTTATTTTCAAATCTGTAAGTTGACAGCTATGCTTTAACCCAGGTGACAAAAGTGCTCAGGGGAGATAATTATGGGCTGGAAAACTACCAGAGGAAGAGGAACAAAGGCTAGACAGCCTGTCCCGATCCACCCTTCACACATGTGTCGGACTGGTTTTTACAATTAAAAAGGAAGGAAGAAAAAAGAATGAGGCCCTGGGTCCATTGTTAGAAACTCTACAATTCTATGACTCTATAATCTATGACTCTATAATCTCAAATACATTGCTTGACTGTAGCTTGCTCTTACATTTCACTTGTCCCTCCCAATATGCAAGGAGAAACACATACATATGGCTGCATATTATATTACTCACCCTCCCTCCCACCCCCAAAATCCCCACTGTTGGGTGAGCAGAAGGAATGTGAACAGGTAGAAGATGAGAATTCAGCTTACCCGATATTGAGAAGAGTTTTATGGTTTTCCACCAAATATTTAGTGAAGGTGCCTAATGGTCCCAGAAGGTCATAGGGGATTGTTGAGGGTGAAAAGACTGCCCACTGAGGTGTGAGGAGGGGGAGGGGAGAAAGAGATATACATTTAAGTAAGCATACAGGAGGTATTGTTTTATTTACTTCAGCTATACCACTTAATATTCCAAATTCCTAAGCGGCATAGAGTGGTACCTCTGGTTACGTACTTAATTTGTTCCGGAGGTCCGTTCTTAACCTGAAGCACCACTTTAGCTAATGGGGCCTCCCGCTGCTGCTGCTGCACCACCAGAGCACAATTTCTGTTCTCATCCTGAAGCAAAGTTCTTAACCCGAGGTAATATTTCTGGTTTAGCGGAGTCTGTAACCTGAGGTGTATTTAACCTGAAGCATATGTAACCCAAGGTACCACTGTATATACGTGTCAACATAACCCATCATCCTGCAACATCAGAATTCACAACTTTTGTGTTTATCCCCCAGTATCCATACATAATATATGAAATTCGGGGATATCAATACAATGTGGCACAATCCAGAAATTAGCAGCCATTTGACCAGCGGTAGGCAACCTAAGGCCCGTGGGCCCGATCCAGCCCAATCGCCTTCTCAATCTGACCCACAGACGGTCCAGGAATCAGTGTGTTTTTACATGAGTAGAATGTGTGCTTTTATTTAAAATGCATCTCTGGGTTATTTGTGGGAATAATTTGTTCATTCCCCCCCCGAAAAAAAAAATAGTCCAGCCCACCACATGGTCTGAGGGATGGTGGACCGGCCCATGGCTGAAAAAGGTTCTGACCCTTGCATTTTACAATGCAGGGTGTGGAGGACCCTGAAACACTGGACTTAGGCAAGAAAGCCCACAGCTGATGAGATCTCGGTCTAGATCCCCCTAAAAAAATAAATCACAATTATCATATAATGTACTTCCAGAATAAACCTCACCAGTACAGTGTGTGCTATGCACTAAAGCCGGCTGTCTTCATGAAATGCACTAAAAGTGCACTACGGCGGAAAACATATTTATACTGGACTCCAATCAGGGATTCAGCTCCCAAAAACCCTTCAGTGGGGGGGAGAGACAGAAACAAGAAAAATGGCCTCTATTTCAGTGCAGCAGAAAATAACTCAAGATTCCGGGGTTTGTTTTGTTTTTTTCCAACCCATTCATTTCAGTGGAAGAGTTTAAACACCTGCTTGAGGCTTCTACCCTTTGCCCAGTTGCAGTGGAGTAATGCCCACTGAACTCAATGGGGCGCCCTTCTGAATACTGTAAATTCTCCCCATGAAATAAATGTGACTTAAAAAAAAACCACGCTTGATTTGGGCGGGCTCATCCCTAACATCTTCAAAGCTAAGTACGGTTCATAGGGATCCCCTCCAAGCCTTCCCATCTCTGGCTCCCACGGCAAGATGTTCCGGGTTGGACTATGATCCTAGCTGTCAACGTTTCTCTTTCTTAAAGGGAAATTCCCTTATTCCTAATAGGATTCCTCGCAAGAAAAGGGAAAAGTTGGCAGCTATGACTATGATCCCCGCACGTGCCCCCCCCGTGCCCTTTGGAGCCGTGGCGCCCCGCGCTTCCCCGCACCAGGTGCCCCGGGAGCCTCCAGGGAGGCTGCGCTCACCCCGTAGTAGCTCAGGCCGACCAAGATCGCCACCATTACCAACAGGTTGGAGCGTCGGAAGTAATCGGCGCGGTGCTCGGCCTGGGAGTCCATCGAGCCCGCCACCCTCCTCATCTCTTCGGCGATCGGGTCTGTTCCCGCCGCCTCTTGAGAGCAGCCCCAAGCAAGGGCTCCGGAGGGGCGTGACACCCTTCTGCGTCCCTCTCTATTTGCATACGCCGCCTGCGTCACAAAGAGGGCCCTGTTGTTACGCTCAGCGCAGGCGCGGGGAGGAGCAGGGTTGGATTAGGAGGGGTACGCGGGACTCGCTGCCTGCTGCTTTCTTCCTCTCGGGCAACCGCGAGTGCAAGTCTTTGTGGCAAACTGCTGGCGGCAATTCGTACAATTGGAGAGTTGGAAGAGGTCCCCAAGGGTCATCTAGTCCAACCCCGCCTGCAGTGCAGGAATCCCGCCGAAAGCCGTCCCTGCGTGGGCTCGACTGGTTAACAGGGCACTGACCCATTGTGCCACAATTCAGCACAGTGACAAGCGAGACAAGAGGGGGGATCGTAGAATCGTACAATTGGAAGGGACCCTGATGATCATCTAGCCCCCCCCCCCCGCAGAGCAGGAATCTTTTGCCCAGCGTGGAGCTTGGACCCACGACCCTCAGATTAAGAGTCCCATGCGCTACCAGCTGACCTGCCCCTGGTGGTGCAGTAGTGCCATGCGCACCTCATTCACACAAAATCACCACCACTCATTCGCCTTTCTGGAGTTTGCACACTCACTGAGTCCCCATCCCTAATGTGCTTATTGTCTGCTCTTCTTGCCCTTTCCAGCGCCCAGTGCTTGACCCCTCTTGCTGTTGGCTATTCTGCAGATTAGTTGCGCTGCAGAAGGCGTGCTGGGGAGACCACACATTTCAAGAAACGCAAAAGTAACTTTTGCTAGGTTTTAATAACAAAAACAGAAACTCCTTTTACACTAAATTACAATATATCAATAAGCATGACCCATCCATCAGGGTATTGAGAGAGCTACGTGCTTAATTAACATAACAGCTTAACATAACAGCTTAATTAACATAACTTAACATCACCTGCTAAACTGCTCCACAGCTGTAAAACTAGGTCATGTTATTTGCTCTGGCCCTTAAAGCCATACACATCCTGTGAAACAATAATGAGCCTTATATTTAAAGAAACCATTCAACACTTGCTTCTGGTTTGCCTTCCTTCTCTTCTTTTATAAAACAAAAAATGGGCCAGGTTTTGTGTGACAAAAAGGTTGGTTTTGCTGGACAGGTTGGATCAACAAGTGTTGTTGTTGTTTTTTTCCCCTGCCTGCAAATGGCAGCCTCTGATTGGCCGTGGTTCCAGGAGGGAGAGTTTAAAAGGAGAGGTTTTGGAGAGACAGTTAGTTTGATGAGAGGGTTGGTTGAAGTGGGTTGGAATTGTGGTTGGAGAGGGTGGGAGATACCGTATTTTTCGCACCATAGGATGCACCGGACAATAGGATGCACTTTGTTTTAGAGGGGGGAGAACAAGAAAAAAAAATTCTCCCCCTCTCTGCCCAGCGCCCCTTCAGTGAAGCGGCAGGAGACGCTGCGCAGAGAGGGGGAGAACTTTCCCCCTCTTGTTTTCCCGCTCTAAAACAAGGTGCCATTTAAGGTGGGTTCAGGCGGCTACCTTGGAAGCCTGGAGAGCGAGTGGGGTCGGTGTGCCCTGACCCCTATCGCTCTCCAGGCTTCAGGTTCCTTCGACCTGCTCTTTGGGGCTGGCAGGGGAAGCCCACCACCAGCCCCAAAGAGCAGGTCAGGAGCAGCGGAAGGCGCAGCGGAGAGGCTCCTGCCATAGCCTCGCGTCACCTCTCCAGCCGGGAGAGGGTCGCGGGGCTATAGCATCTTCGCTCCATAGGACGCACACACATTTCCCCTTCATTTTTGAAGGGGAAAAAGTGTGTCCTATAGAGCGAAAAATACGTAGGTAGGGAGACAGGTTAGGAGACAGGCTGAGGTATAAAGAGTGAATGAGAGAAAGAGTTGGTTCTGGAAAAAACAGCTTCCACTCTGAGCATATTGTGAAGGACAGTGTGGTGTCCTGTAGGAGGAATAGACTGGAATTTTACTGGGAGGCAGAGGCTGAGCCAGGAGAAGTAGGAGCTTGTCGGAGCCAGCCGTTACAAATGGCGCAGTTTAGCATAAAATAAAGACACAGAGAGCCAGCAATATTTTCAGGATGGTATGAGCAGCTCCTTTCCAACTTCCCTCTCCTCCTGTAGCTTCTTTATTATCCTTTGTCTCTCTCCAGCCGCATGGCTGTTTGCCAATGTCTCACGTTACCTCATCCGGTCAAGGCTTTAACCCACCCACAAACCATATAAGGTCATCACTGCCCAGAGGAAATACAACTCCATTTAAGGTCAATACATTCCAATACATTGTAAAGCTCAGAGTGCTGGTCAGCCGAGGTCAGGGGGCACCCTGCAATATTACAAGCCTTTGCCGTGGCTTTATGACTCCCACAAGCCCTCTTTCTTTATTTTATTAATCAGAGTCATATATGTCAGTACCAATACGGTTATATCGAGCGCGATAAGCGACTCTTGTGACACCGGAAGCGGGCCGCGGACTGGAGAACCATGCAGTACATATAGAAATTAAAGAAGGAATACATTGGATACAGCAACACAAAATAACACAAATAACTACTATAATGATCACTAAAATCAATAAATGTCGAAGCCAACTTCCATCCGGAAGCCAAGAATATAACCATGCCCATGGATCAACGGAAGGCGGAGGAGCAAACGGATTGTGAGCTACCATGGTTTCCATATGATCAATCGTCGCAGATATGCTGACATTATTATCAGGAATAAACATACAACAATGAGAATGAACAAGTGCACAAACTCCTCCTTTTGAGGCTAAAATCACATCCAAGGTATAACGATTCTGTAAAACCACCGCTCTCATTGCAGACACCTCCTGGTTGAGATTCTTCAAAGCCTTTATGGTATCATTGAATAATCCTTCAGTCCAATTTGCTAGCCGATGGAGGTCCCTATAGTTCATTGCTGCGCCCACTGAGGGCAGCAAGGCCCGAGAGATCTGGGTACCGATATATTGGTTTAAGGGCGAATTAACCTCTCGATGATTTCGTAGTCTAAGAGAAGATGGTAACTTATCAACCTTATACAACAATGGAACCACGAGACCCAATGTACATGTGCCTGTGAGGTTTCGAGGAATGGCTTTGTATGCTTTTTCGCCACAAAGCAACCATAACTCTCTTTGGAGTAAATAGCTGATATTACTACTCTGTTGGGACCAATAAAAGGCTGCAGTAAATAAGGAACTGATATGAAATTGCTCATCTGTGGCATTTGCTAAGCCAGGGATAGAAGAATTCAGACTCCAATTTGCATGGTAGGATTCTTTCCTAGTTTTTAGCCATGCACTGGTATCGCTTCTATAGCACTGAGATTGGTCACTGTATGTTCCTGTAAGAGAACAAGAGCTATTAAAAGTGAAATTCAATGTATATTGACAGTTTGGATATATGCCCCATGATTCTTTCCCCTCTTTAATTTGAAAACAAATGGGGGCAGGCTCATGGAGGGTCAATTGTACTGGAGGCCAAAAAGTTTGCTTAGGGGATATAATATTAGTAAATTGAAAAGATCCATTGACAGGCACACCATGAAGCATTATGCCGGAATGACTGGCAAAGGGCGGCATGTGCATACACAGCCAACACTTAGAAGCATGCAATAAACCGGTAAACATAATCATATCTTGTACAAAAATATTATTCCTCCATATCTTATGATAATTTTCTCCCCTAAAAGTCTTATTCAACAACGCTGTTCTTCTAGTTCGAAAGTGGCTGAGCAGTGGATACTGCCAGCCAGAGTAGGAAGCTGACAACAGCTGCTTGCCAGCCGATGAGGTGAAATATGGTGGTTTCAACTGGACAGGGTCGTCTGCTTCTCTTCCTTGTATAACGGTGCAGCAAAGGATGGCAAGGCAAATGGTTAGGAAGGCGCTTCCGCGGTTGAGGAGGCTCGCCATGGCCGCACGCATCGAGCTGGAACCCACAAAGGCTTGTCCTCAATGTCCACTGCCGCGTACCCTCGTCCCCACGTGATCAGCGGGACAGGTCCATGCCACGCGGGATCAGGCAAGCGTCGGTACACCACCAAGGGGCAGGGGAGTGCCTCCTCCTTCCTAAAATGCAATTCAGCGGGGGTATGGGTCCTAAGATGTGGATATAAAAGATGGTTAAGTACAAAAAGAACTTGGTGAACTGCCGAAGGGATATCTGCTGTTGGTATGCTTCGGCCGCCAAGCTGTTTAAGCAATAGTGTTTTGAACGTCAGGTGTGCTCTTTCCACTATCGCTTGCCCTGTGGAGTTAAAGGGTATACCATGAGTTAATTTCACATTCCACAACATACAAAATTCCGAAAATGTTTTAGAAATATATGCTGGACCATTATCAGTTTTGATACGCGCGGGTTTACCCATGACTGAGAAACAGCGGATAGTGTGTTGAATGACATGCCGAGCTGTTTCCCCCCTCATGGGCGTAGCCCATATGAATCCAGAGTGGGTGTCCACCGTGAGGTGAACCTTGGAGAGTGGAGCCAACACAGGTGTGTGTGTGACATCCATCTGCCAACACGCCAATGCAGACGTGCCCCTAGGATTGACAGCATCAAAAGGAATGGCCAGCTGAGATTTAGAACAAGAAGCACATTGGGAAACTATATCCCTTGCTTGGGCCAAGGGAATAGAAAACTGCTTTGCTAATGCTTTCGCAGGAAGGTGAAAGGTGTTATGACATAGTATAGGATCAGAAAAGAGAGAAAAGGCAGAAATGTCCCTCAAAGCCGCATCTGCTCTTGCATTTACCTCTGCTAAATACCCTGGGTGCGATGTGTGCGAGCGAAGATGTGCAACATAATAAGGGAACTCTCTGTGCTGAAGTAAGGCCTGCAGGGCAAGAAACAAGGAAAACAAGTCAGAATCCAAGGAAGGAGTTATATAAGATATTGGTAAAATAGCAAAAAGGCGATATACATACTGAGTATCCACAATAAGATTGAAAGGTTGAGTAGGAAAGGATTGAAAGGCAAGAATCACAGCCGCTAGCTCAGCTCGCTGAGCAGAAGACTGTGGGGGGGGTAAATAAACATTTCCATTGTCCTCCCTCCTCCCATGTCACTACCCCCCTACTTCTTGTTCCATCCGTGAAAAGGGTCAATGCAGAGGGGAGGGGTGTGAGAGACAAGGGGGTAGCCAAAACATAGGTGACCTGTGTCAGAAATGTCAAACGGTCATCCTTTGGAGGGTTAAAAATGATGACACCTATAAAATCAGCTAAGGCAATTTGCACGGCAGCATTAGTTATGAATAAATGCTGCTGTTCAGTCTGTGAGAAGGGCAGATATATTGATGCAACATCAGAACCGCTCAAAGCTATAGCACGTGAACGTCCTTTGATAACAATGTCTGATGTGGATTCAATTACGGAATAAATGTTTTTTGGTGGGGTGTGCGGTAAATGTAGCCATTCTATAATGCAGATAGTCTTCTTCCTTTCCGTCTGAGCATATAAAATTCCTGTTGGCAACAACGGTGTAGCAAACACTGCCAGATGCAGCTCATGTGCAGAGGCTTCTGTGATCCTGTCCACGAGAATAGATCGCAGGTGCTGATTAACAGTTTGTAATGCAGTGATCATTGCCAAAGTGACCTGGATTACATCTGCTGGATCCTTGTGTCCTGCGAGCGCTGAGAACAATGGTGATAGTGTGCTGGTAGGTAATGCAAGGAAAGAGTGAGCCCAATTCAAATGCCCAAGAAGTTGTTGTAATTGCACAAGCTTCATGTTTGAAGGGATAGTCAGTTGGGGAACAATATGTTAGAGCGGATTGATTTATTGCTCAGATAAGCCTGAGGTCCGGCACACTTCCCTTGTGCAAGCCTCTGCATTCCAATGTCCACATATCTGAGCATAGCAGAGTTTCGACAGCGGCAAGAGGAAGACTGCAAAAAAAAACCTCCAGTGCCTTCTTCAGTGTGCTTAAATAAAGTCCACTCAGGATCTTAGCAGCTAAAAGCAGTTTTATTTACAGCAGGCTATCCATTATCTATCACAGCGAACAGCATCGCGAAAACACGTCCTCTCTCCTCAAAAGCGAAAGTAGAGAGACAGAACAAAGGCTTGAGTCTCTCGGAAATGACGAAGCATTTCCCCCCTCCTCTCAACAGTAGGCGGGGCGTACACTCTGAGCTGTTTAACCCTGTAAGCTCAGGTTCTCCTCACACAATAGGCAGCGCTGCTTGTGCAGAGACTTTATGTCCCAAGTAGGCGGCGGGCAACGTCAATTGAATTTTTTCAGGCGCTATACAGAGTCCCGCTTCCGCTAATGTGGCAGAAAGTTCTTGAAAAATGCCTGGCAGGAGTTCCTTAGCAGCAATTAAAATGTCATCCATAAAATGATAACATATAACCTCTAGGTGGCGCCTGCGGAAGGTTTCAATGCTTCACCCACAAAATGTTGACAAAGTGTAGGGGAGTTCCGCATGCCTTGAGGCAGGACAACCCACTGATATCGCTGGGTGGGCTGCAAATTGTTATATACTGGCAATGTAAAAGCAAACTGTTCCCTGTCTGCTGGAGCCAGTGGGATAGAAAAAAAACAGTCCTTTAAATCAATCACCGCCAACTGATATTCTCGTGGGAGCATATTTGGATTTGGCATGCCAGGTTGTAAAGTTCCCATTGGCTGTATTTGTTGGTTAATTTTCCTCATATCCTGTAAAAGACGCCATTTGCCTGATTTTTTCTTAATAACGAAAATTGGGGAGTTCCAGGGAGATGAGGACGGTTCAATGTGGCCAAGGGTCAATTGTTCAGAAATAAGCTGGGCCGCCGCTGCTAATTTTTCTCTTGGTAGAGGCCACTGTTCTACCCATACTGGGGTAGTGGTGATCCATTGTAACGGCACAGCGGTGCGTGGAAGTGCAGGGGTGGCCCTTAGAATAAATTTGACTCCAATTTGGTGTCTGCAATAGCCAAAATATCGCGCCCCCATAAGGAGACTGGAATGTCCATTATTAATGGATAGAGGGTGATCTGAACCCCGCTATCGCTTTGGATGAGTATTGGGTGGAGACTGCGCCGTGCCTGTGATTCACCTCCCACACCAATAACTTGTGTGGCTGGACAGGTGGGCCAACTGGAAGGCCAAGCAGATTTTGCCACGACTGTTACATCCGCCCCTGTGTCCAGAACTCCCTCAATGCGTCGACCTCCCACTGTCAGAGACACAGAAGGGCGCGAGGCTGTAATGTTCATGGCTGCTGCAATTAGGGGTAGTTGTTCGGATGGGGGGGAAATGATAATCTTCGCCACTGAAGTATTTGACTGTATTCTGCATGGACGATCCGCATATAGCGTGATCTCAAGGAAATTCACATATGGTCCGTGTGTTAGCATCGGTACCGCATGAATTCCTGTTGCCTGTGCAGATAATAGAGGTAATACCAGACAAGTGGCATGATTGTCTAACCCTGCTTCAGTGAGAACATGAGTCTTTAAAGGGCAGAAAGGCAAATGGAATTCCACGTCCTGAGTCAGGCGAAGCCGTGGTGCTGTTTCCCTCGACTCCAGGGGGTCCCCTATTGATTTGTCTGGGCCCGGGGTGAGCCCTGCTGCCAGTTTCCCTGCTGTTGTCCTTGCTGATTTCGGGCAGTGTACTGACCCTGCTGTTGGTTTTGGGGAAGCGATCTGCATTGATTGGCCCAATGAAAGCCTTTTTTGCAGATTGGACATTTGGTAGAAGGACGCCTAGGCTGTTGCGTGGATCTACATTGCGCCTTAAAGTGTCCTGGTTTGCCACACTGGAAACATGTTTTATCGGTGGCTACAGGCTGGTTTTTATTTAGCGCTGCTGCCAGCAGATAAGCCTTGTGGGTGGCTGTCCCTACAGACTGACAAATGCGAAGCATGGCTGCTGTGTCTGTGGCAGGATTGTGTATTATCGGTCGTAACGCAACCTTACAATCCTCATTGGCATTTTCAAAGGCCAATTGTTTGATGATTATTTGTTTGGCTTCATGATTTTCAATTTGGCGACTCACTGCTGTAAGCAGCCTATCCATAAAGGAAGAATATGATTCTCTTGCCTCTTGCCTGATTGAACCCCACCTTGATTGAATACTGGTGGGTTCTGGGATTTTTCTCATTGCTTGTTTAGCAGCAAGAGCAGTGTCCCTCAATAAGATTTGCAGCAGTGTGGCTTGCACTGAAGCTTGAGCGAAGGGACCACGCCCCAACATGGCATCTATGACGTCTGCGAGGGTAACATTTGGATTATTTCCTCTGACTTGTTGTAACAAGGCTGGAGCATAAGCACGGCAGGCAGTTTCCCATTCGTGGGCAAACAAAACACCAGCTGATGGGGGTAACACTGTATGGGCCAAAAGCTTGATGTCCTCTGGAACCAAGAGCTGGGCTAATGTGGCTTCTAAAAGCGCCTGCGTATATGGGGCTTGGAGTCCATTGGCCTTTACTGACTGTTGCAGCTCTCTCAAGATCTTAAAGTCAAAAGGTTGGTGTTGGGCTTGGGTGCCTGCCAGGGCACCAGCAGGGGCACAATAACAGGGAATGCCATAGTATCCTGAATTAAGGAACAGGCAAGGACTGCACGTTGAAAAGGGGTAGCTGGTTCTGCCGCTGAAAGAGCAGGATCATTGCCAGCCAGACCACGGTATTTCTGCAGGATTGGGTCCTCAGGTGAGGAACTGTAGTCCGGAGGTTTGGGGTCTGCGGCTGCTGCTGGCAAGGCGAGTGCTGGAACAGATGGCAGCACAGCAGGCTGAATTAAAGAAGCTGGAGGTTGTGTTGGCAATGCAGCCATGGAGATATTTTTTGGTGATAAAGAGCCCATGGCGTAACGAACCTTGCACCATGCATTTAGAATCCGAACACCTATGCTGGGGTGCCCATGAAAATGTGCCCCAATCTTGTCCCAAAGTTTTAATTCCCAAGTCCCATCTGCAGGAAACCAGGGGGAATGCTCTTCGATGGCCAGAATGAGCTGTATCAAATCACCCTCCGGAACTTCCAATTTTTTGGAGGAGAGGAGAAATTTTAAGTCTTTAAAAAATTTCTGTTGGGGAGTAGACAAAGAGCTGCCCATTTTTCTAAAATCAAGATAGAAAAAAAGGGATCGAAACTCACCGGGATCTTTTTAAGATGATTAGTGCTATGCAACCCTTGCCGGGCGTGGTGAGCCGATGATATCCTTTGCGTGAATCGAAAAACCTCACTCGGTTTCCTTTTAAAATCCTCTTAGTCTGCCTCAGACTGTTTTCTTTAAGTTGCCTCACACAGTTTTCTTTTAAAAGCCTCAGACGTATTCTTTTATTCAGCCTCACACGGGGCACCACTTGTCGGAGCCAGCCATTACAAATGGCGCAGTTTAGCATAAAATAAAGACACAGAGAGCCAGCAATATTTTCAGGATGGTATGAGCAGCTCCTTTCCAACTTCCCTCTCCTCCTGTAGCTTCTTTATTATCCTTTGTCTCTCTCCAGCCGCATGGCTGTTTGCCAATGTCTCACGTTACCTCATCCGGTCAAGGCTTTAACCCACCCACAAACCATATAAGGTCATCACTGCCCAGAGGAAATACAACTCCATTTAAGGTCAATACATTCCAATACATTGTAAAGCTCAGAGTGCTGGTCAGCCGAGGTCAGGGGGCACCCTGCAATATTACAAGCCTTTGCTGTGGCTTTATGACTCCCACAAGAGCTGGAAAGGAACAGCCTACTTGGGACTCAAATCTAGTCTGGAGGGGAGAGATAGATTCTTCTAAGGAAAAGAAGAAACTCCCAGACCCAGTGAAGGGAGGGAGTGTGGAGAGCCCTGTGGTCTACATATGAAGGCAGCCCTGTTTAGGGAAGCTTTTAATGTTTGATGTATTACAGTGTTTTAATATTTTTTTGCAAGCCACCCAGAGTGGCTGGGGAAGCCCAGCCAGATGGGCGGAGTATAAATAATAAATTATTATTATTACTAGAATGGACCTCCGAACGAGTTAAGTTCGTAACCAGAGGTACCACTGTATTACTTAAAGTACCTCAGGAGCAGGATTGTTAAAGGGGTTGGGTAACTGAAAGAAAGTATCACCAGAAAAAAAGAACCAAACCATAATGCAAAAACTGAAGACAAATTTAAAGTGAAATTGCACTGTATTTCTGAACTAACCTAAGTTGAATCCATTTGTGTTATATACTATTTTGCCTTAAATAAATCTTTATTGTTTATTTAAAGAAAACCTGTCCGAGACTCCAACTTACTAGTTACCCCTTCACAAAGGTCCTTCACAGCATACTCTGGGGCTAGAATTTTTAAGGGAAAAAGGAAAGAAACCTTCGGGTAAAGGGTTGTTCAGTGAGGTGGGGGCAATTTATCTAAGTGAGAGGGAAAAGTGCCGTCGCGCCCGTCACATTTTGTCCTCAGCATTTCTAGCACATGAAAGGAGTTAAAAGTGCTGGCTTCCTGCATGTCACATTTTCCAGAGAAGCCAGAAAAAGGGCTGCAGTGATGGGGAGGAGTGGGAGGGACCTGGTGCCAGAATATCACAAGTGCCAGGCTCTGCTGATCTGGCAGCTGCCTCCCTCTGAAAAGCAGGGGTAAGCACATTGTCTCTGCCAAAGAATGCTAGAAGCAGCCATTTATCCCCTCACAGCGCTACAATTCCTGGCCCCCTTATGGGTCCCAGGATTGTTTTAAAGAACCATTAAATGTATGGTGTGTCTGCAGTCCAGAAGTGTAGGTGGATGGGGCTTGCATGCTTGGGCCATCTGGATTTGTTTCTCATAATGTTACGCGATGCTTCGCACATTTTAAGTATATTGCTATTACTGCAATTTAAAGCACGGGGGAAATTTCAATTTAAATAAATTTCTCCCAACTGTTTCTCCATGCGTATATTTTCAGAATGTACATACATGAATGTAAATTACATATTCCCTGGGAGGACATGCATAGTAATTAGTTGCTACTTGACTTTCTATGAGAAGGCTTGCTGTTGCTGAGCCCAACCAACCTCAACTTCATTCTATGCTGTAGTGGTAGCAGAGGGAAACATGCAGCCTTTTGAAAAATAAAAATAAAAAATAAGGCTCTGTGCTTTAGCCTGATGTGACTTGGTTGATTACTTACTTAATATTAATGATTACTAAATCTATTTCACCTGCCTACAGGAATTAATGACCTACAATGAAATTTTGGAATAAACATATTAAGTAGTTATTTACTCGTGTGTGGAGTGTTGGAGGAGGGTAGGACCTCTGGTGGAGGACACATCATGCTCCTTCTGGGATAGATTGCTCACCTTTGGTCCCCACCCTGCTCTCAGCTCTCACCTGTGGCTCCTAGAAGCCGTCAGCATGCGACAGCAGCAACACCCTGGGAATGGCTTTGACTGGCTAGCGAAACCAGGGAGGGCAGCTGATGGGTCTCAAGCCCTTGGTGAGTTAGGGACTTCCTTTGCATGTGGAGATAGTCTCCAGCTGTTTGAGCAGACGAGACCAATAGTGGGTCTTGAAGTTTTGCAAGAGCTGCCTGTTGCAATGTTGCATCTGTGTGGGCATTTTCGTTACCTGAGCAGCATGTTGCAGAGAGGAGCAATCTGCTGGAGCTGTCTGAATTTGTTCCCAGAAGATCTGCATTTAACTAAGAGGAAATGAAAGGATGAAGAAATCAGATAATAGGATTATCATTGCATCAGAATATGAAGGTGTAATTTTGAGAGGGATTACAACTTGGCACGAGCATGCAAGTTGCTACATGCAGTGGCCTGATTCTTAGAGAATTTTTTTTTTACATTCATCAGAGTGAAAAGATTAAAATGTCTTCAGCTGTTGATGCAATGGGACATGCTGTTGATGCAATGCAACACCCACAAATGAGAAACATTTCCTCCTTGACTGTTTATTGTTGTTTTTAAGTATACTTATACATAAGTGCAATTGAAGACACAGTCCTGCAAAAGACTAGTTCTCTGGTCGGAGTAAAAATGAAGGATGAAAAGCATCCCTGAATGAGAGAATGAGCTGTTTAAATCCAGGTTGAGCTAGGCTGTTCTTTCCTTGCTGGTAAATTATTATTATTATTAAGCAGCTATCCTATCTTTAAAAGACATCTGAAGGCAGCCCTGTTCAGGGAAGTTTTTAATATTTAACGCTGTACTGTTTTTAACACTTGATTGGGAGCCGCCCAGAGTGGCTGGGGAAACTCAGCCAGATGGGTGGGGTATAAATAATACATTATAATATTATTATTATGCATCCTTCCTTCCTTTAAAAAAAATTAAATTCATTATCTGCATTCTGCTGTCAATATGCATGCCTCTTTACTAATGAAACAGCCAGATCTAAGTCCTGCTGAGCTTCCAGTGTACTATTCAGCCCAGGGAAGGAAGGGATGGGATGAGAACTGGAGGGAACGTGTATCCTTTCTGGAGGGAGAACATGGAACACATCTCCTGGGCTGCCAATTTCTCCCCAAAGCCTTCTACATGATGATGAGTGAGCTGAAGGGGGACTCACTTGTAGGAGTGTTCCCTCTCATTTTGCCCGCTAGGCAGGAGATGTTATCATTTCTCAAACATTTCTCAATACAGTATAAGACGGGGCATTTGCAACTGTTCCCATCCATTTGCTCCTCTACCTTGTCTTTCACCTGCCTCACTTGAGGAATGCTATGGACTGGGAGCTGCGAGGAGCGTCCAAACATTGAGGGGGCCCAACACCTCACTAACAAATATTGTGAGGGGCCCAAAGGGGTCCAGCCCCTAGGAGTCAGCACTCCTGAGGGAAGACAAGCCATGTGGGGAGCTACTTATCCCCCACCCTCTTCTCTCAAATATCATGCCGATAATTATGTTCAGATCTAGACTAGTTAGAGACCTAAGTAGACTGATCCTTTTTCAACTACTTCTCCTGTCTCTCCCTCAGTCTCCCAGCAAGATCCAGTCCTCTTACTCCTGCAAGACATTACACTCAGTCTTTCTCTGTACACTCGGAGTGGATGTTTTCTCCTGAACCAACTACTCTCCCTCCTCAGCACTCTGTATATTTCAACCTGTCTCCTAACCTAACTCCCAACCTTTCCAAACTCAATTCTATCCCCCTCCACAACCACAATTCTAAACCAACCTTACAAACACTCTCCCTCCTGGAACCTCAGCCAATCAGAGGCTGCTGTTCTTTAACCATTTGCTAGCAGGAGATAAAAGTAAAAAGAAATACTTGTGGAACCAACTTTTCTGTCACAGACACCATGTCCGTGTAGGGGCTTTTCAGTCTCCTCCCTTCAGTGGCAAATCAGCCCACAGGCTATTCAGGAAAGTCAGAGAATCTTCTGGACTTGCATTCCATGATGTGTGAGGAGCTGCTGCCAAATGTGGGTAATCCTTCCCACTTCCCTTCCTCCCCACTCCCACTTTTAGCATTATTCTGGACTTGTTTGGATCCCCATCTGCTTGGCATTGACCCAGAGGCAAGATTAAGGGTGGTGTCGCGGTATGGAAATGGATACACAAAGAGTCTCCTATGAATTTTAGGATAGGAAGAAATAATTTTAAAACATCCCGAGTCAGTGTGGTGTAGAGGTTAAGAGCAGTAGACTCGTAATCTGGGGAACTGGGTTCGAGTCTCCGCTCCTCCACATGCAGCTGCTGGGTGACCTTGGGCCAGTCACACTTCTCTGAAGTCTCTCAGCCCCACTCACCTCACAGAGTGTTTGTTGTGGGGGAGGAAGGGAAAGGAGAATGTTAGCCTCTTTGAGACGCCTTCAGGTAGTGATAAAGCAGGATATCAAATCCAAACTCTTCTTTCTGCTCAAATCAAGTCTATTGGATGTCAAAAAGCTGACAGAAAGAGGAAAGAATGGAATTGTATGTTGAGTTTCCGATAAAGAAATTATGTCCTTGGTTACGACTTCCACATTCCTGAATATGTTCCCCACACATGATTTGGAATCCACATGTTGCCACATCCACAAGTGCGACTAGGGGTGCAGGTGAGAAGAGAAGAGAAGTGGGCATTCAAAATGACAGCTGCCTTATCCACAAAATTGGCAAGGCCTCCCTCATTTATGATGGCACAGCAATAATTAATTACTCTAATTCACCATAATTTTTGCTGCACAGCTATGCACTAAGTTTAGATTGATAAGAACAGTTAAGATGCTACATGCAGCAAATAAATATATGGGGTGGGAAACTGCCTTTAAATAACATCACAGCAATGGTCTCAATCAAAATTTGGCTATCACAAGTGTATCCCTCTGTAGGAGCTCTGAAGGGAAAGGGTTTTTATCTCTATAGAAGCTTCTCTGAGAAGTGAGTGAGGATTGTGGGTTTTTTTGCTAAAGAGATTACATTTATTGCAGGAATTGGATGCTTTAGTTGAGATTCTTGAATTGCAGGGGATTGGCCTAGATGACCTTCAGGGTCCCTTCCAACTCTGCAATTCCATGATTCTATTTCCTCCATAGATATAATCTAATCAAAATGTACATTATAAAAACAGTTATTTACTTATATAACATGGTGTTAAGGATAATCAGCTCTAGGTCGCCTTGGTTTAAAGTGAGCCACAGAAAAAGCTTTCAAGACCGGGTATTGAATGTACACTATTTTATCAATTAATGCATTGCCTTTCACATATATCTCAAGTCTCAATGATTATATGAATTTTATGGATTTTAAACAACACTGGAGACATATCATGCTCCCCACAGCTGAAGAGACAGACGGTTGTGAAACACAGCACCCCACAGCTGAAGAGACAGAGGGTTGTGAAACACTCATCCAATTCTGTCTTCTGGAATTGCCCATTATCTCAAGACCGGAACCAATGCAGATCAGTGCTCTGGGTACCCATCTTCTGTAGACAGACCAGGAGGATACCATGGCTGATGGTATCAAAAGCCAATGTGAGAGACTGCTGAAGCAGCGGTGTTGCATCTCATCACTCTCCCAACAAAGCTCATCTAACAGGACGGCCAAGGCAAATTTAGTCCAAATTTGGTAACCCCCTCTTGGCCTCACTGATGTGGTCCAATGAGTTTTGGCAGCATCAGACTGGGCTAACTCAGCAATACCTTGCAGCCAGCACACAACTGTGTAGATGCACTGTGGAAATGCCAATTGACAGACAGCAATTTGCCATGTCATGAGGCTCTGCTATCAAGACACTGCTCATAACAGCAATATGAGACTCGGAATCAGTCAATGGCAACTTCTGCAAGACAGATTGCTCTTCTTACAAACTGATACAGCTTCCTTAACTTTTTAGGTTGGAAGAGATTGTCTTAATATCTGCAGCTCCAGAATCTGGGTTTCCAGAACATTTATTTATCTGCCAAATAATATTTATTAGTTTTCCAATTTTTTAACAAACCAATGCCTGATTACATCAAATTTAATATTTATTTATTACACTTGCATCCTACAAATCCTCAGGATGGTTTTCATGATGTCCCTCATCCCCATTTATCTTCACAACAGCTTTCTGAGGAATGTTAGGCTGAGCTATAAGTGGCTTAAGTCTACCCAGTGATCTTCGTGGCTCAGTTAGAGCTTGAACCCATGTCTCCATGCATTCTAACCACTACACACTGTTCTGTCATAGGTAATAACTACAAGAAGAGTTTTTCTGTGCATGTGCAGATTGTCCTTTTACCCTCGAGCAGTTGCAACCTATCCATATTTATTTAAGAGTGAAGAAGTCAGGTGGCATGGTCCCGAAGCAAACATGACCTCTCTTTTCTAAAAATGAAGCATTGTTGCAGGCAGCACCATGGGCGTAGCCTGGATTTTTGTTTGTGGGGGGGGCAGGACTTTTGTTAGGAGGTGCAGAACCAACATGATTGGTTAGTTACTTAAGTATTTCTATTGTTTTTTGCTTGATCGGGGGGGGGGGCAGCTGCCCCCCTTGCTTACACCCATGAGCAGCACACTTATCTTTGGGACTGGGAATGAGGCCTTTTACTGGTAACCCATCATCTAGGAAACACAACAAAATCCTGCAGGGAATAAGGATAATCTGTTGGGCACTGAATAAGTTGTGTAGAAACAAATCCAGATAGCTCAAGCAAACAAGAGAAAGCAGATAAATAGCATCTTAAATTCACAAATAAGCACTAGGGGGCAGTATATCCCAGTGTTTCGCATCTAGATCAGGTCCAAAAAGAACAGTCATTTCAGAAATTATCAAAATTAGGCATACCTGCAGCCCAATAGCAGATGTATAAAGTATTATCCTGAGTTGCAGGGGATTGTAAGTGAGGTCAAAGGGAAAGGAAATGCCCCCAAACCTTCTTAATAATGGACTGTTAATAACCTAATTATCACCATCTGAACTTATCTTCCTGGCCTCTGCTGTTTACAGTTCCTCCCACATACTTGTTGGCCCTCTGGGTCATTTATAGCCTCAGCCCCTTTCAGGATCAACTGATATAAATTATCGGGGCTGGGGGAGGCCAGTTTGAATAACTGATATAAAGCAAGCTTCCCATTGATATAGCTCCATATATATTGCAACAGTGTTGATTTACAAGAAAAGATAGTATTGTTTATACTGTTATTTCCTTCTTACAACCAAGCTTCACATACCTTTTGCGGAAGAAAAACCGCAAATGCTAGGTGGTTGAATTGTGGAGGCATTGTTTGATACTATTGCAAGTGACACTGTCCTAAATAATTGGTCTGCCATTTAAATCCTGCAATGAAAAGTGCACCTAGGATTGATTTCAACCTCATTTTTGTGGAGGGAAGATTAAGATACCCCCGGCCAGTATGATCAATAATCAAATATTATTAGAGTTGTAGTCCACCTAATACATTTTCCTGCATTGGAGAGGGTTGGACTAGATGACCCTCAGGGTCCCTGCCAACTTCACCATTTGATGGTTCTGCTTCTGCCATGTGGAGCAGCTCTCTGGGGTTTCAGGTGGGAGTCTGATCAAGCCCTACTACCTGGGAGACACCAGGAGCTGGACCTGGGACCTTCTGCATGCAAACAACACGTTCTACCACTAAGTTACAGTGTTTCCCATCACTGCAATAAAGTTTTCCCAGTGGCCAGCAATCTGCAGCGGATCTGTTGGCTCTTGCATCAGTTCATTTCCAGCTTCCGTCTCTTTGCTTATGCTTGTATCCTTATGGAACTCATGAATGGGAAGAAAACTTTTCTGTCTCACCAAGCCTATGCAGGCAATTTAAAGCACATCACTCACAATGGTCTCCTGGTGTTTGTTTTTAATTATTTTGTTTTTAATTTGTGTATATATATATATATATATATATATATATATATATATATATATGCAAATGTAAACCACTGTGATATATTATATCTATCTAATATTGCATGCTAATTTTTCTGGTACCTCTTCATGCCTTTAGTTCCATGTCTTGCTGCCATGAAGACGCAGTGATGGGAAACAGTTAACTGGTGACATTTCTGCTAAATGAACAATTGTAAAAACAGCTGAGCCGCAAGAGAAGTAAAAGGAAGCTATTCTGGGAAGTGCAGCACCTTCCCACATTTTGTGGGATAAATGTCTGTTTCCGTGGTCTGCCGATATGAACAGGACCCTTGCAATGTTGCAAGCAGCTTCTTGTTCTCTTGATTTCTGTCCATCCACGCTGGTAAAGCTGACAAGTGTATCCAGGGGCCTGCTCCCTTTGGTCAAGCAGTAGTACATACATCCCTGAAGAAACCTATGTGACGAAAAAGTTGGTTTTGCTGGACAGGTTGGATCAACAAGTGTTTCTTTCTTTTTTTTTCTGCCTGCAGATTGTTAATGAATGGCAGCCTCTGATTGTCCGTGGTTCCAGGAGGGAGAGTTTCAAAGGAGAGGTTCTGGAGAGACAGTTAGTTTGAGAGGGTTGGAATTGTGGTTGGAGAGGGTGGGAGATAGGTAGGGAGACAGGTTAGGAGACAGGCTGAGGTATAAAGAGTGAATGGGAGAAAGAGTTGGCTCTGGAAAAAACAACTTCCCCTCTGAGTGTATTGTGAAGAACAGAGTGTGGTGTCCTTTAGTAGGAATAGACCAGAATTTTACTGGGAGGCAGAGGCTGAGCCAGGAGAAGTAGGAGCTGGAAAGAAACAGCCTACTTGGGACTCAAATCTAGTCTGGAGGGGAGAGATAGATAGATCAATGGGGGGGGGAGATTCTGTGCAGTGTTTGAGCTGGCAAGTAGTTTGAGGAGAAAGGATACACACCTGGTGCTTCAGAGATCTGCCTGCCCTCACTGTAATCTTATTCTTATTCTGAATGCAATTGGAGGACAGCCAAGCAGAGAGCAGTTTCCCAAGTTATCATTCTCTTGGGATTGCTTCACACACTATTTCGATAGACATCTGAATGATCAGCAAATCCATGTAAATTTCAGTTCAGATAGAGCTATTCATGACATCATAGATGTTAACATGGTGATCAAAGTTCTCTGTCAATAGTGTAATCACATTGATGAAGCAATACTCAAGAGTTTTTAAGTATTAACTGGTCAGGGTGGCAGAATCATTTTGTCTGGATGAATAGAAACTGGTCTAGAGAGCAACATTTTGGAACAAAAATGAGGTTCACATTTAACAAATAAATAATAACCTCCAACCTCCCACTAAACTACCTTTTTAAAAGCTACAATCCTAAAATCATTGAACTTTTCCCCCTTGCAGTTGGCCTTTGCTGTTTTATTACATTTTTAATGGATGCTTATTGTTTTGATATATTGATGTAAACCACTTTGTGAGGTTCATTTCAAAAACAGTACATAAGTAAATGAAATGGGAGGGATTGAGAGGGACGTATTTCTGACTAAATGGATCTGTCTTGATTTATAATTATTAAAAATCAGGATCAACCAAAAATAAAAGAGAACAAAAAACTTCCAAGCAGAGGCGGATTTAGGGCAGCCCAGCCGGTCCCCCCCGCCCCCCACCCCGCTGAGCCTGGAGGGGCCACAGGGGAGCAGAAGGATGAAGGAATGAAAGGAGCAGAAGGGAAGGCGAGAGGGGGCAGCCTTCCTCAGAGGCCAGACATGCTAATGCGCTTATCTCGCCTCACGGGTGGGTCCCCCCTGCGGGGTGGGGTGGGGGGGTCATTGTGTGAAGAGGGAGCGAAAAGGAGACCGAGGGGAGGGGGGGAGAAGCGGGAGACCAGGGAGGAGGAGGAGGAGGGCGGCCAAGGCGACGCCGCAGGGGAAGCCGTGGCCAAAGGGCGCGAAGGCAGGACAGGCGGGGGCGCATGCGCGGGGGCGGTTTGGGCGGGAAATGGCGCGCGGCGTCAACCTGGATTCTATGAGGCGAAGCGAGAGGGAGTGGGGGATGGGCAGCCGTTGGGACCCGAAAGAGGAGCGGGAAGGACACCCCCGCCCCCCCCCGTTGCCCCAGCAAGACGTTCGTTATAGCGCTGATGCTGCGGGAACGTAATAAGGGAAGACAATGCCGAGAGGGAAGCCCTTCAGAGTTATCTCGTAGCCGCTCCCCAGGTGCCACCACAGGGCGCGGCTATCTTCCCTCAGGCATGTATATACCGTATTTGGAGGCGTATTAGCGTGTTGGTCTGAGGCGGGCAGGGTTCAAATCCCTGCATAAACGCACGCACACACCACAAACCCTGCACACACACACACACCCTACTACCAGCCCCGAAGCTCACTCGGGTGCCTTTGCGCCAGTCGCCGCCTCTCAGGCTGGTCTCCCTCGCGGGGGTGTCGGGGGCTGAGAGGGCGGAGGGGGAAGAAGGAGGTGGGCCGCCTCGAGGTCCCAGGGGGGGAAAGGTGGGGTCCTAGGAGCCAACTCTTGGGCCCAGGTCCCTTGCCCCCACCAAATTTTCTATCCAAGTGTGCGCCCCTGGGTGGGATATAAATAGAGAAATAAGCTCGTGGAATTGAAACCCGGTTCAGAACCATTTGGCTGGAAAGCAGAGGGAAAGCAAACCCTGAACTGCATAAGCAAAATTGGTCCCTTGTCTGGTTGTCAGAAGCTCAGCAAGGATTAGCTTGGTTTAAGATTAGGGAAAAGAGGAAATACTGAATGATGAAGTGATAATGTGTAGCATTATAAACAGATTGGAATCTTGTAAGGCATTCCCAATACTCTCAATTAGCATCCTCATTTAACACTTTGAATCCCCTGATTTAACCCAATGTCTGAGTCGCATCATCAAGCTACTGAGCATTTTGATTTGGGTGAACTCTTCCTTCGTGAAAGTTGCACGCAAAAGCAGAGAGGGGATCCGGCAGAAACAACCCCTTTCTGTATTCATGCAACATTTCAAAAAGGGAGTGCATTATGTAGCATAGCAGGCAGGCAGGGCTCAGAAAAATCCATCCCCATAGAATCACATGCACAAAAACACACATATATATCTATATCCATATATGGTTTATTGTTTTCTGCAAAAAGTACAAAAATACATTGTGCTTACAACACAATGCATCAAACATTTAACAAAACAAATAAATAGCAAACCAAGAAACCAATAGTAATAATAAATAATAATACTAATAATAGCAATAATGAACAGTTTATACTTATACCCAAATTAAAATAACCACCAACCCCAACTAAACATTTAACCCACATCAACCCGAAAAAAGCAAAAGCAAAATTGGAACATTTTGAAACATTTCCCCAATTGTTCCAACCCCAGATTTTGACTGTGGCCCTTATTTGAACAAGTGGCCAATTGTTCAGCTTTTATTTTTGATTTCAATATACAAGTGCTCTTAGCTTGCTTGGGCAAAGGGAAGAGAATGCTTCAGTAAAAGGAAAGCCAGATGATGATCCCAGACAAAGGCATTAAAATAACAAACTTTACTGAAAAACTGTAAAATGTATTCATATGGATGAGTATATATCGGGAGATATCGGGAGTATATATCGAGAGAAGGGAAGATATTGCTTTGCTGCCCATTTTGGTAATCTTCAGGCAACATTTGCACAGGATTTGCAGCTGGATAATTCCCCGTTGCATAAGTGTTCCCCATTGCATGACTGTTCCCCATTGCAGACCAGGGAGTTTTACTGCTTGATGGAGTGCAGAAGTTACCAGCCGATGGTGGAGGCTGCCTCATCATCTCTGCACCATAATATGGAACTGGGCAGTTGCTTGCCTTGGAAGTCTCACAAAGCCCAGTTCCACCAACAGCAGCTGGCTGGTAATGAACCGGGTTCAATTCCTGGGAGTTCTGCTGCTGTGCGGCATAGACAGGCTCTCCTGGTTGCGTGGTGCTGAGAGGTGACTGCCAGAACCCTGCTCCTTCATAGCTTTCGGGATAATGGAAGCTGCGTGGCTGGTAATGTTGCTGCGTCGGACTTCTTGCGTTGCTTCCCGGAGTGCTTGGACTTCTTCTGTCAGAGCGGCTATAAGGAGTTGTAGCTTGGTTCCTGATCATTGTTTTGGACCCAGTCACCTTTGTTCTCGCTCTTCTGTTCTGAAACCAGGTCTGAACAAAAGAAAGGAGAGAACAAAATGCCTATTATTTCCAAATGCATAGGTCATAATTTCACTTTCTAGCTCAGAGGACCGCCAAATAATTGTGCCTCGTGTGGTACAATTTTTTCAGTGTGGGTGAACTAGGGACTTGCGGGACATTGGCTAGAAAAGCAATGTTGCTTAACTGTGGTTCCAGCTGAATGATGCACATTTGATCTCTCAATGCAAGGTGCTGAAAGCTGCCATCCTAATAGGAATATCCTATGCACACTCCCTTGGGAGTTCGGTCAGGTGGATCAGGCTATAAAGGTGGCCCAGAAAACCAGATGGTTTTATCCTCAAATTAGGTTGAAACCAGGTCTGTTAAGAGTTTTTACAGTTCAAACCCAGAACCTTTGATATTTGAAAGTATGTGCCTCCAATAATTTGAGTGGGAAGGAAAAGGAAGCCTTAATCAGGAACCAGGATTTCTGAACAAGTATGGGCACAATTTCTTCCTACAGTTGAAAAGGAGGGGACACAACGCACCCGCCCCTTACAAAAAGCCTTTACATCCACGGTACAACAGCCCCCCCCATAAAACCCCACAAAAACCCAGGAAAAGGGAAGCTGCCTCTTGAATAAGGCACCTTTCACATTAAGCTCGGAGGCACCAGGGAGAGCTAAGGCATTCGAATGACAACGAAAGAATTATTCTGAGCGATTTAAATTTATCCGGTATTTGCGGTCTAAGGAAGTCCCAGGAACCCCCACTTTCCCTCTTCTTACGTGCACACGATCTTCTTCGATTCCGATGCACCTCGCCAGTGCCTCCCTAGTCTCGTATCCGGGGTACGGGTCCTCTTCAAACGACTTTTTTAGAAGCTCGACGTGAGATGGGCTAAAAACGGTTCTTTTTTCTCCTATCTCCTCCGGTTTTGGGGTAGCTTCCTCCTGGGAAAAGACAAAGAGGCAAATCTGAAGGAAGCGCTCGGCTTCAACTGAAGCGACGCTTGCAGATCTTCCTCCCGGCATGGAAAGCTCGGGGCTGCATCGCCTGCACTTTCCCCCAGAATCGGGCGCTGCCTGAGGTTACACTGCGTAAAACGACCCCCGGTAGAGAACGCTTCAGTGGCAATTCTTTCAACCGCCCCGCTGACCACCCACCCGGCAGAGCGCCTTTACAGGAAGGCTTTTGTACCTGACATTGAAATCCACGCACTTTGTGGCCTTTAAATAAACCTCTGATTGCTCTGAACAAGGCTTGCATGAAAACAAACCAAAGAATTTTCAGTAAGAAGTTTACGCTCTTATTTCTATGCCTGCCTTCGTTTTCCGCAGCCGATCCTAACCACGTTTATTGGGAAATTAAATCGCCGTTTATTTGAAAAGGATTTAACGTTCAGGAAAGTGTGTACTGTATAGGATCGCACTTTCCACGCACTAAATGCTTCGTGTTTACGAATAAAGGTGTGCAAAGCAGTCTTGCCTGGGCTTCTTCCCAGGAAATAACCTCTCCCTGGCTACCACAAATGGGTCTTTGAAAGCCTGCCCTACGCCTGGATCCTGACCCAGATGAAACAGAAATCATCTTCCTTCCTACTCATTCCCCTATAAATCATTAGAGCAATGTTGTTGTTTTTTAAAGACAGTGAATTAATAATCATTTTTTTTAAAGTTTCTGTTACCTTCGTTGTTGGTTGCCATCATGAAAAAACTCTTTCTCGCTCTCTCCTGAATTGGTTTTGCCTTAAAAATGGAGACTAACTCTCTCAGGTTCACTCTGCTATTCTGCTGGGGGTTCGGTCTGGGCATTTATCTCCGGTGGGCGAACCCCACCCTTACTTCTCAGCCGATAAGAGGGAGTCACCTTTTCTTCCGTCGTTTTGCTAAACTGAGTCAATCCCCTCCCTCCCTCGCTCGCCACCCCTTTGGCAGTTGACTCTTCGGCCGCCAATTGACTTTGACCTACTTTAGTCTGTGATTTCGTCCTTAGCCCTTGGTTTTAAGCAGTGGCTCCAACTTTAAACTGCTGTTGATTCCAAGAAACGACAGACTAGCAGATGTCGTTTATTGCATTTTAAATTGTATTCACTGTGAAAAAGCAATAAAATACATTTTAAAAACCGGCGTTGATCTGCTTAATATTTCGCTGTTGGCACGTTTTGACTTGGAGCATTATCCAATGCAGGCAACTGAAGAGAAGAGAATTCAGAGGTGAGGAGAGAGAGAGAGAGAGAGAGAGAGAGAGAGAACTTTCCGGCGACTGCTACACATTTTCTTTGCCAAGCCAGTGCAAGTAACTACCCCAGAACTGAATAAAGTGGGGTGTCCCACACCTGCATCGTACAAAAATCACACTTGCGGTCCAACCAAAGAACACGCTCCCCCCTTTACCAGGTAGCACACACTTCCTATCTTAAACGGATACTCTCCTTTTTTTAAAAAAAAAATGTTGTTCTAAAAAGAAGCAAGTGTAAATTATTTCATATCGACAAAGAAGCTTGGAACAACTTAATTCCAATACCCCTCATAGCATCCCCTCTCGTCTAAATAAATTTGTACATCGCCTTGGATGGAAGCAGTGGCAACGGCCAGGAATCGCATCAAATGCGAATAAGACGGTAAACATAACAGCAGCGGCAACCGAAGAAAGAAATCTAAGCTATGTAAGCAAGCTATATTTTATTAACATATGATTAAATTTGCACTCATTTTTCGCTTAGGTCTGTCACTGCTTGGGACTGATGTTGGGAGAAGTGTAATAGTGTAATAGAAGTGTAATAGACATCTGCTGTTGGGTTTTAAAATAGCAAACAAGGGGAGGGGAGGGGAGAAGAGATTCAGAACTATTTGTGGCGCTGGGGAAGAGGTGTAAATACCATGCTATTTTACCCATCCAAGTTGCCCACTCAGAACTAATATTGGCCCAATAAGGGGGTTGCAAGTCACAGGCACCATGCAGCAAGAGATTTGCTTCCCTCACTTTAACTAGAACCTAGGATCCAGCAATAAAGAGCTTAGTACAAAAGCCATACACTTAGAATACAAGAATTATGAGCCCAGGAACTTGTTTTGAGAATCAGAATTAATGGGAGCTCACAGGCTTTCCACACGTAAATCCGTTCCTGGTTAACTCAAGTATTCTTCATCTCAGCAGTATAATGGAGAGGGGGAGGGGGATTATTTTGCAGTTACTGTATTTATAAACACGGGGAGGTGAGGTCAGGAATCCTTTCTGATCTACTGCAAAACAACCAGCGTTCTTCCCACCTTCTTCCCAACACTGCCATGCAAAGGAAACAGCAATTTAGAAAGCAATTAGGACTGGGGAGGGGGAGGGGGAAAGGGATTAATTGCTCCCCCCATCCCACCCTATGCATACAAGCAGGTGATGCGTTATCATAGATCTCCAGTTCAGATAATTCAGAAAAGGGCCGGCAGAGTGATCAAGTGGATGGAACAATGAGAAAAGGTTGGTGCATTGGGAACTTTTTGGTTTAGAGAAAAGTTGGATAAGAGGTGGCATGACAGAAATTTATAAAATTTTGCATTGCATGGAGAAAGTGGATAGCGGAAATTTTCTCTCCCACTACACTTTTAAAAGCTACAATCCTAAAAGCATTGAACTTTCCCCCCTTGCAGTTTGCCTTCGCTGTTTTATTACATTTTTAATGTATGCTCATTGTTTTGATATATTGATGTAAACCACTTTGTGAGGTTCATTTCAAAAGCAGTACATAAGTAAATGAAATGGTAGGGATTGAGAGGGACGTATTTCTGAATAAATGGATCTGTCTTGATTTATAATAATTTAAAATCATGATCAACCAAAAATAAAGAGAACAAAAAACTTATATGGATAGCATCACAGAGAGCATAAAACACCCAAGCTTCAATAAAGAATTAAACCATGTGGGTGAACCAAAAGGTCTTCACTAGATGATTTAGAGAAGATAAAGAAGGCACCAGGAAAGACTCACTGAGGAGGCTGTTCCATAGCTGGGGTACTACTGCCAATAAAGCTCTCTCCCTGATTGACACCCACTTCATCTCCTTTCCGTTTGAAATATTAAAATTATTATATTGCCCAAATACGTCCAATCTGACTGCGGGCAATGTGTTATGCCTGCAGATATCAGAAAAAGTGGAGCTGTGTCGACATTTGCTTCAACAGCTCAATGTATATTTTGAAAGCGCAATCTTTAAATAACCATCAAAGCTCTTTAAATACCCATAACTCTTCCATTCATTAAGTTTGCCTAAAAATTCTTTTCACCCTATGTTATTTTACCAGAAATCATACTTCAATGTGGGTGCTCTTTGGAACGAGGTGTAATTAATTAATGTGTGTGTGTTAATCTGCAGGTTGTTAGACAGTAACTTTGTGGTTTCTGAAGCCCATTGTGAATAGGTTGTTTTTCAGAAAGTGTAGCCTTGTTGAAGAAAAGTATAGTGGAAAGTATAGTGGAAATTTGATTAAACAAAAGAGTGCTGGAACAGAGACATAGCAGACACAGCATTCTTTGAAAGGCTTTATAGTCTAGCTGCAGTTTTCAAACAAATGCCCACCAAAAGTCAGCATTTGGACAGCAGACTAAGCAGGCATTCAGGTCACCTAAGTACGGTGAGATGTATTATATTTCTATTTAAATTACAGTAATTGTTTTTAAGTTGCCTTTGGCCATTTGTTTATTTATTTCATTAAATGTATACCCCACTTGATAGTAAACCACTTTGCAGTTTTTTGTTTTACAAACAGATAAAATAATAAAATTGAGGGGGGTGGGAATCAACCATACTTCAAAATATACAGATTAATATTACCTACATTAGCACAGACCCATTGAATGATATCTGTGTCCTCGTTTTCGACAGTGCTGTGGCGGTCACCATTTAGTCTTCCTCCAATGAGTTCTGGGAGGCACCTACTGGGCTATCACTCTAGAAACCCTTTCTCTCACCTAAGGGAATCTAACAGGAGCTGGTAGATGGTTTACTCCCAGGCATGTGCAGAGTGCTCACCCCTCAGCATTTGGCAACCGACCAGGGAATGCTAGTGCTCAGGGCTTTCTTTATGGAGGAGGGAGAGAAACACCAGCCGAATTCCCAGGGGCAGGTTCAGAAAAGGAGGCAAAGATGAAAAAGGGGGCATTTGCCTGAGCTGACGTCCCAGCCACCTTGGCCAGACTTACTCCTGCAGGGGGGTCATTTGGTCCCCTGAGACGAGTCCCAAAACTGTCCCCCCCCAGGGAAGAAGGGGAGAATGGAGATTGTTGGGGGATCAAGATCAAATGGCGAAGAAAGGCGGAAAGAGTGGCGCCTCCTCTTCGCCCCGAAGCTGCTGTAGAGGCAGATTTGGAGTGGGGTAGAGACCTGCCCTAAAGTGAAGGCGTTCTGGGAAATGATTTATAATGAATTGAAAAAGGTATTTAAATATACCTTTACCAAGAAACCAGAGGCTTTCCTTCTGGGTATTGTCAGCCAAGGGGTGGCAAGGAAGGACCAGACATTTTTTATGTATGCAACAACAGCAGCAAGGATACTTCTTGCAAAACATTGGAAAACTCAAGATTTACCCACACTGGAAGAATGGCAGATGCAACTGATAGACTACATGGAACTGGCTGAAATGACCGGCAGAATCCGTGACCTGGGAGAAGAGAGAATCGAGGAGGATTGGAAGAAATTTAAGAACTATCTACAAAAATATTGTGATTTGAGTGAATGCTAAATAAGATGCTAGACTAAATAACTGAGCACCACTTAACTTAGAAGTTTTTAAGAAAATAAGTAAGACTGTGAAAGTTTAACTCTCTATGAGAACTATAAGATTATGAAACATTGAAGAGATATAAGAATTTAAATAAGATGATAAATTGCTGACAAAATGTTATAACGATGAAAGTGGGAGCGGGGATGTGAGGAAGTCCAAAGAAAATGTGAAACTATGTTAAGACAAATGTTATATTGTTTATTATGTTTATTCTTATTGTAAAATCCAATAAATTGCTTTAAAAAAAAAAAAAGATTTGGAGTGGGGTAGAAGTGGAAGTGAGGAAGATCCAGCTCCCAAGCAGAGGCGGATTTAGGGCAGCCCAGCCGGTCCCCCCCCCCCCCCCGCGCTGAGCCTGGAGGAGCCACAGGGGAGCAGAAGGATGAAGGAATGAAAGGAGCAGAAGGGAAGGCGAGAGGGGGCAGCCTTCCTCAGAGGCCAGACATGCTAATGCGCTTATCTCGCCTCACGGGTGGGTCCCCCCTGCGGGGTGGGGTGGGGGTCATTGTGTGAAGAGGGAGCGAAGAGGAGACCGAGGGGACGGGGGGAGAAGCGGGGAGCCCAGGGAGGAGGAGGAAGAGGGCGGCCAAGGCGACGCCGCAGGGGAAGGCGTGGCCAAAGGGCGCGAAGGCAGGACAGGTGGGGGCGGTTTGGGCGGGAAATGGCGCGCGGCGTCAACCTTGATTCTACGCGGCGAAGCAAGAGGGAGTGGGGGATGGGCGGCCGTTGGGACCAGAAAGAGGAGCGGGGAGGACACCCCCGCCCCCCCCCCCGTTGCCCCAGCAAGACGTTCGTTAAAGCGCTGATTCTGCGGGAACGTAATAAGGGAAGACAGTGTCGAGAGGGAAGCCCTTCAGAGTTATCTCGTAGCCGGTCCCCATAGGGCGCCACCATCTTCCCTCAGGCATATACAGTGGTACCTCTAGTTCACAGGCAACCATCTTATAAAGCTTCATGGAAGGCAGTAGAGCACAAACCGTGCGGGGGGGGGGGGGAATAAGGGCAAGAAAATGAAATAAAGTCTTCAAAATATGCCCCCACAAAGTTTTTAATAGATGTATGTCCCTTAGCCTGCAACATGGGCATTTATAAGATAAATGTATATGTCGAAAGCTTTGGAGAGCAACTTAACACACTCATGGTGGGAAAATCAATTAAACCTTATATCCCCATCTCAAAGTTCTGTTTTTTTTTAAATGGAAGACTCATTAATGGAAACCAAACTTATTAACACAGAAAAGTGTTACTAAATCGACTTATACCAAGACCTACAAATATACTTTTGCATACAAAGAAAATATAGCAACTTCCTACCACATTTATTGCCACCTACTCTAGCCTCAGATACAGAGACTTAAAAAGAAAAGGAAAGGGACAGAAAGCCACTGGTGCATTAAAATGTGTCTTAGGAATATTCAGCCATTAGTAGACGTGACCTTTTATCTCTAGAACCACATGTACTGCGCAACTGACATTTTTCTATGGGAAAATTAAGCCCATGTTTATATGCTTGCACAAAGGAAAGTGAATGTTTCAGTAAATGGAAAGTTAAAGGAAGACTGCAGACAAGCTAGTAAAGGAACAAACTTTATTCAAAACATAGAAGTCATACATTAAAAGGCATTAAAAGAGGGAGCTTGTAAAATATGTACAGGATAGCAAGGAAGGAGTTGGGATGCTAATCTGGAACCTGACTTAAAGAGAAAAACTGAGAGTCCGAAACACTTCCATCAACGTTCTGCATTTGTACAGGATTTGTAGCTGAATAATTCCCCGTTGCAGACCAGGGAGTATAACTGCTTGATGCCATGAAGAAGTTCCCAGCTGATGGTGGAGGCTGCCTCACCATCTCCGCACCATAATATGGAACTGGGCAGTTGCTCGCCTGAGAAGTCTCACAAAGTCCAGTTCCACAAAAAGCAGCTTGCTGGTAATAAGCAGGGTTCAATTCCAGGGAGCTCTGCTGTTGCGGGGCACACTCTTCGGGTTGTGTGTTGTTGAGAGGTGGCTGCCACAACCCTGCTCCTCTGTTGCTTTCAGCATGATGCAAGTTGTGTGGCTGATAATCTTGTTCCATATGAATATTTTGGAGGTTTCCTGGACTGCTTCTTGGGCTGCTGTCCAGGCTGCTTCTTGGACGGGTTCCTTCACTGTGGCTATAAGGAGCTGCAGCATGGTTCCCGATCCTTATCCTGGAACCTATCCTCTTTGGTGTTCTGGCTCGTCTATTTTGAAACCAGATCTGAACAGAAGAAAGGAGAGAACCAAATGCCCATTATTTCCAAACGGGTAGGTCATAATTTCACTTTCAGGTACAACAACCAAGCAAAGATTAGTATATGACAGTGGGAGAACCTACGTTAACTTGTTTTGTGTTGTGCGAAAGGCATATAAGCATTATGTTCTGTGAATATAGAAGACATTGTTACCATGAATATGTCTTTTTGATCCAACAGAGAGAATTACATTCAATAAATTATGCTTATTCCTCTGGGGATTGTCTTTAGTTATCTGCAGCATTTTTCTACTCTCTTCAGCTCCGCATTCAAATATCCCATGTTCATAATCTCCAGTTACTGTTAATCATAAAGCTTCTAAGTTGGAGTGACTAAATACTGCTATTTGGCTGTATTTTGTTCTGCAGTATCAGAAAAAGCCACCTTTAAAAGCTGCCTAAGTGTACAGTTCCACAAGACTTGCTTTATTGAAGTATAACCTGTGGATGTGAGCTTCATCTGCAAGAAATTGTCAAGCATTTGTTAATGCCAAGTGGATGGCTGCATACAAGACTTAACATCTGTGTGCATTTGTGCTGGAAGGCAACACTTTATGTCTGGCAATTGTTTTAAAAATTCCATAAACATAGTAATCGTAATTTTAAATAGCTCACTCAGAAGACCTACCCATTTGTTCTGCCCCGTTTGGGGTCAGAATCTCAGAAAACTCAGAATCTGCATTAAATGAATGTGTGCTGTGCATAAATTTACTGGGAAGGAAAAGGAAGCCTTAATCAGGAACCAGGATTTCTGAACAAGTATGGGCACAATTTCTTCCTAAATTTGAAAAGGAGGGAGCACAATCCACCCACCCTTTACAAAAAGCCTTTACATCCACGATACACGCCCCCCCCCCAAAAAAGCTGAGAGGCACCCGGGAGAACTAAGACTTGCGACTACGCAAGGATTATTCTGAGCGTTTCAAATTGTTCCAGTATGTGCGGTTTAGGGAAGTCTTGGGAGCCCCCACCATCCCGATTCTTACGTGCACACGATCTTCTTCGACTCCGATGCACCTCGCCAGCGCCTCCCTGGTCTCGTATCCGGGGTACTGGTTCTCTTCAAACTCCTTCTTTAAAAGCTCGATTTGGGCAGGGGTGAAAACGGTCCTTTTTCTCCTATCTCCTCCGACTTTGGGGTAGCTTCCTCCTGGGAAAAGACAAAGAGGTAAATCTGAAGGAAGCGCTCGGCTTAAACAGATGCGACGCTTGCAGATCTTCCTCCCGACATGGAAAGCTCAGGACTGCATCGCCTGCACTTTCTCCCAGAATCGGGCGCTGCCTGAGGTTACACTGCGTAAAACGACCCCCGGCTTCAGTGGCAATTCTTTCAACCGCCCCGCTGACCACCCACCCGGCAGAGCGCAGAAGGGCAAAGCCTTCGCTTTTTACAGGAAGGCTTTTGTACCCGACATTGAAATCCACGCACTTTGTGGCCTTTAAATAAACCTCCGGTTGCTCTGAACAAGGCTTGATGAAAAGGCGAAGCGTAAGAATTTAACTCTTAATTCTACGCCTGCCATCTTTTGTCTCAACTGATCCCAACCACGTTTACTGGGAAATTTAATCCCGTTTATGTGAGAGGGATTTAACATTCAGAAAGTGTGTGCGTAAATACTTCATGCTTACAACTAAAGATGTGCAAACCAATCTTGCGAAATGTTTCCAACCGAAGACATTTGAGCCCCTGTGTAATCCCTCCCTGGCTACTACAAATGGGTCTTTGAAAGCCTTCCCTACACCCCGATCCTGATCCTGACCCAGAAACAGAAACACCCTTCATTTATAAAAACCGTCGTTTATGAAACCCTGAATTTATATCAATCATTTGAGCAATTTTTTAAAGACAAGTGAACTAAAAATCTTCTTAACAATCCTCTGTTCTTACCTCGGCCGGTAGTTTTCATCTTGTAAAAAAGCTGCCTCGCTCTCTTCCAACAAACTTGGTTTTCGCTTGCAAAGTGCCCTTGCTCCTCAAGGCCCGCTCCAGGTTTCTGGAGTTCGGCGCCTTTATAGCCCCTCCTGGCTGCCAATTGGCCGGCGCGTTTTCCAAGGAGAGAAGCGCTCCAATGGGGATGCGGCTTTTGGGGAGGAGCGAGATTCAAGTTCACTTTTCAAGCGCTGCTTGACCAATCTAGATGGGCTGGAGCGCACCATTAAGGCAAAAGGCTCCTTAGTTTTGCTAAGGGGTGACTTAGCATCACCCCTTAGCAAAACTAGAAAATAGCCCCATAGGCTTGGAGATTAGTGCGCACAGTTGAAGAGAAGGGAATTGAGAGGATGGGTTGGGGATCGAGAGAGCCAGACAGAACTGTGGTTTAGTTTAAAAAAATATTATTATGAAGCTTTCATTTTGCATACAGAGATGCGCCAAGACTTAGGCATGTTGAAAGGCTTTGCCCAAGAAGCCTACATGCAGCAAGTACACTCTGAAACCCCCTGCCTTTAGAGATGAAGAAGCTCCCTTCACTGCACCCTTTTCGGCGCCTGCTATAAACTTTGTTTCCTTTACTTTACCTGCAAAAAGTTGCATTGTCTTTTAATCGGTGGTTTTAGCTTAACTGTAATTGCATTTTGCATGTTTTTGACTTTGACTTTTATCGATAATGTTGCATTCTGAGTGAAAGGGAGCTTTCCGTTTCCTAGGCTTGCTTCAAACGTTGCTGGTGCTTCCTTTGTCTGTCACTTCAACTATTTCTCTTTCTGTCTTTCTATCCCCACAACTTTCACGTGGCCATATTCCTCTGCCTTTCAGGGACTTGCGGCATCCAAATAGCCTGCCGCTCCACCCTACACCCGAGGCAAGATAGTTGCCTCCGATCCTCAAAGGAACTGAAAACTTTCTGAAACCTTCCAGCTCATACAATGCATGTTCCCAGTTCCTGGCAGTTTGTTAATCAAGAACGGTTCCCTGTTGGTACATTCTTTGTTATTTTTGCATAAGAAAATTAACACAAGGGACCCTCCCTAAGTGTACCTATAAACCCTAATCCTAAGTATGCTGACTCAGAATCGGCAAGGAAACTTTTTTCGAGGAAGAACTACATTTTTTGTGGTGAGCTATGGGAAATTCAATATATTTTTCAAAATGTTTCATTTGCAGAGTGTTTTTTATGTGTAGATTCCACCCAGGGCAGCCGATAACGCTGCAGTCTTTCCTCATCCATACCAGATGACACACCACCTAGTACCTCTCCTTTCACTAAGATTTAGCAGTCTCTCCTGCGTAATTATGCCCTCTGTTCTCCACCACTCAACTCTTTCCCTCATTCAGAGAGATGGATGTGGGGAAATAAATCCTGCACCTTCCACTCCCAGAAAGGCTTGCCTGGCATCACTTTGATGTTTTTGTATGTGTCAGGTGAAGACATTTAGATCTAATTGCAGCTAGTTGTTCTTAGTGCAAGTTTTATTCTCCAACCTTAGCTTTTTGATCATACAATGCATGTTCCCAGTCTCTGGCAGTTTGTTAATCAAGAACGGTTCCCTGTTGGTACATTCTTTGTTATTTTTGCATAAGAAAATTAACACAAGGGACCCTCCCTAAGTGTACCTATAAACCCTAATCCTAAGTATGCTGACTCAGAATCGGCAAGGAAACTTTTTTCGAGGAAGAACTACATTTTTTACTACTGAAAAAAAGCTTCCGTGAAGGTTGGGGGTGTTGCAGAAAGATGTGGAAACCTCAGCAAACATATCAGTACTGTCTCAGGAAAGATTCTCCCTGGACAAAAGAGGGCTCACATTGGGGGTGAGAGAGACACAGTGAAATGTCTATAATTTCTGCCATCATGATCGCTTAGAAGCTCGATATATTTCTGCAGAAGGCAACTGATTTAAATATGTATTCCTGTAAGGTACTTACAGTAGGGACTAGCAGAATTTCCTGGAAAACATTTACTTGTATCCTTTGGGATACAATACGTTGCAATCTATCTCAATATTTTCTTCATTATAGCGGTTAAGGTTGCAATGTTAATAGCATTCCCAATATTGTGTATTTTGGTGTGGTAGTGAAAAGTTGCAAACTGTACCACATGGGTTACTTATGTATGATTTTTATAGAGTTAAAAGTATAAGACTTATTTGTCCGCTATATGACTTTCTGTTTGTTTGCTTGCTTGCTTGCTTGCTTGATTTATATTCCACCCTTCATCACAATATCTCAGGACAGTTCACAAGACTGACAGATAGATAAAACTTCCATATAACATTGAAATCTAGAGATTGCTGCATGTATTAGCTGTAAAGTAGCCTTTTATTTTTGATTCATCAACCTTGGAATCCAAGTATGTCTGTTTATGATGGTATGTGAAGTGGATTCCATACCATTTATACTTGATAGTAAATATTTCCAGAATATTTGGCCTTGGCTAGGGACATTAATATTCCATTTTTGAGAATCGTACTTTTATCTCACTTTACAGTCCTGTGTGTTCCCACAATAAATAAATAAAAAGCTCACAATAAAGGTGATATCCAAGTCACGTCATCCTCAGTATTAGTTTCATATCTCAAAATGGGACAAATATATGGTCTTCCCAAGAGGGTTACCAAAACGGGGACTGGGGGTGCAATGGTGTGATTGAGGACTTCCACTGGCACCCCAAAAACATCTGAGACACACATCTCCCCTGCTCACTGCCCTCTTCCTCAGGAACTGGGAAACTTTATCGGATAGAGTAGACCTTCGTTCACGAAAGTATATGCCACAATAAATTCGGTAGCCTTTGAGATGTCACGATTTGCGCTGTTAATTCAACACGTATTTCCGAGCAGAAACTTGACCTCCTGCTCCGTGTGTTTCAGTAGCCATGAAGTTTAACTGTTCATTAAAACAACCACCAGCACAGGGCCAATCTCACATTGACATTGCTGCTGTTCATATTAGGAAGTTGCTTTGTGGTACATTGTGCTTGGAAAGTTGCCAAGTTACAAGTTACGTGGTGAAACATTGTGATCTTTGAACCTTGGAGGAGAAAGGGACATAATGTATAAACGAACTACGTAGTAATATGTTGCAACGCAGCTATGTCTTTGATACCTAAACTTGGTTTGCTGGTTTTCCTTTCCTCGTCCTCTTACAAATAAGCCCAATTCAATGTTCTGGGTTGCTATGTTCTTATGGTTTTTATTTACTGAATTTATACTCGGAGCCTAGATCGGCAGTACACACTTTGTGTGTGTGTGCAGGGATTGTGGGGTGTGTGTCTGGAGTGTGGAGTGATTTGAAGCCTGCCTGCCTCAGGCCAACACGCTGATACGCCGCCAAATATATACATGCCTGAGGGAAGATGGCGCCGCCGCGCCCTATGCTGACGCCTGGGAACGGCTACGAGATAACTCTGAAGGGCTTCCCTCTCGACACTGTCTTCCCTTATTACGTTCCCGCCGCATCAGCGCTTTAACGAACGTCTTGCTGGGGCAACGGGGGGGGGCGGGGGTGTCCTTCCCGCTCCTCTTTCTGGTTCCAACGGCCGCCCCTCCCCCACTCCCTCTCGCTTCGCCGCGTAGAATCAAGGTTGGCGCCGCGCGCCGTTCCCGCCCAAACCGCCCCCGCGCATGCGCCCCCGCCTCTCCTGCATTGGCGCCCTTTGGCCACGCCTTCCCCTGCGGCGTCACACCCGCCGCCCTCCTCCTCCTCCTCCCTGGTCTCCCGCTTCTCCCCCCCCCCCGTCCCCTCTGTCTCCTCTTCGCTCCCCCTTCACACAATGACCCCACCTCACCCCACCCCGCAGGGGGGACCCACCCGTGAGGCGAGATAAGCGCATTAGCATGTCTGGCCTCTGAGGAAGGCTGCCCCCTCTCGCCTTCCCTTCTGCTCCTTTCATTCCTTCATCCTTCTGCTCCCCTGTGGCCCCTCCAGGCTCAGCGCGGGGGGGGGGCGGCTGGGCTGCCCTAAATCCGCCTCTGCTTGGAAGTTTTTTCTCTCTCTTTTATTTATGGTTGATCATGATTTTTAATTATTATGAATCAAGACAGATCCATCTAGTCAGAAATACGTCCCTCTGAATCCCCACCAGTTACTTATGTACTGCTTTTGAAATGAACCTCACAAAGTGGTTTACATCAATATATCAAAACAATAAGCATCCATTAAAAATGTAATAAAACAGCAAAGGCAAACTGCAAGCGGGAATAGTTCAATGATTTTAGGATTGTAGCTTTTAAAAGTGTAGTTTAGTGGGAGAGAAATTTTTCTCTATCCACTTTCTCCATGCAATGCAAAATTTTATAAATTTCTGTCATGCCACCTCTTATCCAACTTTTCTCTAAACCAACAAGTCCCCAATGCTCCAACCTTTCCTCATTGTTCCATCCACTTGATCACTCTGCTTGCCCTTTTCTGAATTATCTGAACTGGAGATCTGTGATAACGCATCACATGCTTGTATGCATAGGGTGTGATGGGGGGAGCAATTAATCCCTTTCCCACTTCCCCACTCCAGTCCTAATTGCTTTCTAAATTGCTGTTTCCTTTGCATGGCAGTGGTGGGAAGAAGGTGGGAAGAGCGCTGGGTGTTTTGCGGTACATCACAAAGGATTGCTGACCTCACCTCCCCGTGTTTATAAATACAGTAACTGCAAAATATTTCCCCTCCCCCTCTACATTATACTGCTGAGATGAAGAATACTTGAGTTAACCGGGAACGGATTTACGTGTGGAAAGCCTGTGAGCTCCCATTAATTCTGATTCTCAAAACAAGTTCCAGGGCTCATAATTCTTGTATTCTAAGTGTATGGCTTTTGTACTAAGCTCTTCCTTGCTGTATCCTAGGTTCTAGTTAAAGGGAGGGAAGCAATTCTCTTGCTGCATGGTGCCTGCGACTTGCAACCCCCTTATTGGGCAAATATTAGTTCTGAGTGGGCAACTTGGATGGGTAAAATAGCATGGTATTTACACCTCTTCTCCAGCACCTCAAATAGTTCTGAATCTCTACTCCCCTCCCCTCCGCTCTCCTCGTTTGCTGTTTTCAAACCCAACAGCAGATGACTATTACAGTTCTCCCAAAATCAGTCCCAAGCAGTGACAGACCTACATTTTGGGGGCCCTGAACTTGAGCTGTTCTGGGGGCCCCTTCACAACTAAGCAATGAGTTCTGGGTAACAACTGTTGTCGTCTTCAATAGGGTTGTTCCCTGACAGATTACCACATTTTAAAAAAAGAATTTCTCTTCTGGGTTGTCACATGTGTCAAAGTCACTGGTGTGAATACAAATGTTTATGCTTGTGAACTAAATTCAGGTCTGGGGCCCCTCTGGGATTTGGCGCCCAGAATCTTAAGATTCATTGGTTTCGTAGGAGATCTGCCCCTGATTCAAAGCTGCTCTCTGTATAACATAGGCAAAATGCCAGACTCTAGATGCTAGAACAGCTCTGGAGAGATAGATAAATGGAATACAATAGATAATTGGGAGTTGTTTTAATCTTGCCTTTTGAGATCAAAAAGCTAAGACTGGAGGAAAAAAACCTGCAATAAGAACAACATACAAAGCTGAAACTAAATCTAAATGTCTTCACTTGACACATACAAAAACATTAAAGTGATGCCAGGCAAGGGGGGGCGACACCCATTATCAGGGGTGCCAACTTGAATAAAATAGTGGGGGTCCCAGGAAAGCCCCATCCCACATATTTTGTCACATGGCATGGCACATACACACCATTCGAATGGCAATGTGCACCAGTAATCCCAACATCACTTACAGTTCTCCTAACATCAGTCCCAAGCAGTGACAGACCTACATTTTAGGGGCCCTGTAGCTTGAGCTGTTCTGGGGGCCCCTTCACAACTAGCAATGAGTTCTGGGTAACCACTGTTGTCTTCTTCAACAGATCACCACATTTAAAAAATCAGATTTTGATTAGAATTTCTGTTATGGGTTGTCTCACGTGTCAAAGACACTGGTGTGAATAAAAATGGTTATTCTTGTGAACTAAATCTTAAGATGCATTGGTTTCGTAGGAGATCTGCCCCTGATTCAAAGCTGCTCTCTGTTTAACATAGGCAAAATACCGGAATCTAGATGCTAGAACAGCTCTGGAGAGAGATATAAATGTAATACAATACAAAAAAGGCAAGATTAAAACAACTCCCAATTGAGATCAAAAAGCTAAGGTTGGAGAATAAAACTTGCACTAAGAACAACTAGCTGCAATTAGATCTAAATGTCTTCACCTGACACATACAAAAACATCAAAGTGATGCCAGGCAAGCCTTTCTGGGAGTGGAAGGTGCAGGATTTATTTCCCCACATCCATCTCTCTGAATGAGGGAAAGAGTTGAGTGGTGGAGAACAGAGGGCATCATTACGCAGGAGAGACTGCTAAATCTTAGTGAAAGGAGAGGTACTAGGTGGTGTGTCATCTGGTGTGGATGAGGAAAGACTGCAGCGTTATCTGCTGCCCTGGGTGGAATCTACACATAAAAAACACTCTGCAAATGAAACATTTTGAAAAATATATTGAATTTCCCATAGCTCACCACAAAAAATGTAGTTCTTCCTCGAAAAAAGTTTCCTTGCCGATTCTGAGTCAGCATACTTAGGATTAGGGTTTATAGGTACACTTAGGGAGGGTCCCTTGTGTTAATTTTCTTATGCAAAAATAACAAAGAATGTACCGACAGGGAACCGTTCTTGATTAACAAACTGCCAGGGACTGGGAACATGCATTGTATGAGCTGGAAGGTTTCAGAAAGTTTTCAGTTCCTTTGAGGATCGGAGGCAACTATCTTGCCTCGGGTGTAGGGTGGAGCGGCAGGCTATTTGGATGCCGCAAGTCCCTGAAAGGCAGAGGAATATGGCCACGTGAAAGTTGTGGGGATAGAAAGAAAGAAAGAGAAATAGTTGAAGTGACAGACAAAGGAAGCACCAGCAACGTTTGAAGCAAGCCTAGGAAACGGAAAGCTCCCTTTCACTCAGAATGCAACATTATCGATAAAAGTCAAAGTCAAAAACATGCAAAATGCAATTACAGTTAAGCTAAAACCACCGATTAAAAGACAATGCAACTTTTTGCAGGTAAAGTAAAGGAAACAAAGTTTATAGCAGGCGCCGAAAAGGGTGCAGTGAAGGGAGCTTCTTCATCTCTAAAGGCAGGGGGTTTCAGAGTGTACTTGCTGCATCTAGGCTTCTTGGGCAAAGCCTTTCAACATGCCTAAGTCTTGGCGCATCTCTGTATGCAAAATGAAAGCTTCATAATAATATTTTTTTAAACTAAACCACAGTTCTGTCTGGCTCTCTCGATCCCCAACCCATCCTCTCAATTCCCTTCTCTTCAACTGTGCGCACTAATCTCCAAGCCTATGGGGCTATTTTCTAGTTTTGCTAAGGGGTGATGCTAAGTCACCCCTTAGCAAAACTAAGGAGCCTTTTTTGCCTTAATGGTGCGCTCCAGCCCATCTAGATTGGTCAAGCAGCGCTTGAAAAGTGAACTTGAATCTCGCTCCTCCCCAAAAGCCGCATCCCCATTGGAGCGCTTCTCTCCTTGGAAAACGCGCCGGCCAATTGGCAGCCAGGAGGGGCTATAAAGGCGCCGAACTCCAGAAACCTGGAGCGGGCCTTGAGGAGCAAGGGCACTTTGCAAGCGAAAACCAAGTGTGTTGGAAGAGAGCGAGGCAGCTTTTTTACAAGATGGAAACTACCGGCCGAGGTAAGAACAGAGGATTGTTAAGAAGATTTTTAGTTCACTTGTCTTTAAAAAATTGCTCAAATGATTGATATAAATTCAGGGTTTCATAAACGACGGTTTTTATAAATGAAGGGTGTTTCTGTTTCTGGGTCAGGGTGTAGGGAAGGCTTTCAAAGACCCATTTGTGGTAGCCGGGGAGGGATTACACAGGGGCTCAAATGTCTTCGGTTGGAAACATTTCGCAAGATTGGTTTGCACATCTTTCCTTATAAGCATGAAGCATTTAGTGCATTTTACTGCATGAAGCATTTACACACACACTTTCTGAATGTTAAATCCCTTTCACATAAACGGGATTAAATTTCCCAATAATCGTGGTTAGGATCGGCTACGGAAAACGATGGCAGGCATAGAAATAAGAGCGTAAACTTCTTACTTAAAATCCTTTGGTTTGTTTTCATGCAAGCCTTGTTGAGAGCAACCGGAGGTTTATTTAAAATTAGTGTCCATTGTTAAGGCAAAACCAATTCAGGGAGGAAGATCTGCAAGCGTCGGTTCAGTTTAAGCCGAGCGCTTCCTTCAGATTTGCCTCTTTGTCTTTTCCCAGGAGGAAGCTACCCCAAAGTCGGAGGAGGAAGGCGAAAAAGGACTGTTTTCAGCCCATCTCACGTCGAGCTCCTAAAAAAGTCCTTTGAAGAGAACCAGTACCCCGGATACGAGACTAGGGAGGCGCTGGCCAGGTGCATCGGAATCGAAGAAGATCGTGTACACGTAAGAATCGGGATGGTGGGGGCTCCCAAGACTTCGCTAAACAGCACATACTGGAAGAATTTGAAACGCTCAGAATAATCCTTGCGTAGTCGAAGGCCTTAGTTCACCCTGGTGCCTTTCAGCATATCGCGAAAGGCGCCTTGTTCAAGAGCTAACTTCCTCTTTCTTGGTTCTTTTTATTTGGGGGGGGGCGTATCGTGGGTTCTGGGTTTAAATCATTTTAAAAAAATATTCAGAGACCCAGCTTTCGAAATCTAATTTCTGCTTAGTGCTTAGAAATCTAATTTCTGCTTAGTGCTTAGAAATCTAATTTCTGCTTAGTGCTAAAAGTACATTAAATCTGGTTTTATAGGCTGCCTTTGCAGCCTGATCCAGTTAACACTAACTCCCAAGGTAATGTGCAGAGGACTGCAGCCATAAGCAGCTTTCACTGGGGAGACTAAAATGAGTTAAGCTGCATTGCTTTTTCTGGCAAACGTTGAGCAAGTACTTAGTTCTCTCCTACAGAGAAATTGGCATTTAGAAATATATATATAAACACTTCCCTGCCTAGTCCATTACCCCCAGAAAACTTGGGAGGCTGAGGCAGAAGATCCCAAACAGGGCACAAAAAATGGGTAGGTCTTCTGAGTGAGCCATTTAAAATTACTGTTACTAAGTTTATTGAGTTTTTAAAACAATTGCCATGCATAAAGTGTTGCCTTCCAGCACAAATGCACACAAAGATGTTAAGTCTTGTATGCAGCCATCCACTTGGCATTAACAAACGCTTGACAATTTTTTACAGATGAAGCTCACACCCACAGGTTATACTTAAATAAAGCAAGTCTTGTGGAACTGTACACTTGTGCACCTTTAAAAGGTGGCTTTTTCTGATACTGCAGAACAAAATACAGCCAAATAGCAGTATTTAGTCATTCCAACTTAGAAGCTTTATATTTAACAGTAACTGGAGATTATGCACATGGGATATATGAATGTGGAGCTGAAGAGAGTAGAAAAATGCTGCAGAGAACTAAAGAGAAACCCCAGAGGAATAAGCATAATTTATTAAATGTAATTCTCTCTGTTGGATCAAAAAGACATATTCATGGTAACAATGTCATCTATACTGGTTCTCTCCTTTCTTCTATTCAGGTCTGGTTTCAAAACAGAAGGGCCAGAACACCAAAGACGATTGATTCCAGGATAAGGATCGGGAACCATGCTGCAGCTCCTTATAGCCACAGTGAAGGAACCCGTCCAAGAAGCAGCCTGGACAGCAGCCCGAGAAGCAGTCCAGGAAACCTCCAAAATATTCACATGGAACAATATTATCAGCCACACAACTTTCATTATGCTGAAAGCTATAGAGGAGCAGGGTTGTGGCAGCCACCTCTCAACAACACACAACCGGGAGAGTGTGCCCCACAACAGCAGAGCTCCCTGGAATTGAACCCTGCTTGTTACCAGCAAGCTGCTTTTTGTGGAACTGGGCTTTATGAGACTTCCCAGGCGAGCAACTGCCCAGTTCCATATTATGGTGCGGAGATGGTGAGGCAGCCTTCACCATCATCTGGTAACTTCTTCATGGCATCAAGCACTTATACTGCCAGGTCTGAAATGGGGAATTATTCAGCTACAAATCCTATACAAATGCAGAACATTGATGGAAGTGTTTCAGACTCTCAGTTTTCTCTTTGTCAGGTTCCAGATTAGCATCCCAACTCCTTCCTTGCTATCCTGTACATATTTTCCAAGCTCCCTCTTTTAATGCCTTTTAATGTATGACTTCGATGTTTTGAATAATGTTTGTTCTTTTAATAGCTTGTCTGGAGTCTTCCTTTAACTTTCCATTTACTGAAACATTCACTTTCCTGTGTGCAAGGTTAATTTTTCCATAGAAAAAAGTCAGTTGCGCGGTACATGTGGTTCTAGAGATAAAAGGTCACGTCTTCTAATGGCTGAATATTCCTGAGACACATTTTAATGCACCAATGTCATTCTGTCCCTTTCCTTTCCTTTTTAAGTCTCTGTATCTGAGGCTAGAGTAGGTGGCAATAAATGTGGTGGGAAGTTGCTGTATTTTCTTTGTATGCAAAAGTATATTTGTAGGTCCTGCTATAAGTAGATTTGGTAACACTTTTCTGTGTTAATAAGTTTGGTTTCCATTCATGAGTCTTCCATTTTTTAAAACACAGAAGTTTGAGATGGGGATATAAGCTTTAATTGATTTTCCTACCATAAGTGTGTTAAGTCGCTCTCCAAAGCTTTAAAGACATCTAAGTTTAACTTGTATGTGCCTTAGCCTGCAACATGGGCATTTATATCTATTAAAAACTTTGTGGGGGGATATTGTGACCACTTTATTTCATTTTCTTGCCCTTATCCCCCCCCCAAGGTTTGTGCTCTACTGCCTTCAATGAAGCTTCAATGAAGTTGCCTGTGAACTAGATTGTGCCCAATACAGTTTGCCTTCTGTGCCGTTCAGCCTTGATTTAACCAGGTTTAATAATAAAAAAACAAGTCAGTTAATTTTAGATTCTAAATTGGACCCTCTTAGGACAACTCATTTAGAAGTAGTCCCACTGAACATACTAATACACAACCAAATCAACAACAGCTGCAACATGCTCCCCACCCACCGCCCAGCAAAAACCCTGAAACAATTGAGCCTAAGAGTATAAATCTAGCAAAGCCTAAGACATCTCCAAATGGTTTTTTCAGGGTTTTTCACAAATAATGCTACATTATTGGCATATCATTATGTTCCCTGTTCATTCGATTATATATTCACATCTAAATGATTCTGCTAATGGGTCAGTGGAAAGTGCGAACAGCAGTGGGGATAGAGGACATCTCTGTTGAGTACCTCTACATAATCTGCATGAGTCTGAATTTACTCCATTCACTGAGATATAGGCTTTAGGCTTGGAATATATTACAAATCCATGTCATAAAACCTCACCTGCCCAGTCCACTATATTTCTCAACACTGCACTATGCAATTTAATGGGGCTGGGCGCTAGATGTGGCAAATCAAACTGAATCTAGTGGATTTGGCCTGCCCTGCCCCTTTAGTCCTACCCTGATATAGGACCAGATCTGGGTTGGGTGTGACCTAGGTTGGGATAGGGCTGATCTGGGTCCACATCTTAGTGTGTGTGTGTGTGTGTGTGTGTGTGTGTGTGTGTAAGCACAGCCCTGGAATTACTCAAGATGTGATTATGGCTGCCAACCAAGATGGCTTTCTCAAGAGATTAGGCAAATTCATGAATGCTAAGACTATCAGTGGCTACTAATCGTTATGGATATATGCTATCAGAGGCATATCAATTGCTGGGAAAGAACAGGGCAAAAGGGTACTCACCTGACCTGTGTCCTGCTTTTGGTATTGCATAGTGATATGGTTGGCTACAGTGTGAGATGCATGGAAACCTGGCTTCTTGGAAAACCTGGCATTCTCCTAAACAGACCTCATATACAGAATGGTGGTCACATATGCACAAATTAGATGTGATACAAGAGATCTATGAATAAAATAGCTACAAGCAGTTCTTTAGTTGTCAACTGACCAGATCTTCTTCCAGAATCATTTGCAGTTAAAGAAATAAAAACAAGCATTTAATGCATGCAATTTTAAAACCAACTAACCATATCCTTGCCTTCAGAAGATGCACTCAGTCTATATTGATTCTGTATGTCCCTCATCCTTAAGAAAAATGAAAAAAAGCTGCTTTCTCTCTTGGAGATGACAAGTACTCTATCCATTGTAAATAAGCTCAATTAAAAGCAAAAGTAGCCATGCTGGCCCATTAGAAAACAACAACAACTCCACAATCCACAGTAGCGTAATTTCACAAAGCAGCGGGTGAGGGAGATCAGAGTTTCTTTCTTAGTTAAGCACAATAAGATGTTGTAATCATGACCTGCAAGATAAAGACCACAGGCTGAGATGCCATTCATTTGAGGCAGTAGAATCTAGCACAAAAGTTAGGACCCAATTCACAATGACTTTTTCAGATTACCATTTCAATCCTTAAGCAATCATTGTAAAATTGGTGCAGGGTGAATCTTTGCAATCCTGCAAAACCAGCAGAAGAGTCTTGTAGCACCTGAAAGATTAACAAATTTATTATGACACACACAATATAATTGGATGCATAAAGTGTTATACTGAGTTGCAGGGACACAATTGGTGGGGAGCTTGTAAAAAGAAATCAGAGGGAAACAAAATGCTGAATTATACAGTTGAGGATTATGACCTTTTAAACTGCAACGATGCACCAAAAACAGTAGTTGATAACACAGACATCCTTGCACTGGTAAGCCAGTTTTTAGCACATCCAGTGTGGTTTTAAAAAACGTAAACCCAGCACCTATTGTACTGATTCCATCTGCAAATAATAGCACTGGCGCATTGTAATACAATGGTCTCATGGTTTGAGGTCACTTCATTCAATAATGAACACCTTAAGGTCAGTGACAGAGCATCCTGAGAAACTGAAATGTTCCCTCACTGGCTTTTCTATACTGCCATTTCAGATTTGTGCTCATTCATTCTTTTGCATAGACCAGCTAGAGGGTCATTCTTGGCAAATGATGGCATATATTACTTTGGAAGATGAGCAGGTGAATTAGCCCCTCAGGTTCTATTGACATTCTTAGCTCCTGTAATAATTATGTTAAACTAGATATGGGAATAAAGTTGGTACCTGGCTCTGCCACAGCGTCTGGTCCCTCTTGTCCACAATCCTGTTATATGGCCTGTTACTCATGAAGAGGTGTTTTTAGGTTAATGGGCTGTCATCCAAGGCCTGTGATAGGAAAGTGTCACAAATGCATCTCAGATAGAAGAGAGGCTTTCAGTTCTGTAGTCACTCTTGTTTTATAACAGATTGAACTAAGTAGGTAATTGACCTGATGTGGTCAATCCTCTCCTCTGAACAGGTTGGATCAACAGGTTGGATCAACAAGTGTTTCTTTCTTTCTTTTTTCCTGCCTGCAGATTGTTAATGAATGGCAGCCTCTGACTGGCCGAGGTTCCAGGAGGGAGAGTTTAAAAGGAGAGGTTTTGGAGAGACAGTTAGTTTGATGAGAGGGTTGGTTGAAGTGGGTTGGAATTGTGGTTGGAGAGGGTGGGAGATAGGTAGGGAGACAGGTTAGGAGACAGGCTGAGGTATAAAGAGTGAATGGGAGAAAGAGTTGGCTCTGGAAAAACAACTTCCACTCTGAGCGTGTTGTGAAGGACAGAGTGTGGTGTCCTGTAGGAGGAATAGACCGGAATTTTACTGGGAGGCAGAGGCTGAGCCAGGAGAAGTAGGAGCTGGAAAGGAACAGCCTACTTGGGACTCAAATCTAGTCTGGAGGGGAGAGATAGATTCTTCTAAGGAAAAGAAGAAACTCCCAGACCCAGTGAAGGGAGAGGGTGTGAACAGCCCTGTGGTCAATTACTTAAAGTACCTCAGGAGCAGGATTGCTAAAGGGGGTGGATAACTGAAAGACAGTATCAAGGAACCAAACCAATAATGCAAAAACAACTGAGGACAAATTTAAAGTGAAATCACACTGTATTTCTGAACTAACCTAAGTTGAATCCATTTGTGTTATATACTATCTTGCCTTAAATAAATCTTTATTGTTTATTTAAAGAAAACCTGTCTGAGACTCCAACTTACTAGTTACCCCTTCACAAAGGTCCTTCGCAGCATACTCTGGGGCTAGAAATTTTAAGGGAAAAGGGAAAGAAACCTTCGGGTAAAGGGTTGTTCAGTGAGGTGGGGGCAATTTACCTACGTGAGAGCCGGCCCAAAGGCATGAGAGAAAAATGTATCCTTGTGCCTGTTGCAACCTCCTCTTGCACCTTTTGTTGTGCTTTACGACAACCACCATCTGCTTGCAAATACCCCCTTCTTGGGCAACATGGTGAAGAGAGAGGTGGAGGAGCTGTTACAGGAGTTTCTGGAGGATACAGCCCATCAGATCCCTTATATCACAGTTTGATGACTGTGGTTTTCAGGGAAGACATTGGTGGTGGTCCCCCATGGTTCAGATGAACACCTTGTAATTTACAGATTCTAGGCATTCAATATTATGGACTCAGTCCTGACTGAGTTTAGACAGCTCTCCTGCCTTTTGAACTTCAGACACTTGACAAAACCTTTTCTATTTTGTAGGCACTTTAAGATGGTTTCCTGATTCTCTGGTTACGAACTTGCTGGCCTTGTTAAAATTCTGTGGCTGGCAACCATCATACTTTCCAAAGTGCATAGTCAAATTCTTGCAGCAGTGAAGGTCTTCATGATCAGTGCAGAAATGGGATTGTTGATCATACATATTTCAAAAGGAGATTCTTTTAAAATGCATTGCAACAATCAGAATGTGGTAGATTTACAGGCAAGGGATATTAGACATAATATACAATTGGCATCATGGGGGAAATTATGGAGGAAATTATGGAGGGAAGATTTAAAATTTACAACATGCTGTATAGTGGTGCCTCGCAAGACGAAATTAATTCATTCTGCGAGTTTTTTCGTCTTGCGAATTTTTCGTCTTGCGAAGCACGGTTTCCCATAGGTATTAACGGTTTTAAGAAAAAGGAAACAAACTTGCAAGACGTTTTCGTCTTGCGAAGCAAGCCCATAGGGAAATTCGTCTTGCGAAGCAACTCAAACAAAAAACTCTTTCGTCTTGCGAGTTTTTCGTCTTGCGAGGCA